AATACTTCAACATCGCGAGTTATAACCACAGAAACACATAGACTGTAAAACAGGCGATCAACAGCACCCGATCTCACGAGCGCTGCGAGGACGCGTCGCATTTCGCGACGCGTCGTATCATCCATGTCACGAAAGTTGCGATGTGTTGAACGCGTCGTAAGTTCCTTGACAACGGCTTAAAACACGTCGCAAGTTACGACGTGTCTAGTGGTCATCGCAAAATAAGAAGAGTCATTTTCTAAGCCAGTTTTATGCCATAAAAATTACATAAACGAGATTATAATAAGGCAATGTGTGTAAAGTTGTAAATAGAAAATTCATTGAATAATTATGAATTAGCCCGGAATATTAGAGTTGAAATTTCAAAGTAGCTATACAGTCCAATGAGAGCTTGTTTTCCTTCAAAATTGCATCGCACGACCGCCATGTTGTTTTACGTTTTAACAAATTTCGAGCTGAGATCAGACGACTCTTTGTTGAATATTAGACGATTATTTAATGTACGCTGACTAAATACATAAAACAGTCACAGAGTTTTGCTAAAAATACACCTACGACGTGTCGCACTTACGACGTTTTTTGTGAAATGGATCGGAGGACGCGTCGCAGCTGCGGCGACGCATCGTAGAGATGCGATATGTCGCAGCTGCAACGCATCGTAAGTTACGAAGAGTTTGATGAAATCGGGTGCAGGTCCTATTCGAAACTACACGCGCATCGTGATTTTGCGGCGCCCGACTAAAATCCAAACTATGGGCAAATAAACCCTTCGGTATAAGGATTTTACACAAACCCAAACTGTTCCATTAAAACAATTCCATGAAGTTATTTTTTGATTGTGAAAAAAGTCCCTTGTGTACTTAATATGAATTAGGTAGATTAAAAAACAATAACGTGCACAACTTTTTTCAATCGGATTGTGAGTAAAACAGCCTTTTTTAATTCAAAAATGTATGTTCTGTATGTAAATGTGTGTACTGTACTGAGAGCGTATCTGCATTGAACGCGTGTCGCGCGATTACGCACGCTGTCAACAAGCGTTTTGCCCATACTTTTTCAAATCGCGGTTTTACGCGCTCGACTGGCCGTCTATGCGTTCATATGTCTGTGGTCATAACCCCATGTGACATGCACACTTTATGATGATCATTAGCTTTTTGAACAACAATTATCATTGTACAAATACATATCCTCGTTCGTTCACTTTTATCCTCATTCTTTTATTTTTCCATAATGAGTTTTAAACAACAGTGCTCCTAGTTAATTGAACATGTCAAGGTCTGTAGTGGATCAGGATCACTTGATACTCAAATAATCAGATATATGTATATTAATTATTTTAATCATTTTTTTTTTTTACTAGACAGCAGTATTTACTCGAAACACTTTCGGTTATCTGAATGATCTTATTCGAAATAAATGTTGTTGTCCAGATGACGTCGTTGCTGTATCGAATCAGTGGGTGTGTGCTCATCCCGGCAAGATGATGGTTTACCATAGGGACACCACGCTCAAGTTTGATTTCCGCACTGTGCCCGAGGATGAGGTTGGCAAGACAGTCGTGAAGCTCGTGAGCGTGGCTGTCATGCCCAACGGTAACATCATAGCGGGCGATGAGAAGAGAAAGGTATTGACTGAGCACAATCCTAGGAATGGTGAGATCCTACACACCATGCCAGTGAAGGTAACACCTCGCTTCTTGGCTGTACTGAGCAATGGTTGGATTGTGATCAGTGACGTGGAGCAGGGACTAGTGGAGATAGTGGAGGTTTCTAATGGCAACGCCGTGACTGTTACCAGAATCCAGCCAACCATCGACGATAAACCGGTGAAATACTGCAGGGGTGTATGCAGCAACAGCTCGGGTATCTACCTTACAGCGATAACAGGGTCCGTCAACACCGGTCACATACACCACTATAACTATGCCGGTCAGTTTGTCAGCTGCGTGGCCCAGGGTTTGTACGACCCCCATGGAATCAAAATCACTGCGGACGGGCAGCAGCTGGCAGTGGCTGACTGGCACTCAGTAAAAATGTATCACAAGATGTAATACCAATGATGTCATCCAGCATAAAAAAACGCCTTCCCGTACCCGCGTTTGTGCTCGGTTTAAAATCACGATATGAACTTGAGGCGGCCTAGGGATAACACTTAAATATAAATAAAATAATAATAATAATAATAATAATAGTAAAATAAAATGCAAATGTTTTCTGACTGGATTGACCTGAAATATACAAATGTAAAAATTTAAGGCGGCCTAACGTATTGATCTTAACAAGATCTTCTTCATCGATACGTCAGGCCGCCTTAATTTTTTTTTTGAAATAACTCGGAAGGTGCAGGTGCTAATTAGCGGTTTAATAATGCGCACTACCTCAGTTGACGATTCTTCACGTCTCTCATTGCAAATTCATTAGATATTCCCAACACACAATCAAAAGTTTCAAAACATCGTCGTCGTGAGCGGTTACTTGAAGTTCCACATGTATGAATTCTTAATCGCACCTCCCCTAAATCACACCCACCCTCATTCATGCGGTCTGAATGTGATGCTCATGTCACGAAAGGAACATATTACCCGGTGAATGGTAATTTATTGCGGCTTGTCCGTCACTATGATGACCGTAAAGGGAAAGTGAATTATGCTTACTACAGATAGAATATGCACACACAAGTTGTAGTCTAGTTATGTCATAGAGGGTTTTAATTTCAAAAAATAAAATCCGAAAATGTATTAAGTCAAATTGTTATAAAATAACTCAGTATAGACGAATACTTGGGAGATAACAAAGACATTGGATATTTTGTTGTATATTTTGATATATTAAAGTCGATATTACAACCCTTGTATATTCAAATAGACCGTGACCATACATAACGCTTGAAACATGTTAGAAATTTTGATGGAAATGTATGTAATCACGAATAGCCCAGTGATTAGATACGTAATCCGACCACTAAAAATAAATGTCGATTGTGATAAGTCCTTGTTTCCCACAAAAAACTGGAAAGATTACCAGGTTTTTTCCCCCGCATTCAACCATCATTCAGTCTGGGTTTTGACCACAGTCAGTACAAGTTTTACTTATATTGAATAATGCATTAAAAAGTGATCCAGACAATTATTTGTAACTACCCCCAAAAAAACACAACAAACACAATGTTGATATTCCTGCTATTTTTAAGGGATAGTTATTAAGGTCAAGCACACTGCTAGACACAGCATTTCAAAGTCGCCATGGCAAGGCCACAGTTTATTGCTGTCCAATTGGCATTTATGGTCAGAACATTTTATGAAGCAGGTGGCACGGTACAAGACACGATACGTCAATTCTGAGAACACTTTAATTTCCAGATGTACAGCATCCTAAGTGAACTGGTGTATGTAGCATTCTTATCAATTTAAATTGACTTGTCTAAGAAAGATAATAAACAGGAAAGGTCAAGGTGTTGTACATTACGTAAATATTTTGATTGAGTTCAATTTCAGCAATGGATTTGCCTTTTATTTTGTAGGAGTTTCTTTTTCCCCCTGTTTTTGTTTACACTTCTTAAGATAATGTTTAGACGATTATAGATAACTTAACGATAGTGTTAAAGACATAGTTTAGTGTTAAGAAATTTACTCCATGTATATACATTGATCTTAAACCTTTGTTACTTTTTTGGTTCTTTTTATAGGTTGTTAATGCCCGATTGTTAATGCCCCATTGTGGTATTTTGTAATTGTTTCTTGCAAACTGCATTGGCTTTAACTTGTAACTCCGTTTAATTGTTCCAATTATGTTCGGTATATTTTCAGTCTCTGTTTCTAGGTTAAAGAATTGACGTTTCTGGTTTAAGGTCCAGGCATGCAACTGAGAAGGAAACAAAACAGGAAACTACAATCGTAAAAAGACCTTGTACAGTGATTTTCAATTTTGAATGGCATAAGTATAAAGTGAACAACGAGGAAATGGGCTTATCCGGGAAAAGTTGCATGCCGGAAGGTCCTTTGTTCATCCTCATTGGTGGTCATAAGTGCTTGGTTGTTGACGATTTATTCATCCTTTCTCTTGAATTTCAAAACTTGTTTTAAACTCAGCTCTGGTCTTAAATTCAGGATTCTGTAAAGTTGATTTGTTTGCCAGAAATCTTGATTAATTTTAGTATTAGCTCTTACTTAAAATCGTTTTCTTTTGTTTGGTTAACTTGGAATAAATAGTGTTCTTTGGCTCGTTTCTCAGAAATATAATTTGTTTTCCCTGTCTATGTTTTTTTTTTCAATTATCCTGCGTTTTCTCCTCACCCTTTTTTGGTTAAGATTGAATTTTAGTTCAGATTTATTTAATGTTGCGAGTTCCTACTGTGTCCCTTTTCTGAGTTACATAAGCACCAAATTTAACTACAAAGCACAAGTGACAAAACAACACAGAGCGCGTCCCATGGCATTCTCTGTTTTTGCTGTCTTGCTGTGCGCGGCCAAAAGTACTATACCCGTAGCGTAGCAACCAAAGTACTGTATCATATACATGTACATCTAATTATTAGATGTTTATGGTGCAAATGCATTATGCATACAGGTGTGTGCTTTGCGCGTTGCGCGTATTGATCCCAAGCGCTAGCGCTACAGAGCTGGGTTCAAACATTTCGTGAAGGGGTAGTTTGGAAAAGTGCAGTTAAATTTGTAACTAATTTCGTATTCAAATGGAAATACATTTTAATTGTATTCAGATTAAGTTAATCAGTTACCGCTTAAAATCAAGCAGAATCTGTGGGAGAGATGTCAACACATACTGACTGCTTTATCCAAGTAGTAAAACTAGCCTCCCTCGGTCATCCATGGAGCATTCTATAGAATGCTTCATGGATCACCTCGGGAGGCTAGTTTTACTACACCACTCGAAGCAGTCAATATTTGTGTAATATTCACAGGACCTACATTTTAAGCTGAGAAATTCACTCATTCGGAATTGCCGACAAAGACTTCTTTTTTTTTCAAAGAAGCCAAGAAATATTTTTTTCCAGTGGATCTTTAATTTACTTTGTAACAATGTGTTTTTTTTTCCAAAAAGCTTCTTTTAAGATTACAAAAATATTATCTTGAAATGCAAAACGTTAGCAAACGTGATGATCGGAACAAAAGATTAAAGAAATTGTACACATGAAAATCCAATCATTTTTGTTTGGCACAGTGAAGACGACGAGAATATAATTAACGGTTTCCGGTTCCAGATAAGCTGAAAATTAGCAAGGAACTCATTATTTGGCTTCTAGATATTTAGAGAACAGGCTACACAACCGAAGGAACATGAAATAGCAGTAGAGTTGACATCAGCAAGTCCTCGCAAGTCAGATCTACAGAGTGAGTCAAAAGAAGTGGAACCAAAACCTCAAAAACGTACATTTCATGTTTAAAAAAAAAATAGGCAACATTGACATTGATTGGCTTGTGATGGGCTTTTGACAACTTGCCTTCAATAATAGTATATATCCGGCTCAACACTTGTAACTGCTGTTTTCTATGACGCTTTTGTAAGGTATGCAGTGCATTCAATGCATCAGTTTATATAATACATTATACCTTGATAAAATATGGGGGAAAACACTCTTTTGTGTAAAGTGTAAACCTTAAAATACAGGATGATAATTATAAATGTTGCTTTTGATTCATTTATTGAAAAGGAAGTAAGTTGATCAACATTTTCTGGTCAATTCTCTCCTCCTAACTTGTCAAAGCTTGTGTGTTGACTATCATGGACAATGCAATTTTATAAAATGGTTGGTTTATCCATCTTGAATCAGGAAAACGATGAGAAAAAAAATTGCAGATTTAAAGGTATCTGGAGATTTATCATCATGCCAAACTCAGCAAACACACAAATTGACAGTCAGCTATCCCTGGACACATGTGTCAATTGGCAGTGGCACCCATGCGATTCAGATGCAGTGTAACTGGGCCAAGTTTGAATTGAAATAACTCAAGTTTCTCAAACAACAAGCCTGCCAAATTTGATGACAAGTTGACGTCGTTCACAACGAATCACCACCTGATCATGAGTAAAAGGCCACAATTCCTGAAGTTCCAAAGATTGCGAGATTTTTTTCAGGCACTGTGGATTGTGGAACAAGCTGATCGTAGGAACTCGTGATCGCATAAAACCCTGACAAAAATAGTGATACAAAACTACCTTCATAATTAATGGAAGAGTTGGTATTAATACTGCTACCCTCAATCGGGAAATGCTGAGTGTTGTGACCTCTGACCCAGCTGGGTCAGGCCATTCAGACAAAAGGGGAGAGCAGGGGTACTTTGGTGGTGATGTGCACCAGCTTTCCTTTTATCTTGAGGAAGTGTCGCTTGAACTCGATACCATCACCCTAAAAAGTGGAAGAAGGTTTTGGAAATAAAGACGATTCAGTGTTTCGAATTGGACTTTGGGAAAATGTCCAACAAAAACAACCATGATGGGAAACTGACTAGGTTCCCTTTTAATTAAAAGTAAACATTAAAGCAACGTTCAGCACATGAACCATACCACACAATTCTCCAAGTTGTGTTGCAAAAAACATTTGTTAATAAACGCGCAATTCTAAATCCCGCAAATATGCGTAACCAAAGGTTTCCCGGGTGCTAAATTATGGGCATTTATATGTGGTTCACAAAAAAAGCTCTGCATCAACAACTACTGTCCTGAATCGAGAGTTCTTGGTTTCATATTCCGCTTTGGAAGGGGGGGGGGAAGGGGGGAGGGGTCTCACCCTGTATAGGCTACTTAAAATACAAAATCGGCGCCCAAGTTGAAATAGAGGCACTCCAGTGACATATTAAAGACCGGAACCGTGTATGTATTACCTTTGATAGTCTGAAGTCTACAAGTACTTTGTCGTCCATCTCGTGCAGGTGTGCTTTGAAGATCAGCGGGTTCTTCCGTCGATCCAGAGATGTGATTGTGACCTGTGTCAAACAAAAACACAAAAAGTACTCAGTCACACAAAATCAACAAGTCAATCTGGGCGATTCGAGGTTAGAGCCGAATAGAATAGAATCGATTCCAAATTTGAAATCAGAATCTGTCTTTAAGCAGTGAAAAAAAAAGACTTAAAGTCTGCCACGAGCCAATGTGGCCCATCAAGCCGGCATTTATCTCCGGTTTCAGTAGCATGCAACGACTGAGAATATTTCCACTCCCCCTGGATGGGATGCTAGTCCATCGCAGGTTGCTCCCTGGCTAATGCCAGTACCCATTTATACTCCTGGGTGGAGAGAGGCATGTGGGGTGGCTTGCCCAAGGACACAACATATTGCCAACAGCTGGATTCGAACCCCTCGCCATCTGATCACGAGTCACGAACCCTAACAACTAGGCCGCACTCCCCACTCAGCAGGCATTGTCCAATAAGTATTCTTTTAGTTATACAGGCTAACATATCTGACCTGTCTTGCCGTTGTCGTTTTCCAGCTGTAGCCCATCTTCTCTAGTACGGCAGTGAGTTTCTTGATGGTTTCGTCGGGGCTAAGTTTGGTGAAAACCCTGGTCATGCGCTTAACTAGTCTCTGCATAGGTGTCTGTCGGGACAATGGGAAAGAACAAAAACAAAGTAATGATGGAAACTAAAAAATAAATATTGCTGCTTGTGTTGGTCTTTAACCATTTTACTATTGTGAGGAAACCAAAATAGAGCGCGTCCCAAAATCCGGCATTTTTTTTTTGAGAGGCTCTAGCATTGGGACAGAAACATGTACATGCACCACCATTATTGTTACACCATTTTAAAGCTTGGAATCTTAACTTTATCCCTAGCGACTATAAGTTGGATATGGTCAGCCTGAATAAAGTGGTACTATTTGAATGCAAAAGGTTGTGATTAAAATTTGGTCTTGAACTTTACTCTTTATGTCTATTTTTTGCTCTGTTCTCGTTTATCAAACTGAAAGCCATTTCAACACAAGACAAAATGGCACTCCATACCTGAAATCGTGCATGGATACTTCTGAAGCATTTGTCTCAAGTTTTTGCAACATTACCTTGAAGAAACTACATAATAGAACAATCTGAAAACACTCTTGCAGCCTATGTAAGGTTGATGTATGGTCAGCAAAACACAAAAACATGCTAGCTTGTTGAAAAGCAGTGAATTACATCTGTGTTGAGGGTGTTTGGCGTGTGGTTTCCTGGTCGACTTAAGTCACCTATGGATAGCAGCAGGGGGTGGTTTCTTGTCGACAAAAGTCGTCCATAGTAAGGAGAGGGTTAAAAATCCACCTAAACCTGGACTGTTCGTTCCTGGGGGATATCCATTGGGATGGACCGACTTAAGTCCCTTACGGCTAGCATCAGGGGGGTGGTTTCTAATCGACAAAAGATGTCCTAGAAAGGAGAGGGTTAAAAATCCACCTAAACCTGGACTGTTCGTTCCTGGGGGATATCCATTGGGATGGATCGACTTAAGTCACCTATATGGGGGTGGTTTCTTGTCGACAAAAGATGTCCTAGAAAGGAGAGGGCTAAAAATCCACCTGAACCTGGACTGTTCGTTCCTGGGGGATATCCATTGGGATGGATCAACTTAAGTCACCTATGGCTAGCAGCAGGGGGGTGGTTTCTCATCGACAAAAGATGTCCTAGAAAGGAGAGGGTTAAAAATCCACCTGAACCTGGACTGTCCGTTCTTGAGGGATATCCAGCAAAGTTGTTGACTCACCTGTGAGCTACCGGGCGTTGACTGTATCTGACTACTCAGCAGCAAGGAGTCAATGTGGACCGGCTGTGAGAAGCTGACGCCGAGGATTAACTTCTCCACGGATTCTTTGGTGGTTTCTGGTGTGGGCATGTCATGGACGGCGTGCGGTATGGGCTGGGAGCTGGAGAACGTGGCTGAGTTCTCTCTGTATTGATTTCACAAACGGGGAAGATGTGAAAAAGGGGGAGGATTGTAAAATGGAAAACAGTTATGACTATAGACCTTTATCATGCTGCCACCATTTTCAGTCATGTTCCCTGTATCCAATAATTAACGTACTGAATGATAAAAAATAATGTTTTGGTGCACAAAGGTACCAGACTATTTTTCCTCCCAGCTTCGCTTCGGTTACGTTGACTTGAATTGGAAAAATCCAAATGAATGCAACACAGAGGTGGCAGCAAGTCATTTTTTGCAAGCCCAAGTCAAGTCACAAGTCATTGTTTGCAAGTCCAAGTGAAGTCACAAGTCATTAGGTCCAGTCACAAGTCAAGTCACAAGTCATTAGGTCCAGTCACAAGTCAAGTCACAAGTCATTTGGTCTAAACACAAGTCAAGTCACAAGTATATTTGTCCAAGAACACGTCAAGTTGCACATTATTTTGTCCAGCTGTAATAAGCTAAAAGAATTAACCTGGCGTCAACTTACAAGTTATTTTGAACATGCCTCCTTAATTCCCCTTTTTCAATGTGTTGCAATTACTATTCTTGTAGTTTATCACATATCTGTCGGATATTAGCCCTTTGTATTCTTTAATAAATTTACTTTACAATGTAGAAATAAATGTTGAGATGACCGTGAAAAAAAGACTTCCTCACTTCATTACATGTAGTATATTAACACTTAATTGTTCAATTTTCATGTATACTATACGCCTACCAACGGGTTAGGCTATCCGGTATTTTACATGCAATTGACAAAGGCCTGCTTTCTTTTCATGAAAGGTTCCTTTCAAAGTTTGTTCAACCAATACATTAAGCAAGAGACAATTGGTCATTGAAAACTGTAGTTTGTTGTGACAGTCTTATTGAAAACTTTTGAAACTAGTGGGAACTATTCATTTTACTGGATTCAGTCACTGAGGTCTATTTTCTGGAATGAAAAAGCTAATTAAAAGTATAATACATGTAGCTTAATTAAAGTGTATTGGGTCGCTCGAGTAGCATCTGACTTGGGTTGGTAACAAGTCACTTTTTGCAATCCCAAGTCAAGTCACAAGTCATTGTTTGCAAGTCCAAGTCAAGTCACAAGTCAAAGCTGGTATTTACAAGTCAAGTCACAAGTCACAAAAATAGCGACTCGAGTCCGACTCAAGTCCAAGTCACATGACTCGAGTCAGCAACTCTGCTGCAACATGATTATGGTCACAGGTTTTCTATTCAAAACTGCAAGCGGAATAATTCTGAGTTGCTTTTTTACCAGAAAGATGAAGTAACAATTAACAAGGGATGAATGAGGACCAAGAGCATTTCAAATGAATAGGTTATCGCCTAGAGATTTGGAAGACTTGTGATTGAAAGTGCCCAGCGTGAGCGTGAACGTGAATGCAAATTTGTGACATCAAGGCATATTTCCGTGCTGTGAATTTGCAAATACTCAACAGATTTCAACTCCAGCAAATTTCGCAGTGAATGTTTGGGGACGTCAAATTCGCTTCGCATTCGCATTCACGAGATTTATGAAACAGCCTTTACAAGAACTGAATTACAGTTCTGTATCAAACTTTTGTCCAAAATGCTTAAGATGAAGAATCAAATTGGGCTGCTGTGTTTACCAGCACGATCATGAGTTAAAAAGCATTATCTTTATTCCTGAAAAACGTTTTCTTGAAATCACATTTTCATTTCTCTACAATATTTTTTGTTTTGTTTTGTTTTGTTTCACTAGTTTGTGCTTAACAAGATCAAGCTGCACATAGAAACAAGTTATAGCCACATGTTTTCCAAGGTTGCAGTGCTTGTGACATTTTGACGGCAAAAGGCAAACAACTAACAATACTCTGCACTCTTACCTTCTGATAGATGACGTAGGTGAAAGGTCATTGCCTGAGCAGACACGCTTGAATGAACCGGAACTTGTTGGTGAACTTGATGGGGGTCTGTGAGGCCAAGCTAGGAAGAAACCACCAATGTTTTTAAATAAAGTAGTAAACCAGAATATTGCAGAATTGTCGTGAAGTCCATTACATGTGATTATTAATACAAGCCAGTCACAAATCACACCACGAAACCAAGACAATCCTTAACCCTTACCACCCCAACTCCATTAAAATCCATCCCCCATTTTGGTGGATTTTTGGGGGCTTGGTCCAGAAGGCCTGGCGTGACTAAATATTGATGGAGTATGATGGACTTTGGCCTAATGGCCTGAAGCAGTGCTAGGGGTATCTGATTGATTTTGGCTAGCTTCCTGTACTACTATTGTGATAAAAGCCATGTTTAGCAAGTCCATATTGCGTCAGTGGTGGATTCCATTATGTCATGTACAGTTTTATACGTGAAGCACAGTGATTGATGAATTTTGATGGACTTGGTTCAGTTCCTAGTAAAAGACGCTAGGGAGTTAGGGTTAACAGCCGTGTTACAAGTCTACCAATTAGCTATTTACGAGTCAGGCCACGAATCCAATCACAAGTCCGTCGCAAGTCATACTACATGTCAATTACAAGTCAAGTCACTAGCAAGATCTCTAGCAACCGGAAATAAACAGCAACAAAAGAATGCCTTTGTTGCAGTTAATTCAAATAGCTTGTGAGCCGACTAGGGACTGGAGGACTTTGTGATTTGACTTGTGATTTGACTTGAAATAACTTAACAACTCTAGAATATTGACATCCATATCTTTGTTAGTGACTGGTTTTACATCAATGATTTAACCCAGACGAAGATGTTAGATTGCTTATAACAATTTTTGTATGGCAATCAGCCTGCTAAGGCAGCTTTTCTCTTTGTAAAAAAAAAAACATTTTCAAGGACTGCGCCGCAACAACCAGAACAAAATTTAACAACCAACCCCTCCCTCCATAATGATAATTGTTGGCTTTGAATGACACAATCTATCATCTGTTTTAGTAATTTGTTCATTGATCTTAAAAACAAATTGGTACTCACTTTTGCCATTGTACCATCTGTCTTTCCTCAGTGTGGCTATTGTGCAGCGCTTGGTAGGAGACTCCGTCAAGATTTTCCGAAGTAATGCTGAAAAAAAAGACTAACAATTGATGAACGAGATGTGCTTAAAATACTAGGAAATCACTGTCAGTACAGGGCACTGAAATAAATAATACATTTGTAATGCACATACAGGGCGAGTAAAAAAAACACGAAACCCAAATGTCGGGACTATTGTTTTAGTGAAGTTCTGCATGTAGCACTTTCAAAATCTGGGATATGAAAGTCCATAAGCTTTCTTTTAGAACAAGAATCACTCAAATAACTCATGTACTTTTCAAGTTACGGAATTTTGAACACAACCACTGTGCGTTCTTTCAGCAAAACGAAAACAATTCAAGCACATCCCTATGTGATTTGTTTTCGTTTTGCTGCACCTTTTGGTGATCCGTGGACAGAACTTTAAAATGGTGGTTGTGCTTAAAATTCCTTAACTTAAATATTACACGAGCGATTTGAATGATTCTTGGACTAAAACAAAGCTTAGGAATTGGGCTTTTATATCTTAGATTTTGAAAGTGCTACATGCAGAACTTCACTAAAACAATAGTGCCGACATTTGTTTTGTTTTCACCCTGTATAACACTTTCCATCGTAACAACTATCTGAAAGAGCTTTTCAAAGCACATTTCCACACTATACAAAGATACACAACAATTTTGTGCACCAGGAAGTAACAACAAAAGAGGAAATTCTCAGCTTTACAAGAGTTTATACCGTGTTTCTCAATTTTTAACGGCACAAGTGACAAACAAGAAAATCACCTGATCTGATGAAAAGCTACATGCCTATAAACTACATAGCATGCAACACGAAAGTCACACAAAAAGAGGAAATATCAAGCATTACAAGTCTCTTTGCAGTCTTTTTACAAGGGAATCAGAAAGAGAGAAAATCAGTTAATCCAAGGGAAAATTGCATGCCTGAAGCTAGCTAAGCAACATTCTGATTTCCAGACTGGTTTCTTCAATTTTTAATTTTAACAGAAGGACCAAAATCCAGCCTTTTTCGTCTTGTTGAGGCATGCAACCTTCGACAGTTAGTCCATGGAGCCCATACAGTAACAACAGTAATAGATGTTGTTGGTTTTTTTTTTTTAAACTCAATCTCCAAAAAAAAAGTCTCCAGTTTCTGGTATGGAGCTTGCCCCAAAAGTGGTGTGGCGACGCGGCTTTTTTTTTTTTTTACCTGGTTTTTTTTTTTTTTGGCTTCAAATGTCGGCTGATGACTGCAAATGGTGCCCGACTAAACTCAGTGCAAATATATGGGAGTCCAGAGAGGCCACATAAAGCTTATTCTCGATCATAACCCCATCTAAAAACATGTTAAAATTGTGCAGCAGCAGGATTCCAGTCAAACCAGTGAGTTTGGCGGTTTTGAGACATCATCTTGTATTGAAAAAGAAACCTTTTTCATTTTGCCGACGCGCATGGCCACGGCGACGCGCGCGCATACCAGAAACCGGAGACTTTTTTTTTGGCCTAATGGAGGTATTTTTTTTTCAGCTCAATCTCCACCTCAATGTTGTTCGACTTTCTGCAAAGGCCAAAGTTTTGATCTGTTTCCTTTTGTATAACAAGAGAAACATTATGAACATTTTTCCAAAGATGAAGCTTGAGTTTGAGACAAAGATGGGCCTTGGAAAACAGCCCCCAAACCCACCTAATGGCAAGGGATCGATCTTCTTCCACGGCGACAGGTGCATCTTCTTATCCAACCAATCACGGAACTCCTTACATTCGTACGTCGGTTCATCCCACGGCAGTTCTGTTACCAAAATAGAACACGAACAATTCACATGGGCAGCAACACGTGTGTCTCTTCAATGCTATACTATACACAAGGATATTAGTGGACACTTGATAATTTTTCCTGAAATTTGAGGTACAAATTGTACACGTGTACATATATTTTAAATTTTTAAAAAAATATGTAGTTACAATTGAAAAAAAAAAAAACCCTAAAATCAGCTGAATTTGGAGGGTCTAATCTCTGCTCCCCTTACTGAGAAACCCGCAAAAAAGGACAATTATGTTGAAAACATGCCAATATGTCTTCTAACTCAGGCATGCAACTGGGAATTTAGAGGGAAAAAACCAAGGGAATTACAAACCACACAAGACTTTGTACAGTGTTTTCCAATTTGTAATGGCATTCATGAGAAGTAAAAAACAAGGAAATCAGGGGATCCGAGAAAAACTTGCATGCCTGCTAACGCCCCCCCCCCCTTCCTGGGAGATAAACTCCCCTCTTGATCCAAACCTGGATCCGCCCTTGGGCTAAGTTACGTTGCAAATCAACTATTAGTTGACTTTTGTCATTGATCTAACTTGCTCTTGATGCAGAAGGACCGTGTGATTTTAGCTACAAACCTCCGCCCAGCATGGCCACAAGAACGATCCCACAGGACCAGACGTCAGCCGGCTCGGCAGGAAACTCCTCCTTCTTCATGACCTCTGGAGCGACGTAGGGAGGCGTCCCGCAACACTTGGCCATCAGACGCTCTTTGCCCTGGTGCCGGAAGACCGTGGCTAGACCAAAATCTGAGATCTTCAGGTTATCTGGAAACAAGTTACAAAGACGAGAACATTAGACAATATCGGCATCCGGGAAAGAAAGTGTCATGTATCCGTATGATGATGACTGATCCATGTAAGCATACGCGAGGTCGTGTTCAAATTAAAAGTTTGGCACTATGCCAATTTTATGCGTGTACGTACAGCTGCAGAGGAAGCAGAGTCATGATTTATGTCACAAAAATGTGCGAAAAAACGCCATGAAAACTTCACTCTTAAAAGCTTCCAACTGCAATCAGACATGTTTGGTACATTTATAAAATTAAGAATGAGAGGTTGAAAACACGGTAAATTCATAGGTACAGATCCCATGTCAATATAAAGCCAGTTTGGCATGCGCACAATGATATGGGACACGGGTCATTTGGGATAATCAAACACTCATCAAAGGCGCATGAATGCGCACAGCGACGGGCGCACGACGCTCGCATGTTTATTACAAGCAGAATGGGCGTCCGCGTAACATCGCGTGTCATCACGTCAACGATTTTATCCCAAATGACCTTTGACTGCTTCATCGAGAAACCGAACTGGCTTATTGGCTTCCATACGTAGTTCCATTGCCATTTTGTCATATCACATATGAGAAGAACACACAGAGTGATGATGTCACGCATTGGGCCATCAATTCTGAGACAGTGGGAGCTAGCCCCAGTGAACAAGTGCCTGTAATAGTGTGTGTTAACACTTGGAAAAGCTCATAACAACATTTCAAAGTACAACAAATTGTAAAAATCTCAAAGATGTTCATCTTACCGTTATCATCCAGAAGTAAGTTTTCTGGCTTCAGATCTCGATGGGTCACACCCTTCTTGTGTAAATACTCAACGCCGGCCATCAGTTGAACAAAGTACCGATGGGCCTGCTTGCCTGGCATACCAATATCAGGCTCTGCAAGAGAAAACAAATTATTTCAATTTTATGGGTGAGTTACTCAACAATTTGGACCCAAACGCATAACACCAGCAGTTTCTGGTCATCCAAGGCAACACGCTGTTTGTGAATTATGGTAAATATTCACGGTCTTGAAAATCATAATTAGTGTATCAACAAGTGGTCCACACACCGTTCTTAGAAAGTCACATTTTGTGAATTTTATACACAGCAACCTCACCGGACCCCTGCATGACCTTTGACCTCCAATATCGGAAGAGTTGTGATGAAGCCCCATTCAAGGATCACTCCATCGAAGTTACATTAAAATCCATCAAATTCTGGGGAAAGGGGGTGCTGGGGGCATGAGGGGATGACATTTGACAGGTACAGAAAATGTCCAGAAAACCCTACCAATTCTATCAAAGAGCTCTCCCCCACTGATATACTTCAGGAAAGCCCTACTTATTCTATTAAAGAGCTCTCTCCCTGCTCATGTACTCCAGGAAAACCCTACCAATTCTATCAAAGAGCTCTCCCCCACTGATATACTCCAGGAAAACCCTACTAATTCTATTAAAGAGCTCTCCCCCACTGAAATACTCCAGGAAAACCCTACTACTTCTACTAAAGAGCTCTCCCCCTGCTCATGTACTTCAGGAAAACCCCACCAATTATATCAAACAGAGCTCTCCCCCACTGAAACACTCCAGGAAAACCTTACCAATTCTATCAAAGAGCTCTCCCCCGCTCATGTACTCCAGGAAAACCTCACCAATTATATCAAACAGAGCTCTCCCCCACTGAAACACTCCAGGAAAACCTCACCAATTCTATCAAAGAGCTCTCCCCCGCTCATGTACTCCAGGAAGAGATACTGAATGTTGGCTTCTTTGCGTTGGCCGTAGAAGCGAACAATGTGATCGTCGTTCATCATCCTGTGGACACAGACCTGCAGAGGGCAGAGGGCACAGATCAAAAGGTCACCAGCAAAAACAGACAGAGACTGGACTTGCCGAAAACATGAATGTTGGAAGTTTTTTTTTTGGAAATCTTAATTAAGGGCCTGTCACATTATTTGCGTTCTCATAGGAGACATTACGGCGACCAAAAATATTTCATGAATTTAACAATCGCAGCGAGGACGCAAGAAAATGACAACTTTCTGTCTCAAAGAAGCTGAAGCTACGCTCATACTGTGCTCTTCCCGCGCTTACGATGCACTCAACTCGCTCTCTATGCACCCCTGTCAAGCTCAATTACTCGATCTAGTCGCTGTGCTGCGCTGTCACTGTGCTCACACTACGCTCAGCTCGCTGTTGATACGTCCTAGTAGCATGCGTCGCGCTCTCTATTCGACCAAAATACGCTCATGTGACGTCACTTGCGCTGTATAAATACCAAGACAAAACGGTCAATACACAGTCCAGTTTCAAAATTATTCTACAAGATCATCGCAGTCGAGTTACTTTCTCATGGAGACTACATCGACTGCCTTGCGCTTATAGGCTGCCTCAATGCCACTTCAATGTCGCACGATTCACGCTCGCACAGCGCCCGAGTTGCGTCATTACGGCGCCCTGGCCAGAGCGCAGAGGTGTTGCGATTGTTTTGAGCATGTTCAAAGACCTTGGTGCTCATCGGGGACCATTAAGACCCTCTGGCACCCATCTGGCGACCTATGTAGTTGTCGCTGTGATCTAGTAGTTGTTGTTGCGCCCCAGTGAGAGCGCCTATAAGATCGCAGACAGTGTGACAGGGCCTCTATTGGTTGCGAGCCTTGATGATGCTGACTTCTCTATAGCCTGATTGGCCTACTCCAGCACACTAACACCTCAGAATGCATTCAGTACAAGCAACAAGCAGCCGTGAGTGAATGCAAGCGCGAGTGAATAAATTCCAACCAAATGCGCTTACCGCGGTGATTTAGCTGTGACTGAATGACTTGTGATTGACCTGGGAGACTAGGTAAGGACTTGCGATGCACTCATCAACTACAAGACTACTGGCTATGGGATTTACATGTACCTCTTTGCGGACATTCTCTAGGGCCCCTTTTGCTTTGTCCAGACTGAGTATCTTGACAGCTACAGCCTCCTGTGTGCTACGATTGACCGCAAGCTTCACCCTGGGGAGACACAACACAATAAGCATGATCCATTAAATGCAAACATACAATTTTGCTCAATTTTACCTCGTACTCTGAATCTGCTGCGACTGTGCGAGCATGGTGCGAGGAATAATATATGGATTAATAAAAGAAATAACAGTAAACACGTTTGTACACTATCTGGTCATATGTCAACATGGTTATATGTAGCACGGCTTGTTGCCATGGATCGACCAATCAGGATCAAGGATTCAAGTTTACTTGATAATAAATGTCTTTATGCCTTCACAAAATACAGGCATGGTATGTAAAGTACCATGGGGAGTAGACCCGTGAGCGTGGCGTTGTATACAACGCCACGCGCTTCCCTCGGGTAAATACAAGCGAAAGCGTTCTATCTTTTGATCCCCTACATATGACCATGTATAATTTTGCCCATGGGTGAATCACTTACTTGTTGGGCTTCCTGTGAATATACGCGAGTGATGGATCTATCATTGCCAAGAAATTTGATGTAAAATACGGCACAACTTTGTCACAACGAATGTTTCAAAATGATCAGAAATCTAAGACAGGCATGACACTCTGGTACCCCGAGTTCCGCATGCGCAAAACGGTTGGAGTATCACGAGTGGGTACCAGACTAACCGTCTTACATGGCAGGCTGACCGTAATACCATATATATTTCTGCTAAATCCACTTCGAAAGTCTGTCAAATCACCCAGTATAATTGCTGGTCCATTGTGCAAGGGTTTGTTTCAGGGATCTTTCAATAAATGAAGGCTTTTCAAACCACATGTGCCATATTTCTCTAATCTTTTTCATTTTTCCTTCATCTTCATAATTCTGCCGAAAACAAAATTCTGCTGATTTTCTGTACAACTCATTTTTGTATGCAAATATTCTGTCAAATGTTGCCGAAATTCGGCTAGAACGGTCACTCCATCTTTACCGCGGATCACAATAGAGTCTTTTTACTATAGACTGAAGCGTGGCTATGTAATAAAGCTGTCACGCCCCAACTATCGCATCGGTCCCAACTATAGTTGGGACTGTCCCAACTATAGTGCGGCAGTTGGGTCGGCCCAACTATAGTTAGGACTGGAGTTGCGCCGGATGCTTCATGCTTGATAGATCTTGTTGGATTAAATGTTCCGCGGCGAAAATTCAAAGATTACCATGGCCGGCCAACTATAGATGGGCCCCACCCATAGCTAATGTCAAAGGTCCCAAGTCGGACATGTAAGCAGAGCTGTAGGGAATGTTTTATAATCGTACATCAATGTAAACTATAGTTGGGACTGCCAAATAAAAATATTGCGGTGGCCCAACTACAGATGGTCCCCACCCATAGATCATTTCATTGGTCCCCAGTAAATTCAGATGTGTATTAGAGTTGTAGGGAATGTTTTATAATCGTACAACAATGTACACTATAGTTGGGACCGCAAAATAAAAAGATTGGGGTGGCCCAACTATAGATTCGCCCCATCAATAGCTAATTTCAGTGGTCCCCAGTAAAGTCAGACGTGTATCAGAGCTGTAGGGAACGTTTTATGGTTGTACATCAATGTAAACTATAGTTGGGACACCGCAAAATAAAAAGATCGGAGTGGCCCAACTATAGATGGGCCAGCCCAACAATGGAACTTACAGTTGGGACCGTTCCAACTATAGTTGGGACAGGCCCAACTATAGTTGGGCCAGCCCAACTATGGAACTACAGTTGGGACAGGCCCAACTATAGTTGGGACAGGCCCAACTATAGTTGGGACCGATGCGATAGTTGGGGCGTGACAAAGCCACGTTCACGGGTCTACATGGGGAGATATTAAAGACATACTTTCCATGCAGAGACACTACAAAACTTTCCTTTCTTGAAAGATTTAAATACAAAATACAAATGAAAAAAAAATAGATTATGAGACGCAAACAGTTCCTGACTTACTCTCCATATGCCCCCTCCCCCAGTGTCTGCACAAAGTCCCAGCCTTCCACAAATGGGGTCACCATCTTGGACTAATTATGTCTGCAGAAAAAAAACATAGTAGGGCCTATAATCAAATAGGCATAAATGCTCTTGCGCGATAGCGGATAGGTAGGTCAATCCTGTATAGGAAATCTCGGGGGTCAGACAAGTCGACCGTTGAGACAACTCGACTCGGGACAAGTCGACCGTTGAGACAACTCGACCGTTGAGACAACTCGACCGTATGTGCGATAAATGGAAAGACAAGTCGACTGTTGAGACAAGTCGCCTCGCATGTTTTTGGGCCTAGTTTCGGGGATAGTCCTGGGGATTTTGATGGCGGCTGATCGCAGTTTGGGAGTGATGACACATGAGTTTTTTTTGGTTGCATATAACAGAGCCGATATAACGCAGCGTGATTGTCCGTGCACATCGTTCGTTTTTTTCAAGGCCACGTGCGCGCATCCCCGGTCAACGTGGCCGTACCGTGCACGGTGGCATCGTTTGTGCCGGGCCTGTGCACCCATTTGCCGCGCCGGTCGACATGCCCGCGTGCCGGGCCCGGTCCTGGCGGCCGGGCGGGGCGCACCGGCCCGACGCGATCGACGCCCTCTGTACATCGAGTATGCCCGCGCCGCACCCGGGATCGGTCTTGCCACAGATTTGTGCAACTTTTTCTGCTCCACGTGTATTCATTTCCATTAATCGAGCAGTCTCAACGGTCGAGTTGTCCCGAGTCGAGTTGTCTCAACGGTCGACTTGTCTGACATGTCTGACATTCGAAATCTCAGACGTTACTTTCCCTTTTGCAAAACAATCCTCCAGCGTGTCCTGAGCCAGAGCCTTGAAAGTTCAATTAAACAATTGGAATCGTTCAGACCAGTCTCATAGGGTTTGTGCACAGGGTGTCAAGTGATGTCTAGGTATGAAATTTGATTTGTTTTTACTTACAAGTTACAAAAATATCCATTCATCGTCGACATGACTGGCCAAATACATAAATCCCGCGGAAAGCATGCAAGTGCTGCATGCGTGTTGTTGTTAGACCGCTACACTTTACATACTGGGGGGAAAAAAAGGAATTATAGGAATTCATTTTATTTTTAAATATCAGTAACTACTATGAAATGAACAACAACAAAAAAACACAATATAAAATGACCTACGCATTCTATCAAAAGAGCAATACACTTTTAAAGTATAAAATGAGACATTTTTATTATAGCGTAAACCTCCTGTCACAGAATAGAATAGTCCTTTATAGTCAAATACCTGTCGTCGTGTTAACGGTCTCTGCACCTAACTTCTGTACATTTATAATAATCGGAGTCCAGTTACAAGACATGTTCGTTTGGGTATTTTTAGGGCGCCATCTATTGCTGTCTAATTGTAAGGTTTGTTGCCATTTGAGAGGGCGCTCTTTACAATATCAGTAGACTAAGAGTACAGTCGTAGGAATGAGCGCGGTATCACTGCACTAAGGTGTGCATCAACAATAACAATATTTAAAAAAAGGGAAAAAATAAAAGTCTGGTTGTTTGTTAGATTATTTACATTAAAAGGGTCTATGAGATGAATTTGTATTATGACCGCATTGCATGTATGTGCAGCTTTCTACTCCTCTAAAATGTACATTTCTTGTCTTATCTAAATGTATTGGTAAGTTCACTTCTTCAAACGTTTCTTAAGAAATACTTTCCCGGACAACTGATGGTGCTGTTACTGTGATGTCATTTTTGGAAAACAACGCTAAGCTTTGGGGTTTTCTGTTCAAATTGTGAACCTAACTATTTGTTCATGGAAACATTTTTGAGAAAATTTGCTAACTGGATAACTGCCATGCACTAACACAACAATCGAATCACCACAGCAAAGAAAAGCTTACAAAAGCATATTAACCCAAAATGCGGACGACTGTTTGTGCTGAAATAGCATAAACATTGAGGTTTCGATCTGCCCAGAATGACATCACACTTTTGCTCCTAGATATGAACATTTTCATGAGCAAAAAACACCCCACAAACTTACCAAGAAGGCAAACATTCGAGTCTCGTTGTTTTGCCATCCACCCTGCTATATGTTTCGCACGGTACTTGGAGCACTATGTGGGTTCCGTTGATAACTCGCATTAGAAGTTCATGGCTGTAATTTGGGTGCCGGTTTATTTCGGTTGACTCGGTGTGACTTGTACTGACATTGACTGGAATTGAATTGTATTTTTTTCGGGCAAGAAAGTAAATCGTTGAGTGTTTTCGAAAGAACACCGCGTTCACCGCCAACCAGCCATTAATGGGGTCGCCAGGATGGTGGCGGGTTTCATAATTGGCTTGATTCTCTTGTAGTGAAAAATAAAAACATTTTCAAACACTAATTTGTGGAACTGTATCATAAAAGTACGACGTGCAATTGCTTTCTGTGTACTTGTTCTACATTGTCCCGAGGACAGGTACACAAGGGAACAACTTTGGGCGTCGCTGGGGGGGGGGGGGGGGGCAAGGGGTGCCACTTGCCCCCATCTGGAAAAGCAAAAAAAAAATAAAAAAGAGAAAAAAGAGAGGCGTGGAGATATATTGCTATTAATTTAATGGATTGGGGGGGGGGCAAATGCTTGTTACTCCACCTGTATTATATTTTCAATGGAGAAATCTTCTATGGCCCTATAACCAAACATCTTCCTCATGACATGCTCATGACGGTTTGTCAAATGCCAGGCCTGCATCATCAAAGGCACAATTTGTCAAAATAATTATCGTATGTGTCCAACAAACATTACTAGATGTTTGGCTGTGGCTATCGATAGTGGCGAGGTGTTTGCTCAACGAGTCGTTCATTCAAGAAAGACGTCAATTGTAAAGTTGCCTGAATACTGCATGGGACAGTCTGTTGTTGATAATGGACCGATCCAGTAAGCACCGCCCCATGGTATTCTGACCAATCACAGCCGTCATTTATGTCCGACATGCATGCACATGCACGCGCTTAGGTTGCGCGCGGCAGGAAGTGAGACCAGTGAGACCGTGACAACGGCATTGGAGAGGAGCACGTGTTAATTTGCCCAGTGCGCAGCGGGCGGGCTTACTGGATAGGTCCATTACTACTCGTGGCACGGCATTTTCGATTCAAAATTTAAAAACAATCTCTCCAAACATCACAATGTTTCATGCGACATTTTTAATCTACGATTATTTTATAGAGTAGATTTAAAATAAGATTGATCATGCAAATAACAACAACAAAGTGGGCAATAAAAAAAATCGACTTTAAGAATAAGAAAAATGTCAAAGAAACAAATTTTAGTTAAAACACGTTGTAACAATTTGGAGACCTTCAATGGATAATGATGACACAAAAATGTAAAGTTTAGAATTTCAAATCTTAAAGAAAAACATGCCCATTGTCTCAGCGGTAATTCGTCGGCGGGTAGGTTAAGCATTGACAACTAGTATCAAGTCTTAATATTCCGTTGCAAATTATCCAAGAATGGACTGAATGTATCTGGTGTCTTCGGCATGAATTAAAATTGATCCAGTAGGCCATCAGCCGGGCCAGGGGGTTTGGTCAGTATCAAATCAGGGCATAAATGGTTATAGTGCGCATGCGCAAGGTTTACCGACCCTAGAGTAATAACAAGCATGTTGATGGACTTTTTGAAAAAAGGGTGATAAAGCAAAAAAAAAAAAAATAAGTCGGTCTCTGGTCAGCGCGCGCGTCGATTTTAATCATGCGCGTCCATCTTTTTTTTTCCAAAATGTTCCGCGGTAGCTCCAACAGCGCCCTCTATTTCCGCACCTCCTCATTTGTTTTTTTACCAAAGAGCACCAAGGAATGGGAAATTGCACCAAGGCAAATGATCGAAATCACCAAGGCAAATTATGGAGGACCCCAATGTACATGAGGACACCAAAAAAGCAAAAATAGTACCCACATTGTCTGTACAATCCAAGCTTGAAGAAAAAAAAAAAAGAAAAAAAAATGCCGCGTGGCCGCGTGAATTCCGGAACTTTGGTCTGACCAGAGACCGAATTTTTTTTTTTTTGGCCTAACACCCAAAAGAGCTGCAACAGCTGCAATACTATCACATATTTTCCAACTCTGGAGGTGTATACCTTGCCAAAAATTGCTATGGCGATTATTGCTCTCATTTTGATACCGGTTGCCAAATTTTTTGACCGAGGCTGATGGCCTTTAGGTGTTTTTTTTACATTCGCTAACGTAATATCTTTAATTAGTCCATCCTTAAAAATCAGAGCATATAGATTTGCACCTAGACAGTGGAACTGACCAACAAATGTTCTCTACTAATACATAAACAATAACAAGAGTTGAACTTTAAACGTCAATAAACTTACATTCTAAACAATAACAGAATTTACCGAAAATTAAAAATAAATCGAACATTAAACGGCAAAGTAAATTGGAGGAGATTTCGAGAGTAAATGAATATAAAATTAAAGCAAGGTGCTCCGTTAAACGAAGCAAAAAAATGTTGGAGCCTGTCATCTGAGGATCCTAATTGAAAACGTTTTTGTTCCTTGTTTCCTTAGTGTTTGGAGATACTTGTGCGGCTTAAGCGTGGGCCTAAACCAGCAGGTTAGTTAACCGATGGTTGTGATCTTAATGAACGTCTCTCTATTTACATCGAAACTTGGTCAAAACCAAATTATGTGAAAGGATGTGTGTGTTCTTAAACGTGTAAGCCATGAAGGTGTGAAATGCAAACGATTTCATTCTTACCGTGCGGCCGGACAGCAGTCCGCACCACCAAATTTAACCGTTTAGTTTTGAAGTGAAACTGCTTGTGGGTGTCCGTTTGGTAGAACAGTTTGGTGGTTATGGTCGATGACCTCGACTTGGTATCGCTTTGTTTCAGGTTTGATGTTACAAATTAGTTCTTACAAAACTCCGTGGTCGTCCGTCGTGGGGCGATTTACTTTGTAGTGGCCATCTTGCACATGTAGGCGTTTGTGTCTCCGCATTGGGTGTCATTCCATTCGCCATCCCATCCTTCTTTCATTTCGGTACAGTCCGCATCACCAGCTGGGCTCCAGGGCTGGCCACTTCTCCATCTGGTAAAGCCGACCGCTGACCCATCTGTCCAGATGAAGTTCCCTTCATCTGCCTCGTCAGTAAAGCCGATCCACATGCCGCCGGCTGTAGTCCCACGGGCCGACTTCCACATCGTGAGCAGCAGATCATTCTCCTCGGCGCTGACTACGGACGCCAGGTGACCCTGGCCGACCTGAGTGAACTCCTTGCAGTGATTCTCAGCTTCAGCGAAGGTCTTGGCGGTGCCGAAGTAATGGTAGCAGTTGCCGTTGTAGAAAGTCCACATCGGTGGACATTTTGGTGGGCACTTCAACGAGCAGTCTGGTTTACATGCCGCGGCAAAACCCACCAACAGGACGAAGCACAAGGCTCGCATGAAAGCCATGTTGTTTACAAGTTGTCTTCCTACACTGCTGAGTGTCACAAACCAAATTGCAGTTGCAGGGTGAGACTAAGAGATGAGAGTCACCGCTATAAACGTTCGTTTGGTCCCAATTCGGTAAATATACTCCCGACGTGAAGGCTTCAGTGGCGTCAAGCGTCGTGTGGAGTGTTTTAATTGGCCAATGAAGGTTGGAGGTGTGGCCACAGCCAAATTTTTCTTGAAGTAAAAAAATTACATCACCTGAAAAAAAGTCTCACGTCATCTTCTTTTAGTAGCATGGACGGTATTTATATACACCATTTCATATAGAAAGACATGTCAACGCCATTTTGTTAATTGTTTTTAGAGCAATGACTTAAGATATTGTCTCTTTTCAAGCACGTCTTGCCACTATATGGGGCAGTCGGCAAATGGAAACAAGGCTTCACGTGCAGGCTGCGCCTGCATGGCTTTGTGATTTTATGAAAGCCAAACAAATTCTATTGCACAATTTTAATTTTATTCAGGCATATCAAAATGTATCGCCATTAATCACATGTCCCACTTGATAACGTGTGAAATTATAACAAACATTCAAAAGTTGGCATGCTTGGAACCGCCTCCCCCCCCCCCCCGGCTGAGAGATGGTCAAAATAACCTGGCCCTTTTAGGGTATTGAGTATTACTGAAACTCTCTTATTTTTTGGATGTAGATTAACCGCAATTCAGCTTTTTGCTGCCATGGTTGAATAAAATAAACCATTTCAAATCTAATCAAATCAAAACCAAATGTTGTCTTCTTACACAATCATTCACAAAATTGTTATTTGTAGTCTACGCAAGTTGCTTTCACAATAAACATTGTTATCCTGGGTAAGACATAACAAAATGCATTTTGAAATAAACACACTACACCAAATAGCGGCTAATTTGTTTGGTCTCCCCTTTACACGTGAAACCGTGAATGGTTTTTGACATGACATTTGGCATTTCTGGAGTAAATAATGTCTGATATCGGCCACAATTAATGCGGAATGAACATCCATATCTTCAAGTTATTTTGAAAAACTTTATTATTGAATGCCCTGTCAATCTTTTTTTCCATTTGGGGTCAAAATATCGCGAGCTGGTACCTTAATTTATGGAATACATTATTTTTTTTTTTTTTTTTAATTTTTAGACAACTTTGAAAGTGGTTTTTGTCTAATAAGTCTTGATTTTGCTGGCATGTCAATTAAAGGCAAACTCTAATGTGCGACACTGTAGGCCTACCGGTGACAGCAGTTGGCTTGTTGTAATTTCAGTAGGCCTTTTATTTATGAACACAGTCAATGAAAACGGAAGCAAAACAAAATTCTAGACGCTATCAATAATGAAAGTTGTATTGGTAAGATGATGTTGCTGCATCACTTGGTAATGACAGAAATAAACAACAGTTATTATTTATTGGCTTTTGTAACTTATAATTGATCCCTTCATAGTGGTATTGGTTTTGTTTTTAATATTGTTCAAACTTGGTGAGATAACAGAAAATATAAATATCATAAATTAACAACCTGCCGAATATGAATACGAGAAGGCTATTGTTGTACCAGTCAACATTAACCATATGTCCATTTGGACACGAAATATACTTAAACGTAAGCGTAAGACTTTGTGTAGCATCAATTTCCCTGGAATGTTTAGACTACATTCCGTTACCGAATATACTTCCAGATGGCTGGAAGTTACCAGAGCTCCCTTATGCACGCACATTTTCAGCAAACAACACATCAGTTCACAAATATGAAGAGAATGTATTTTATATTAAAAGAAAGAGTTTTCTTGTCCAGGCATTATCAGGAAGAGTTGGAATTCGTGACTGATCGTTTTCTGATTGAATTAAAAGAAGACAAGAAGTCTGCAGACTCCCAATACACCAATATCTGAGGTCGAAACATTTCTAACGCAATCACATTTGCAAAGGGAAGATAACAATTTATTTTGTCTCGGACGCACGTTTTGCTTCTTCAAAAGGTATAGTCACGTACCATATTGCGCATGCGTGAAACATGTCATATGATTGAATTAAATTGTCAAACTGATTTGAGATGATTTATAAGATCTACATGGAATCTCGTTTGGTATTCTTACTGTGTATATGTATTACTTATATTTATTGCTTAGCTTTTGGTGCAAATTCATGGTGGAGGGCGATAGGCCTTGGAGAGCCGACCTTGAAGAGCACCACTTCATCAGCAACGTCCGAATTCTTGACCGTACGTGGAGACTGCTGCAGTAAGTATGGCGGCAGTTGCCAAATAAAAGAAGGTTGTAGTTATGAAAAGATCGGGACATCTTGCGCTGGTGATAGCACCGCTGTCGCCGGTGTCATATGAAAATCGGACTTGTATGAAAATCGGACTCTTTTTCCCTTTTATTGGTTAAACCCTCTCACGTGACCAGTTCCTCTTCTAATTATCTATGCATGAGCATGCGCAATACCACCGATGAGTCCGTATTTCATAAAACCTAAATCCATGCTACATCGGAAACCTGACTTATGGCTCACTTGTCACTGCTGCCCAAGCCCAACCACTCGGTGGTACCATCGAGTTTGACTGCTCTCCGGCGTTGAGGGCAAGGTACGTCATAGTGAATATTCCCTCCTCTCCTTCCACCTTGCAATTTTGTGAGGTCACTATGGAGGACTTCCACCTTGATCAGTGTGCAGTTATTAAACAAAGCTAGACCTAAACTCCCGTGGGGTAGGCTAAGTGTCATCCGTTCAACGTAGCTGGGCCGCAAGCTCCACGACGAATTGAATCCGTTGCTCCATTTATACCTGGCGCACTACACGCGACCCTGTACTTGCAAACTAGAGCTGCATTTAGAAATTGTGACGCAGCCTAAGATTTAAAAGTGTGGACGGCTGTTGATTGGTCGATAGCTGTCAGCTACTGGGGTCCCCCCCCCCCGCTCCTGAATAAAAATTGCTCCTTTGTCACTTACAAAGCTAAATGTAATCAAATTTAAAATTCATAACCAATACCAAAATAAACGGGAATGCAATAACAGGCATTTATTTATTCTCGCCATAATTTTGATATCCTTTTTCAATTCTCTGTTGACTGTTAGCCCAACTATGCATGGTTTTAAACACACAGTTTCAAAACACACGCATTTTAATTAATAATTCAAGAGATTCATAAACCATGCCAAGGATAACTTTTATAATCTTAAATTACAGGATATCACTTGTCAAACATCCGAGGATAAAAAAATAAATGTTTGCAGCAACCCGTCTCAGAGGTTCGCGTATGTTTCCCTAAAACGACGTCAATGAAATTATTTAAAATAAAATAACATAATTATAAACTTATTTATATACATAATTAGTTAAAAAGGCAAAAAAAAATTGAGAAAATATAGTAAGTAAAACAACAAAGATTAACAAGCTTAATAATATTAAAGTCTAACTAAAAAAAGGAGTTTTGAGGCAAGTATGGGCCTATTTTTGCCAGGGTACAGACTACACCACACTAACTTTAGTTGGCAAAAGTAAGACGGAACAAGACTGTCCAACAACTCAAACTGGATGTCATCTTCATGCGCGTCTCTTTTGGGGCGGTAATTAAAAAAGCTTTTGCATGCTTGCGTGCAGCTGTAAAGGTGCTACCGCGCGGTGCGCAATTGCAATGGTTATAATATAGTTGACACAACTACATTATATTTATCCCTGGGAGCAGCTTATTAAAAAAATCACACGGAGTGGCCACGTGGAGAATTTTATCACCACATGTGTTTCTAGGTCAATAACCCCCGCATGCCTGTACATGCACAAAATATAGGTCATTCGCATCGTCAGGGATTGTTTGCAACCTGTCTGAGCTCTGGGCGGCAGGAGGGGTTGACACAAAGAGATCGGCGGCACAAAGGGTTTGGCCGCCATTTTCTCCAATTACTGCACAAAGGCATGAGCCGCCATCACCGCTTCGCGGCTCGGTGGGTTATACATTATGTTAATAATGGTTATGGAATACCAGTGACAACAATATTGTTACTAAAAGATTACTTGCAGCAATGTAGCGGCCATATTTTGTATGTCCTGTAATGCAGTAATCATGTGACCAGATTCTTGTAGGAGAAAGATTATTACGATGACGCGTCATCACCCTTAATTAAAAAGAAAATATTCATTAGATGGAATTTGTGTCGCGTTGATGTAAGTTCAATAGTGGCTTTTGCCATTCATCGTCCAAAATGATTGTAATTTTTTTTTTTTATTAACAAATCACAAACTACTCCTTCTGTAATAAGCAGAAGGTCGTGGGTACGAGTCCAACCATCGGAACAACAGCAGGGTGACAGTTTTAGCCGATTTTGGCTAACTTTGACAGATGTTTTATTTAAAACAAAATCAGTTTGACAGAAAATTTGACAGAATGGATTTGTTTGGCTGATTTCTGGCAAAATTCTGCACAAGTGGTTGGTTATTTGACAGAAAAAAAATTGCAAATTTGAAAAAAAAATGGAACATTTGTTAAATAAAAGCTTCAATCCTTTCAAACAAACCCTTGCATAATGGGACAGGCCCGAGTTGGCTGGTCTAGGTGCTGAGATTCACTGGGAACGTCCAGGACTTTGTCGTGATGCAACCGCGGTTTGCCTGAAATTGACGCGATTTCATAACTTCTTAATGTTACCTAATGTATTTTGAGTCTTAATTAAGGCAATACAAGAAACCCGCATGTGACTTTAGGTGTTCATAGCGTACTTCGAGTAATTCTGGGGAATTTGGCAGATTTTTGATAAATCAGACAGATTTGTTAAGTGCATTTAGCAGAATTTGGCCATGACAGTGAGTATACAGTGTTTATGCTTCGGTTAAGGGCAACTGGCACCCTTTTAAAATGCAAAAATGCAAGATTACCGCATAACTGTGTTGAGTCTTGGAAAGTAATGCATGCAACTTGTTAATAATCAAAACAAGTTTTCCGAGTACGACAACATGCGCTTGCAGATTGATCGGGTACATCTCACAGAATAATGCTAATTGTTAACATGGGTAAATAAAAAGATATAGCTTTCTAAAAAAAATCAGCACCATCCGAATACTTTGGCACTGCAGGGAATCAAAGGAACATTATTAGAGCATTTTCAATCGCTTGAAGGCGCTTTAACACTTCTCTTCTCGGGGTAAAAAAATGATGCTCCTCGAGCTTACTCAATACTTGACATTTCTGTTAAAACGTACACGTTTAGAATCGTAACACAATTTTAAAACCGAAAGGACCAACTTCTTGATTGATCTAATAGGATATAGCGCCCTCAATATATCCGGAACATCCGGAATAACCAACCCTTAACTGTACAATAGGTCTTTACATACATCCTCTAATAGAGGTTTGAATTAAAAATAAAAAGTACACAGTAAACATTTAAACATGTTTACACACTGCATGCAAGAAATGCTTTTGTGCACCAAAGATATTCTACCTATTCACCTAAACTATTTACCTTGCATACGAAATGTTTTCTTTATTATTGGAAAATTCAAAATATATACATGTACATTAATGTTTTCAGTAGTCGCCAGCCGTGTTGACACTCTTGGTCTGGCCAGGCTCAAGGTACAGGTAGCCATCCCTGTTTAGTTCCGACATGACGAGGTAGCCCTAAAATGAGAGAAACACAATGATTGGAAGAGAGAAAAATAGGTTTTCCCAGCCAATTTCCTGACGTGTTCATTCACTTCTGAAAATCGGTCGTTCCTGTTCTTCTGAATTTGAATCACGTCTTTAATCCTATTTCAATTCAACGAAAGTTCAATCGTTGTCATTGTCCGCGCATTCGGTTTAGAGAAACAGACGGCCAATTACATTACGTGTGCATTCGTTTATACGCAAGCATACCTTTTCTAAATTTCAGGTATAGCTAATTTGATTGACGATTAATGAAAAAGAATCCCCTAATTGTATCCGGTGTCGATGGCATCAAAGTAAAAGTGAAATAGAATGCTGAATGTTTGAAATCGCCCTCTAAAAGCAAAAAAGAAAAAGTCTTGTGAACGAATCTGAATGGACATAAATGAAAGGTGCTGCTCAATCACTTAAATTGATGGAACTGAAATAGAATCGAATGCTCTGGTAGCGAAAATGAAACGCGTGTTCAGAGCGATTCTCAAATTCAGACGAAAATAAATGACTTATTATCAGAAGTGAATGAAAACTTGAGGAAATTGGCCGGGGAACTTATAATATACCATGTGTTTAAGGGATCTCATACATTTTGAGAATGAAAGTAATGTTTTAGTTTATTTTATTGTTGGTAATTGTTCACAATTATTCAATATACACGCAATGTACCTTGGCATTGACGCACTCGGGCACATGATCATTCTATACACACGCGCCCCTTCCAATGGCGGAAGTATTGTACAAACTATTGTGCAAAGCTATACTGCCCCCAACCTCGAACCAGGGCTTACTCTATTTCCAACCGCGTTTCGAATAGTAAACACTGGATAGGAAACTTTCTTCCTGTATCCTGATTGGATACCGAAATTGGCTAGTAATGGATTTTTACTGTGTACTTGGTGCTATTATTCACAACGTGCAGTACGTGTTTTCGCGATCATTCGTCCGCGCCTTCTCGAAAATACTAATTTCCTTTCCAATTTGCTCATATTAATATGAAATATGATACTGCATGTTGTCTCGATAAGATCGTAGCAGTTTGATTTCAAAAATCGTGTTTTCGTAACTCGATCACGCCGTGCTCGCGCTGCTACGAATTGACTCTGTTTTTACCCCAGACACCGTATACAAAAACAAACGCTAAAGTGTAACGCATATCCAGGCACCAGACTGTTCCTCATTTGCATACGTGTTCAAAAATCTTGCACATGCAAATGATCCAATACCAGGGTGAGAGAGCAGGTAGTGGTGGGTGCGTACTGCTCGACACCCTGGGGACGAGGTTGATACTGCCCCCTGACGGATTCTCTGAATTATCTAGCAAAACAATAGCGAGCTGTTACACGCAAGTTCAATGTATCTGGGAACTGATAGACTAACTTACAATTAACGCCCTCATAAGGCCTTTGCAGAGTGTCTTTTTCTGTTTTAGTTTTGCATTTTGTGTTTGATAATGAGTTTTATTTGTACATGTGTGTAGTCATTTGTATTGTATACAGTGCCCAGTGGAAACCAATTTTAAACTGGTTGTTGTGCATACACTGCGTGTTTTGTCGTTTGTTGGGGTGTTTGTTTGTTTGTTTTAAATGAAAAGCAATGTCTATTGGTCGGTTATTTGGTGTAAACAGAGGTGAACACATTATGATCCACTTACACTAGCGTCTGCCAGCATGTTGTTTAGTAATTTACATATTTCAGTGAAGGTTGGTCTGTCCGCAGGATTTTTGTTCCAGCACCGTTTCATCATGTCATATCTATAAAATAAAATAAAAAACACAAGACTACATTTGAATAATCATTCAATTTGCTTACAAATAGCTAATATTCTCACTGGAAAGCATTTATACACGTCACATGCTCTACATAACATTCAATGTTTGATAAGTCTTCAGTCGCTGAAAGCTGCACCTGAAAAGCAAAGTGTGGACGCCATGAATATGCACGGCCAACGCTGCGCACAAAATGGTGGCGTCAATGCTAGGAAACAATTGACCAATTGCCGTTTGCAAGTTAGCCACGCCCCTTAGACAACCCTATAGAGTTTTTGTACACTAAGCTTTGTTTGGCTCAGATTTTGCGCGTTCCGCGTCCGTTTGTATATCATGTAATTGGACACTATTTCACAAGCTGCGTCGACGCGATTCTAACGCGATTCTACTGCGAGAGGTCAATTAGTGTGGATGCTCGACAGCATTATGCCTCTTCTAAGCCAGCAGATGGAATGATTTTATCCGTTTAACTTACATTTCTTCGCTGCAGCTCTCTGGTTTGGGCAGACGGTATCCGGCACCGATTTCGTCAATTACCTGCTTCGATGACATGCCGGGGTAGGGATGGGAACCTGCAACACAATCAATACAACTATGGAATTTAGAAGAAATCTGATGGAATTGTGTCCCTTTCATTTTAACCTTCATTCCTTTGCAAGTCTCGTAACACTTATGACTTTTGCATAAAACTGGTATAAGCATTACATTAACTGTGTGGACTTCCGAACAAAAGAGGTCCACATAAACCAGGTAGCAGCTACGTTGTGTGGAGTTGCCCACGTCCACACAAGGTTTCCCCCTCTCTGGAAAACAGGTTAAGCGGCATGAATAATAAGCGCTCGCCTCTCACGAGTACAGTGTGGCCTGGGTTGGATTCCTGGCTCGGGTCATTATGTGCGTAGAGTTGGTTTTCTCTTCACGAGGGTTTTTCTCCGGGCCCTCCGGTTTTCCTCTCTCCGCAAAAACCAAACACTTTCGCTCTGGCCGTGGTCGGTGATAAGACAAGGGCCCTGCGATAGGTCAGTTAGTGTGGATGTGATAAGACAAGGGTCCTAGGGTGGCTCCTCGAGACACCTTTACATGCCTTCGGCTCGTCCAGGTTGTAGCCGCGTCCTTCCCTGTTAAGCATCTGCTGCGAATAAGGACGATTAGCCCCCTGTATGTATTTATTTATTAAGCTGAGTATTGTAAACTTAAATACAGGGCCTAACCTATCCATGTACGGGTGTTGGCGTAAAAGTAACTTAGACAATAATACCTATAGTTGCGATGTCTGGTCACCTATTCTGAGATTCAATCACCAATCGAAAAAAATATGTCATACAAAAAAGCACCAATTAGTTTTCGTTCAAAGCATGATTTTGCACGTGACACACAGTTTTTGATTTGGGGTTGAACATACCTGTACATACAATTATAAAACATTGCTGCCGACCTTAAGTTAAGAGCTGTGAACCAGTCACATGTGGTACAAATCCCGCTACATGTTTGTTGGTAACCCAATATTGCTGAGTAAAACCTTTTTCCATGGTAACCATTTTTTGGAGGGGCAGGTCCATATAATTGGCGCCTCGTGGCATTAAATTAAAATAGAAGTATACCTACCCAGAGTTACCATTTCCCATAGCAACACAGCAAACCCCCAGACGTCACTCTTGCTGGTATAGATGTTGTTCAGCAGCGACTCTGGCGCCATCCACCGGACTGGTACCCGGCCATGTGACTTCATCTCATACTGGCTCGAGTCCTGAATGTCCCGGGCGAGTCCGAAATCAGACACCTTGGCAACCAGGTCATCACCAAGGAGAATGTTGCGCGTGGCGAGGTCACGGTGAATACACTGAGAAATAAAAAGGTGCAATTATTAATTTACTAATTATCATTATATTATCACAAGATATATAGCCTGCTTATAGTTCGGTAGGACGAAATTCAACAAAGGCAAGCACATACAAACACAAAACATTTTCGTAATTGCCGGCAAATACGGCCCCCTGTTGTCCCTAATCCTCAAATCATACCTTTGTTTGTACTCTTTTTAGCAACAGCTCTTATTGGTTTTGCACACCAATTTCAACCGTGACGTTCGTTCAATCGTGGACGTATTGTTTGTCCCCTAACCCGTTTGTCCTAGGTCCACGACTGCCCCGGTGTTTACGTTTACAAACTCAGGTCGGCTGCAAACACTTTTTGCATATGCGAGTATAAACTGCGATTATCAAATCTGGAGTTAAAACGTAAAAAGTCAATGAGGCATTGTGTTCTATCTTGCAAATGTCCGTAAATATTTAAAGAACATTGTGACCTCTGACGTCATTCCAACCGGTTGCACGCCCGGACGTGGGAAAAACAACCAGCTCATTCTCCACAGCGTACTGTGAAAACTTTAAAACCTCCTTAATTCGAATGATGAACATAGGTAGATTTGGGTAGATGGATAGCTTTGAACATTGGTCGGCATCACTTGACCATCGCTTACAATCTTTCTAGCTAAATGTGATATGGTCTATAAACCATCTTATCAAAGTAAATAAAAATACAAACTTACTTCATCCAGCGAATTAAAGATTTCAATGTGTCTGCTGCCACTTATATAGCAACGATGCAACAAGAACATTTCAAAGTAAGACACGCCATTGATGTCCGGAGCAGATTGGTGGGTTTTTTTTCCCGAAAATGAAAATTTCAAGACACAAAATCACGACAACCAAACTCTTACCGATTTCGAAGCCAGAAACTCCATCCCGTCAGCGATTTGGATGGCGAAGGACAATATCTCCCAGGGAAGGAGGACATTTTTCTTCTCTTCCCGGAGCTCCTTCAAGTCATCAGAGTACTGCCCCTTGGACCCAGTCCGCAAATGCCGAAGGTACGTCTGCAGGTTGCCGTTTGGTAGGTACTCCATGATCAGGTAGAACGGTTCTAAAGTGACCCATCCCGTGCAAAAATACTTTACATTACAGTTTGAATATTGTCCAAATACACTGCAGCTGTGTTCTGTCTGTACCAATTAGGTTGTGTAGTCGTCAGACGACTGTCACCTGATCAACAAGGTCTGACTAGTCTTGTTAACAGGATGATTGGTTATCCGTGCCCTGCAAGCTAGTCTTATTATAGGGATTGGATTACACCAACATGGTTTTTGTAAGAGGGGATTGGCTTGACTAGGATTTTTCAGGGTTTCTTTTTTTGCTTAACCCTAACCCTGCCAGACGCAACACTTTGCATTAGGTGGAACAGTGCACTTTGATGCATTCAGCTACCAACACCAGTACCTCAACGGGCCGCTTCTGAAACAATGAGAGCAAATTCCATCGAACAATGCCATAGTTGTATCCTGCTGCCATTCGGTGACTGTGCATGTAGACTTTGACGTAGTTTTGGCCTGGGCTCAAGATTCAAATAGTTGTCCCAGACACTTTTGGCCCAACTAATATCTTCTAAGCAGTAGTTATTACCACATGGTGTTACCGCAAACCGAAACAATACCGATACCCCACCATGCAAAGTCTCAAATCTTATACCAACTGGTCTTGCCGCACATGTTGTTGCGTTTAACATAGCCTTTAGTCAAGTCCCACGCGCCTATACCCGGACCATACCCGGACACGTAACGCACCCTGGATGCTGGCACGTAAAAAGACTAGCACGAGCGGCAAAGCCGCGAGGGCCTTTACTATCTCGTGGAACTAATCACTTATTCATTTATTTACGTAATATAAATCAAGCAATTTAAACCAATCATCTAACGGTGGTTTGCGGTTACCAGCAACAGCACGCGCGCCATGGCTGTCTGGTGCCAGACGACGGCTGCATGATTTACGTTTAGTAATGCTGCTTTTTCATTGGTCAATTCACAACGGGTAATGCATTATGCATGTCTACCAAATCGGTAGACAAATGTAAAGAAAAACACAAGCGTTCTCCACGAGATGGTAAAGGCCCTCGCGGCTACGCCGCTCGTCCTAGTCGTTTTACGTGTCAGCATCCGGGGTGCGTCACGTGTCCGGGTAAACGCGTGGGACTTCACTAAAGGCTACGTTTAACAGGGCTTCTAGCCAAAATACCCCGGAAGGTTAGAGCTAAGCTGCTTAAAGGGGCACTCACACTAGGCTATGTGTGAATGAGGAACTTGTAAAATATTTTTTTCAACAAGTTCATTCTCTTACTGTTTACCTTTCTCTGTGCAAAAGCCCAGCATTGTGACCACGTTGGGATGACTGCCCAAGGTCAGGTACATACTCCTCTCCTTCTCAAAGTCACTCTTGTCTCCTTCCGTCGCCGTGGCTGTCAAAAAATATGCCACATTTAATCAAAACGGATGCAGACACACATTGAAATGAAAACAAATGAACTGTTTTGTGGGAGAAAGCGTGGGTTTGCTAGTCTATGTAATAGACCGTGGCGAATGCCGCGGTCTATTTCATATGAACAGAAACGCTGATTAATTAGTCAAGACAACCGCACATTGGCCCTAAGATTTATACAAATCAGAGGGCGCCTATGTCGGGTCTTCGGTCATTCACCTATGTCGCGTCTAGATACGGATAAAAAACCGGTAGACACAGCAACAAAGACATATATCACGCGACACGTACGCCAGCGGTGTTGTTGCATTACAAAACACTAGATTCGAATTGACGAATCAGAGTTTTAGTCCTGATTTGGGAATATTAGACAACGCGGTTTAGTAAGGTCGACTCCGATCGGCAGAGGCGCAAAATTGCGGGGAAATTGCATGTTTTGACAAAGGCCTATCAGACGTTATACAGGAGACTTGGCTCCGTGGATTAATGTTCCCCCGCCCAACCCCGAAAAAAAATGATAAATTGGGAATATGCAAGCGAAAGAACAAGGAGTTTGGGCCAAAAATGTGCTTTGTCCCCCCCCCCCCCCCAAATAAAATCCTGGCGACGCCCATGAACCTTTCGGTAAGTGTGTATTCTTTGATACTCCAATTTAACAGCTGGGGCTACTTGTTACCAACTATTTGTTTTGATTTGGTCCTGGGAAAAAAACCGTTTGCATTGCAGTTTGCAATTGGGGCACTGACATGATGTGACAAAGGAGAAGAAAAGAAAAAGATGTACTTTTGAGCATCTTGACGGCAACTGTTGTCATGGTTCCCTTCTTGATGATTCCATCGGCTTCGGCCCTGTGGACAGTCGCGAACGAGCCTGCTCCCAGCTGTTCCATCACGTGGAGCCACTCCCTCGGGAATTCTTTGGGCTTACTTCCCGGTTCGTAATTCAGCTCGTTGGGTCGTCTGGCCACTGGGGGTTTGTCCTCGTCACTGAAACCAAGGTAGGCGTTACTCCGCTTCTAAAAATACAAAGATATAGTAGAGAGAGTTATTAACGACATCAATTGGTTGAAATTAAAGGAAGTTTGGGGCACGTGTGGTTTAGCGGTGGAGCACAGGATTCGTGATCGAGAGGTTGTGGGTTCGAGCCCCACCGTGGCCATGCGTGTTGTGCCCTTGAGAAAGGCACTTTACCTCAATTACTCCTCTCAACCCAGGTGTTAAATGGGTACCGGCATTTTTCAATACTGGGAAGGTAACAGACTCGCTGTGGAGGAGTTGGGCGATCCCCCCCCCCCCCCCCCCCCACACACACACACACACACAGCAGCATACGAGTCTAGCCCATTCGCTAACGAAAGAAAGATGGGCACTCCACTCCTGTGAATACAGGTTTAACCCTTTAACTTTACCTAAAGGAAATCTATCTTATAGCCCTGATACGGCGGAAAGAAAAAGGCTTTATAGGTCCAAGTAAATCGGGTGCCCGGCAAAAGGGCGTAATATGAGCGTTGTGACGCGAAAAATACTTTCAAGAAAATTGCATGGGAAGGCCGCAATTCCCCCACTCGTAGTAGGAATATAATTCCCGCCCGCAAATATTATAAACGGCGCACGGTTAACCTTGTATGAATCATAACTTTTGGAACAACTACTGTTAATTTCTGACAGATTCTTCAGTTTCATTAAAATAGATGCAGTTTTCTGCATATGCCCTTTTGCTGGGAACATTTTGGTGATCACACGTTCGCGCATGAGGCCAGAGCGTACACGCGCGGACGTCCTTGTGCCAGGCACACAACTTCATGAAATTAATCCCATGATAGTTTGGAGTATTTGAGATTAAAGACTTTCTACAATAACAAACTGGTCAAAAACTACTTCTTAAGTAGTAATGGTGCCCTCAATCACTCTGACTTGACAATGATTTACCACATTACGGTCGCCCAGTGCCAGTTCCTCGTGCCCGCTGTTTCTGCGGAGCCTCTTCGTGGCGAGACGCCTCCTTACCAGCAAAAGAACGACGACCATAAGGACCAGTAGGATTACTACGACGGCAACAACGGTGATTATTATAGTCACGTCTGGTGGAGGACCTACAAGAAGAAATGGTTCACAAATTGTAATTGGGACGTCTTTTATCATTAGTACATGCCCTATTAATTACGTAGCTGCACACGATAACGTTACATGAATTTGCTCACATTTGGGTAAATTCGTAGGAATTACTATACTACACAGAGTGAGTCCAAAAGAAAGTGACCTGGATTAATAATTTTATTGGTCGACATTGTTTTGCAATCAGTTACACTGTATCCGTGAACGGGTGAAAGCCAGCTAGTCTGGTTCCCTGACCTGACAATTCCCCGACGATTATAAATTGCCCTGTTTCGTCTGAAGTAATGTAAAGTAACGTAAAGTAAAGTAATGTAAAGAATAAAAAAAAAATCGTAGTAAGCAAATATAAACCCAAAACTTTGAACAGGTCATCAGTGTAACATAATTTGGTATTAAAAAAATATACATTTCTGAATTACAGCAAAATCAAATCTTGTATATTGTTTTTAGTTAGGTATTATTATTTTTTTCAGCGTGAATCAAAAGTATTCCAATGAACTGCAATTTCATTGTAGAGTAGACCCATATATATCATAATGACGAACTCCCATTCTTTTGTAATGTGCGTTTATATATTTATAAAACTGAAATTCATAGAGTAATTTGTTGGTCGGCGAGCGCATAAATGAAATCAACAGCTAGTCGTCGGGTTCTTCGTAAAATCAGAAAAATCGTGACTCGTTTATACAACTATGTTTTGTTTGCTGCCCCCACCAACGACTTTGCACAAATTGCACGTTCCGGTCGAAACAGGACCTGAAAAACATCTCTCAAAAGTACCTTTTGTATTCATTTCATGACACGGAAATGTCTTCGAGCATTCCACATTCTCTGTAATGTAACCTTTTCGGGTCTGACATTTGTTCAATGTAGGTAATGTACTGAAAGCTTTTGCTTCATTATTATTCCTACATGTTGGTAATTACCGATTCATTAATTAATCACTTGTGTATATAATTGTAATTTAATACATACCATTAAGAATGTTATTATTTATTGTTGTAAATCCATACCTTTTGCCAACATGATATAAATGTTGTTGTTTACAATCTGCAAATCAATATGCGTTGTTCTAATCGCTAACATTACATTTGAGTTTGTGCTTCATGAAAGCACCCCCTTTTAAGCCTCTCAACAAAAATACATCTTCACCAATCTCGCAATTCATCCCTTGATGGTAGGGTACGCAATTGCAAGTTCGATTCGCATTACAACTGCCTCCGTTCAAACAATCATTGTCTTCTGTGCAGGCCAGCCCTGAAAAGAGAAACATTTGTCCAGAATAATAACAGATCTGACACATAAAATAATATGCGTAATTAAACTCTTACGTATGACAGGTGTTACTAAAACTGTTGCCAAAACAGCTGTGTTTGTCCACAAACACAAATCTGTTAATTTTTATTTTGATTTGTTTCTGGTTTTTGTTTTATTTGTAATTTTGTTTCAGCCCTGCACAAAACTAACAACAAAATACATGCGATCAATTTGGATGATTAAACAGTCAAAATTGAATTCAGCATTTCAAGGTAAATCGGATGCAACATATTTTTAAAATTATTTGAGTGGTTTATCTTCCTCATGGACATTTGGTTTCGGATTTCATTTTATGCTATTAAAGTACTGCTTCCTCTCAATTAAATTCTCAATTATGTGTCATCGTCTTCTTGTCCCTTTCATAATCGTCATTTCGCTAATGTCATTTTTGTCATTAATGTCACCGTCGGTGTGTTGTCCTTGCCTTTAAAATGTAATGTAATTGATCGTCCTGGTCCGGGCGTTGTTGCATTGTCACAGTTTTTGTCGTGGTCATAACCGCATTGTCACAGGTTGTCGCGGCCGTCTTTGTATATACTGTTATCGCTGACTTGTTGTCACTGTCCTGTTTTTGCTGTCACTGATTTCGTTTGTTGGGCCGATACAAACATTACCTACCCCTTCCACATCTTGACCCGGTGTAGCCGTCTGGGCAGAAACACACACCAGTGTCCAGGCAAGTTCCACCGTTCTTACACTGAGCGTCAGCAGTACAACCTGGGTCTGATAAACCAAGCAATATGTCGGAATTAAAAGCATATAGGTTCACTTGCATTTATCCCAAAAGAAACTTACTGAATAATTATCACAAAGCAAAGATCGTACTGGTATTAAACACCCCGTGAAAGTCCGTTTGGCTTGCTGTCATTTAAGAAGAAATCAAGAAATGTAGGTGATATTGCCAACGATCAGTCAATTGGCTAATTTTTGTAGATAAAGAGACATAGGCTTTGACATATAGCTCTTTATCTACTATGATGAATAATCCCTGTAAAGTTTCTTCAAAAGGTTGTCTATAAACTAGGTGATATTCACCGTCTCAATGCATCCATCATAGAGTAAACTAAAATAAATGAACACGAAAAAAATACCGCGTGCAGGCAATGCCATGGAAGACATGAAATGAGTTGTTGACATCTGTTGTTGTTTCCAAACAAGTTACATACCTGCATTTTTCGGCAGGCTAACGACAAAACTGCAATGAATGTCCATCCTCTACATAATCGTGTCCATGCCGGGCGCGGATTCAGAGGGGTCGACCCCCCCCCCCCCCCACATACACACACCCACCCACGCTTACATAGGCATAGAAGTGGGGTACTTCCTTTGTTCTCGTTTACTAAAAATTTGCAACGTCGCACACTTAAGTCAAAATTCTCTTATTTTAACCATAGTTAATTTCCTGGGCTGAAATTCGGACTTAATATCCCTTTCCTAAAACTCTTCCATTTGCGACGGATCAACCCGGCTTGGTAATTCCTAGTTTTTGAGTAAAATCCATATATCTATTTCGTGAAAAACTTGTGGGGTACCAAAACGGTACCCCGCAAGTCGGTGGGCATTCCTTGTGGGGTACCTCCCATTGTTCCGGTACCCTACAAGGCAGTGTTTGTACACGCACCCAGACTAGTATGCATTTGCCTGCAATTGGGGACTCCCTGTTGTCCCTCTTTCATTATTACTACAACTTGTTAGAAAGACCTCCTAGATATGTTTTGTACACGATTCCAAATTGGGGACCCCTCGGGAATTCGGGACCCTATTGTCCTCTATTGTTCAACGTCCCCTATCGAATGCAGAAACAAACTAACATACACACTACTTATGACACCTAAACAACAACAACGTGCATCAGTGACAATGTGCTGCATTATGAATGTCAGCTTGTCCACAACAATCGGACATAGCAAAAATCCGACGGGCCTGACACCCCCCTGCAAACAAAATCAAGATCCGCCCCTTTATGCCCGCACGGTATTGCTTAGGAAGCGTCTGAAAAAAAAAAGACTAGGCAAGTCTAGAAAAGCTGGTCCCAGAGCCATTGGGTCTGAGGAATCAATGTAGCAATGAGAGTTAAATTTGTGGGTCAAGGTGGTACTTATTAGGCAAGTCTAATTCACATGTGACTGTCAGTCAGTGAGTCAGTGGGATAGGTATAAAGAGTGGTAGGCTGGCCCTATGGGACCAGCAACACTATTTGGTGGAATGGGTCAAGTCTATAATAATAATAATAATAACACGATTTATAGCGCACATTTTCTCAAGTAACAATGCGCGACTAAGGACAACTCCAGAAGACAATTTACAGATTATGTGGAGAAAACAGATCAGTTTTCAGTCTGCCCTTAAAGTTGTCAAGAGAACTGATGTTGCGGATGTTGTGTGACAAGGAATTCCAGCATCGGGGACCAGACACTGAGAAGTACGGTGGCCCACAACTGTCACGGCAAAAGCAAAAGCGCCACGGCAAGCGCAAAAGCGCCGTGGCAAGCGCAACAGCGCCGCGGCAAGCGCAACAGCGCCGCGGCAAGCGCAAAAGCGCCACGGCAAAAGAAAAAGCGCCGCGGCAAAACAAAAAGCGCCGCGGCAAAAGAAAAAGCGCCACGGCAAAACAAAAAGCGCCACGGCAAAAGAAAAAGCGCCACGGCAAAACAAAAAGCGCCGCGGCAAGCGCAAAAGCGCCACGGCAAGCGCAAAAGCGCCACGGCAAGCGCAAAAGCGCCACGGCGAAAGCAAAAGCGCCACGGCGAAGGCAAAAGTGCCACGGGTTTATTGGGAAGGGGCGTAATCATACATGCCGCTACTACATCAAAAAATAAAATGGGAAGGAGAATGGCCGCCACCAGGAATTCTTATTAAGCACAGAATTTAATTCTTTGAGAAGTGATTTTATGGCTGAGAAAATAGCAAAGCAAAGGAAAACCGGTCAGGAAATAAATCGTCGATATTAATTTGTTGTAGGATAATTATTATTCCAAGAGAGTTGCTGCCGTGAATCAGAGTTTATCAAGGAGTGGGACTCGCTATCGGCACCATCAGGGCCGTTCCTCATTTCTTTACATTTCGTGGGATGCAAACAATTACAAGGACGGGAGGCTCTGTGAGCTGATGCATTTTTTAAAACATTTTTTTCCCCTTCCGACTAGCATGCAGAGAAGAGTTCCGTTAATTTGAGCCTTTTTTCACAGGTGTGTATACCAGTGTAGGCACGAAAGTGAGCTGCCCAGAGTGTATGAGTTAATTTTTTTTTTCTTTTTCAGTATATCATACACATCTATAGGAAGTCGATTAAGGCTCTCCTGCAGGGCTGCGGCAGTGGGTGGGTAAGGCTTGTCAACACGTAACTCGCCCGCGGGCCCATTAGGTTAGAAATTCCCAGAGAGCGGGAATTTCAAAACTCTTCGCTGAACGTTGATTGCACTGACCGGTTTTCCTTGCTATTTTCTCAGCCATAAAATCACTTCTCAATTCATGGTGGCGGCCATACTCCTTTCCATTTAATTTTAGATGTAGTGGCGGCATGTATGATTACGCCCCTTCCCAATAAACACGACTGAGTTGAAGATAACTCACAAATCGAGAAATGGATCGTTCTATTAGACAGTTGCAACGCTTTCGACAGAGGAGGTTAGGTCGTGGATTTCATGTAAGGAACGTAACACAGGCGAAGACTTTGGATATAGAATAAGAAAGAAAGAAATTAACTTTAAAAAGGGGGGGGGGAGGGAGAGACACTAAACAAAGGAGAAGTGTTATCGTTGAGATGCACAGTTCTAAGCTCTTCTATGAAAATTTGGTGGCTCTGAAAAGAGCCGTTTGCTTTGTTTCGAGTGAATACGGAACTATTTGATGCCGGAAACAAGCCTTCTTTCTGCCCTGCAGGCTGATTCTACGATGATGTGGAAGACTGTCCACATGGCAACTCATCATCGCTATCGCTAAGCATCATGAGGTCTTGTTCGGCTTGTTGGTTTCTTGAGCCGGGGGTGGGTGGGCCAATGAGTTCTAGGTTCTGAGTTAATTTCTTTCTTTCTTATTGTATATCCAAACTCTGGGCAGCTCAATTGTGTGCCTACACTGGTGAGCTTGTCTTACATACGCAGTGTGGACTTCCGAACAAAAGACGTCCACATAATGTAGGTAGCAGCGACGAAGTGTGGACTTGCCCACGTCCACACAGTGTTTCCCCATTTCTGGAAAACAGGTTTAGAGGCATTTTTGGGTTAGGTTTATCTGTAGCAGAATGAAGAGAAACACTAAAGGGAATCATTGAAAAAAAATTGGGTTGTAAGAGTTTTCACAGTTTGAGAAAAATGAGTTTTTCCACTGGTGTTCCTTAACTACACGAAAAGAAAGGAAAGTCCACACTAGGTATGTGAAACAAGTCTGTGTGTACACACCGGTGAACTCATGGGCGTCGCCAGAATTTTTTCTAAAGGGGGCAAAACATATTTTTCCCAAAAAATTCTTGTATTTCTGAACAAATTCTCGATTTCTCAGTTTTAGACGGGGGCAGGGACATTTTGCCCCCCCCCCCAACTCGTTCAATTTACACCACTATGACTTCGCGCCTCTTTTTCTTTTCTTATTTTTCTCTCAGTTTTTTCCCCTTCCTTTTTTGTGTGCTTTTCCAGGGGGGGGGGAGCGCCCCCTTGCCCCCCTCGCGACGCCCATGGGTGAACTAAGTCTCAAATTAACGGAACTCTTCTCTGCATGCTAGTCGGAAGGGGAAAAAACTCTTCAAAAAATGCATCAGCTCACAGAGCCTCCCGTCCTCGTAATTGTTTGCAGAAATGAGGAACGGCCCTGATGGTGCTGATAGCGAGTCCCACTCCTTGATAAACTCTGATTCACGGCAGCAACTCTCTTGGAATAATAATTATCCTACAACAAATTAATATCGACGATTTTTTTCCTGACCGGTTTTCCTTGGCCTTGCTATTTTCTCAGCCATAAAATCACTTCTCAAAGAATTAAATTCTGTGCTTAATAAGAATTCCTGGTGGCGGCCATTCTCCTTCCCATTTTATTTTTTGATGTAGTAGCGGCATGTATGATTACGCCCCTTCCCAATAAACCCGTGGCACTTTTGCCTTCGCCGTGGCGCTTTTACTTTCGCCGTGGCGCTTTTGCGCTTGCCGTGGCGCTTTTGCGCTTGCCGTGGCGCTTTTGCGCTTGCCGCGGCGCTTTTTGTTTTGCCGTGGCGCTTTTTCTTTTGCCGTGGCGCTTTTTGTTTTGCCGTGGCGCTTTTTCTTTTGCCGCGGCGCTTTTTCTTTTGCCGTGGCGCTTTTTCTTTTGCCGTGGCGCTTTTGCGCTTGCCGTGGCGCTGTTGCGCTTGCCGCGGCGCTGTTGCGCTTGCCGCGGCGCTTTTGCGCTTGCCGTGGCGCTTTTGCTTTTGCCGTGACAGTTGTGGGCCACCGTAGAGAAGGCCCTGTCCCCTGCCTTTTTGAATATGCGTGAAACTCTAAGGTTGTTACTGGTGCGGAGGCCACTACGGCTGGGTGCATTATTGGTTGAGTGAACCCATGTACTGCGGCATTGTGTTATGAAGTGCTTTGTGCATGAAAACTGCTGTTTTGAAGTTGATGCGTTGTCTAACTGGTAACCAATGTAATTGTTGAAGGAGTGGAGAGGCATGTGTGTATTTGGGTTGAGATAATGTGATACGAGCGGCATTGTTTTGAAGCCGTTGGAGTCGATCAACCTCATACTGATTAATACCATTGAGAAGAGAGTTGCAATAATCGAGTCTGGATAGTACAAGTGCTCGGACAGCGGCGTGGCATGTGTTTGTGTCTATGTATTTACGAATCTTGGATACGCGTTCCTGTTTGTGGTAGTTGATAGGTTTGCATATGTTTGCTACGTGTTTGCTCATTGTCATGGAACTGTCGAAAACAACACCCAAGTTTCGGACTGTGGGGAGGGGTAAAAAGAATGTTGGGGGGGGGGGGTGAAAACCACTCACCTCTCTCGCACAAAAGTCCTTTGTAAGGGCTGACACAGATACAGGTTCCTTCCACACAAGTACCGTTATTATGACAAGGATTTACCCCCGAGCATACACCTGAGGGGACAAACAGCAACAAATGACAAATCAGACCTAGCCAGATATCGGATGTTTATGGATTGGTTTAAAATTGATGTACGATAATCTCACAAGTTATATAATCCGATTTTGGGGTTACAGTGATGGTTCTGTAGGCTGGGACGCGTCCGTGCCCGAGCACCGATCACATAGCTCGGAACACATCACTAACGATGATCAGTGATTTGGGGGAAATGCGATGGTGAGCTTTAGAGATGCGCAGAAATGGCCAAAAGCAAATCAAGAAGGTTATGAATCCGTAACTTACAGGTCCCGCATCAAATTAGGACGCCGGGGAGCCCCCCCCCCCTCCCCTTCCCCTCCCTGTTAACTATTTAGCGAACAAAATTAATACAAGTTTTACCGTAGAGTTGGCAGAGAGGTCCTTTGTAGTTGTCCGGACACGTACACTTGTTACCCTTCGTATTGCCCTTCGGAGGCATACACGAGCCATTGTTGAGGCACATCCCCTCCAACTCCCCACAGAATTCGCCAAAAGCTGACGGGTAAAGAGGTTCGAGTACAGGGAACATTATTTCATTTACACAAAAAAAAAACAGTCAATCTTATTGAGATTTGATTGGACGAACACAAAGGTCCAACATGTGGCTTTGGTATTGAACACAAAACTGAACAGCACACTCTTGTTTCTCAAATAAAGAATATATTCAACATATCTCGCTATTTTTAGCGAGTATTTTGTCCCTCAAGGAAGTATTTAATTTAACATGTATTTTGAAAAGAGCCTGAAAGTACGCCATTTTGTCTTACCGTTCCAAGAAAAATAATGAAAAATCAATCAGTGATAGGTCAAAACGATTTTTACTGACGACCTTTCTGCTACACATCCGAACTTTTGTAACTAGATCTCATAGTTGATCAAGTTTGTTTTCACATACACTTGCGTGAGAATGAAAAAAATGATAACGACGCGAAGATATATACCTACCTACATCCGATGGATTCTAGATATAGTAGGCTTGCTTGAATACAGTTCTTATTAACGGTCATTATAAACTTGTTAATAAATGAGAATTAGTCATTCAAGTTTATCCAAAACAATTGTATGTCCAAAAAAGACATTTTAGTCTCCTATTTAAGTTTCAGTTCTTACCCAATGACCGTCACAAAATTATTTCGTAAATTGGTATCTTTGAGCGAGTGTTAGTCCACATGTATTTTAGATTTTCAGAAAAGAGAGGTCATTTTTGGCACCATATATTTCTTTGTACAAATGCCTTTTTTTCGTGAGAATTCTGTTTAAATAAGGTTATTTAAAAACTCAGACTTAAAGTAACATAGGATAATGCTTCTTTCCCCGGTAAACTTTCAGGCTTTATTCGCATCACGTGCTTGTTCATTTACGAGTTTGGCATAGTGGACCAGCATGTTCAACCGGGCATGACACGCATTCACGTCCCGAGTCGATGATGATGAGTAATGCATGCAATCTCCACCATAACAATCCGCGTCTACTTCGCACACTATAATTTATGGCACAAAAAAAGAACTTGTTTTAGATTATTCGAGGTCAATTTTCAGGCTTTATTCGCATTATTAATTGGCGGTCTCCCGTACTTGTTCACTTACGAGTTTGGCATAATGGACCGGTGAATCCAACCGGACATGAGACGCACTTAGGTTCCTGATTCGATGATGACGATGATTCATTCATGCATTCTCCGCCGTTACAATCCGGATCTATCTCGCACACTAGTACGGTTTAATAGGGAAACAGGTAATCTGTTGCTGCTGTTAATGGTTTATGGTTTATGTTTTATGTTCATATTATATCACAAAAACAGAATTAGCAAGAATCTACATATTCGGCTGAGTTATGTGGGGCACTAACAGAGGTGATACGAGAGATGCAGGCGAAAAGAAAAATACATAAACTTAGCTGAATTATATCAAGTGAATATTCGATTAAATTGAAAAGAAATTGAATTAACAGCAAGTACATATTCACATTCGTATTAATAAGTATACATATATACTTCTTTTGTATCCATGGCTTACGAGGAAGGAAATAAATTACAATCATACAGGAAAGAAAGGAAAAGGGAAAGAGGCAAAAGTGGGGCAGGAATTATAAAATAATGATAGTTTTCAACAATCCGTGAGATGACACGAAATTGAGTATTGATTGGGATACTTAAATATTAGTATAATTTGTCAACAACAACAACGATTTCAGGTAGTTGTCTAAATGTTCCATTGATCTCATTACAGACATTGGTTTGAGTTGGTTCCACAATAGAGGTCCTTGATTTCTGCCAGTCGATAAGTATAAAGAGATGTTCTAGCTTTATGGGGATGAAGGTTTGAGGCTGACCTCGTATTATGAGAATGAATATCCGAGATTTTGTTAAATAGCGAATGTATTGCTTTGGGTAGACTATTTGTTTCAAATTGATACAGTAATACATAAACACGTGGTTGTTTTGGCACAATATACAATGCATTGATATAGGGTAGGTGTTATACCCCATGCTAAAATACCATATTGAAGGTGAAGCAGCAAGAAAGAAGGTTTTCTTTCAAACGGATCAACACGTAAACTTCAAACTTGGTATGAACACCAACCCTTATACATACGTCCATATCAAACTTGTGTCATCATGATGACGAATCATATACAACATGCCAAGCGATTATGAAAAAAAGTACACCAACCTTTTGTTTCGCAGAAATTTCCTGTGAATCCATCAACGCAATCACAGGCTACTTTTTGTGGCATGTCTGGTGAGCATGCTCCATTATTCATACACAATGATTCCACGCATCTCTCCAGTCCAGTTACTGGGGTAATGAGAAAATCAGAATTTTGGAACAATGATTCGTGAACTTTCATGTCAATTGAAAAATGTGACAAATGAATGGGATAAGGATATGATTTATTTTTTAAGATTTCCCTTATCATATTTTGAAATATTACAAGCAGAAGCCCGAATACAGAAGCAGTAGTGCCATTGTTTAGAATACATTCCATATTTTTATACAATTTAATGCATTACCATTCATTCACTACATGCTCTGTTTATTGCTTTAATGATTAATATAAATCGATAAGGTCATCACTGGCATGTCATGGGATTTTTTCGCTTCAAATGTCGGCTGATGACTGCAAATGGTGCCTGACTAAACTTGCAAATAATGGGAGTCACGAGAGGCCACATAAAGCTTATTCTCGACCTTAAACCAATCTCAAAACACGTTAAAATTGTGCGGCAGCAGGTTTCCAGTCAAACCAGTGAGTTTGGCGGTTTTGAGACATCATCTTTCATTGAAAAAAAAAATTCATTTTGCCGACGCGCATGGCTACGGCGACGCTTGCGCATACCAGAAACCGGAGACTTTTTTTTTGGCCCAACAGTCCTGAATTATATGCGATTTTTCACACTCGCTAGAGAGTTAATTAATGCACCAGAAATAGCGGTTTGCAGCTAGCAATGTGATGGCATGATTTCGGCAAAATAATGTTGTATTAAAAATTGTGGAACATCAAAATTAACACGGAACTTTGGGGCCTAAAATAATAACAATGTGTGTTTGCCCAAACATTTCACTGCACAGCACCCACAAAATGACCGGTATTTTGGCGAGTTATTTAATACTCACGTGTTCTTTCGCAGTAGAACCCAGCGAACCCTTCCGGACACAAACAGCCGGGAGGATCACCGTCACATGTCCCGCCATTCAAACACCAGCGAGGAGAGCAAGTCCCTTGCGCACTCACTGTTGGTTGGGAAAACACGTGTCAATGCACATCCGGAAATGTAGAGAAATCCATGCCAACAAAATTAGAAGCCATTTTGAGATGGTATTCAATAGACCATCATCATGTTGTGGCCATTTGGACTTTACCCAATCAAATTAACGTAACCAAAGGGAGGCTGGAAGGAAAAATAATCTTGAACATTTTTTGCACAAAAAAAATCCCATTCTCATTCAGTGCTGCTAATGAAACAAAGTTGCATCGGGTTGAAACATTCTTTTCTTTGTTTGTAGCTCAACAGACACAAACCAAGGGTGACCGTAAGGTCATGGCCAAATTCTGCTAAATGCACTTCGAAAATCTGTTTAGATTTATCAAAAATCTGCCAAATTCCCCAGAATGACTTGATATACACTATAAACACTTAAAATCACATGCAGATTTGTTCAAATTAAATTATAAACAATCTACAGTCAGGCGCGGTTCTACGGGGGGGGGGGGGGGGGGGGCTAGGTGGGGGGGGGCTGTAGCCCCCAAAAATTTTGTCTGGCCCCCCTTAAATAAATTCCGTAAAAAAAAAAATTGCATTAGCAAAAAGAAGGATTGTGATGTCCATGCGAACGGTCTCCCATTGAACGAACGATGTCCTAGCGCACGAGGTCGAGGGAAATCAGCAGGGATCCTTTCCGCACGTGTACAAGAGTAACCATCTACTTCTGGATACCATCCACGCCGTTACAAATGATTTTATCATGCAACGAAAAGTAACATTGACCGGAAATTTTGCATGCAAGCCCGGGCCGCCCCGCGCAAAAATCACGCTCCGTTATATCAGTCAGCGGCAAAAAGTGCAACATTCTTGTCAAGCACTTCTAGTTCTTTAACCCTAAAGGTTCCGGGGGCGGAATCCGCCCCCCCCTTCAACATTTTCCACAATAGCCTCTAAAAAAAAAGAAATTGCGACCCGAGCTGTTATGACTTTTTAGTCTCGAGCTTTGCGCATCTTTTGATACCAAAAACATAAAAATCGGACCACGGGTTGCCGCGTAGCTAAAAATTGTCCGGCGCTACGCGCCGTGAAAAATGAATTTCCGCATATACGTCGTGTACACAGAGCAGAATTGCCGTTCGTACATATGAATAATTAATTAGCCATAATTCCAAAACCCTTTGACCTATAGTCATGAAATTTCTTGGGTATGTTTGAGAGAGTTGCTCTTGCATGTGCTGAGTTCACTCGATGGTCGAGATCTTAAGGGAGGGGGCGGAATCCGCCCCCCCCCCCGGCTGAGAGATGGTCAAAATAACCCGGCCCCTTTAGGGTTAAAGGTAGCGAAGGCAATATTTTCAATTATCGATGTTGATTACTTAAAGGGAAGATACAACATTTGCAAACATCACAAAACGAAATGAAGGCCATGATTGGTTCTCTTGAATTTTCCAGCATGTATATCAACCCAAAACGTGAAACAAGTCGTTTTAACAATATTGCTATAACATACTAATCCTCCAAATCCAATTATTTCTGAAAATCGGAGCAAAATCAAATGTTGTACATTTCCCTTTAACAAATACGAAAGCCGGTTCGTGCCTGGATTTAAAAGCGAACACAAAAATAACTCAATATTTTTGAGGAAAAATGCAATAGTCTGGCGAAATAAGGAGTAATTTTGCAAAATAATACAATAAATTCGCGAAATAAAGCAATATTATTGTGAAGTAATGCAAACGTGTTTTTTCGTTTAAATAGACAAGTTACAGCGGACAGATTGGAGAGGTTTAAAATTTGCGTTTACAACGCAATTTGGAATAATATTACTTGTACGGAAAACTCTATTACCTAATCTTATTATTGATAATTTTCCCTTGGAATTTTAAGAAAATATTATTTCCCTTAAAGAAAACCAAGGCCTCTCACAAACTAAATATGCATGACCGATGGAGTCTTAAATTCAATTAATCGCAAAAATAAACTTTACAAAAATTACGAGTAACACAGTTAAATGCCAATGTCAAGATTACTCAAGCGAAATTTTATAAAGATAAGTTCCATAAAGTTAAAAGTAAAGCTAAAAAAAGTCGTGTATAATAAATTCATTATCGAAAATAACCATACAAAGTATCCTTCAGAATTCAACATATTACGTGGAAACCATTCAACAAGGAACCAAGATATTTGAAATGTTTTAATGGCTAGGACTTCTCTACGCAAACAGGCCCTCTCCTGAATCGAAATATACCTCAAGCAAATGCTAGTTATGTTAATTACTTGACTGATTCTCACGAAAAATTCATTTTCTTTATCCCTATAACTAGAACAGAAATGCATGCAATGGTTTCCAAATCTAAACGTCCATAAGTCTCCTGGCTTGGATGAATGAAGGTCAATTGTAGTTTAAAAGCGATTTGCAATCATCCAAAAACAAATTGATACTGGAGGCAAAACATGTATGAACGGATAGTACTGGTACCCGTATATATTCAATTTCAAATGCCGTTCGCCATTGTTGAAGGACAAGCTAAGGCAATACAATATTATCTCTCCCTGTATCATCACCTTCGTGAATTGTTTTGGTCTCGGTACAGTTATTTTTATTCGATTTGCTCTCGCAGACACATAATTAGGATTGAGCTTTGCCGACATTTAAAAAAGTTCTCGATATGTTTAGTTTGAGGATTTTTTCTCGGTACTGTGGAGAGTGCAACCTTGCAAAAGTTCATTGAAGCACTGGTAAGGGAAATTCTCCTGATAGCCTTAATTCAGAGCCTATTGACCATACATCGAATTAATCATTTTTCTCTTGTACAGATATACACATGACACATTTCCGTAAATAATTATATGCAAGTTTCCTTGATTAAATAAATAGTATTTCGAGTCCGTGGGATATCTATTGTTTCCATAACAACCGATTTAAAAGCTTCAGTACTACAAAGTATTTTGCCCACTGGGTTTGTTCCTCCATAGGGGATCAATATTTGCAAACTCTTATGGCCCATTAGTCTATGTAATAAACCACGGCGGATGCCGTGATCTATGATAATGATTAATTAGGCAAGACAACCGCCTCTGGACCTCTAGATTTCGACCCATCAACTGACGCTTTCTTGATCGGGTCTTCGGTCATTCATCGGTTGCGTGTCGAAGACAACAATTGATAAAAAAAAAACCTGTGTCAGGCTCTCTGTATCAAGTTACGCAATGATGCGCCCGGCTGCTATTGGTGTATTACAAAACACCGCATTCAAATTGACCAATCAAACCATTTAGATGATTTTGGAATGAAATTCCGTCACGATATAGTAAAGTCGACTCCGATTGGCTGGCACGCGGCTTGCATATATATATCTGCATGTCTAGACATATCAGACGGTATACAGGAGACCCTTGGCTTTGTGGATAACGGGTGATACCCAGACTAAGGGCCCATATGGGACCCTTATGGATCTGGGCTGCAGAGTCCTAAGGCCACACATGGGTCCGCCCATAATGATGGGCTGATATCGGACCCATGCTTCCCATTATGGGCTTGCTACCTGGGAAATCGTAATTACAAGCTGCAGACTGAGGACTGGAAGAGTCCCCGTGCACTTACCTAAACCGATGCATGAAAACACTACCGCAATTCCACAAAGTGAATGGGTCATTCTCCAAAAACGATCACCCTGGAACGAAACATTTACAGCCGATCCTGAAAGTCTGGTGTACCCAACCGTGTTCCCTAGTTCAACAGGTAATTGAAATCCGAACATCGGGTGTAAAATGCGAGAAGAATAATGGATTGTGAAGAAGAAGATATGTGCAAATGACGTTGCCTCTCGTGTCTCATTGGGTACTGCGATTTTACACTGATATATCCGGCAGCCCAGTGTTTTGCGCGTAAACTCATCATGCCCAACGCACGTAGGCCGTCCCAGTAATGACATTATAGACGGGAGGTATTTATAAACATCGAAATGACTCACACGGACCTCAGTGATACTAATTATTAAAATACTGCCAACTCTTCAAGGTGTGATAGACATTAATCAAATTAAGACTGATCATCATGTTTCATTTTCTGTTAATTTTTTTGGCTCATGTAATCCAAATTCCAAAGATGATCACCTCGAAAAGTAGTTTTGTGGCCCTTTGCCATTTCGAAAAACTATGCCTGCGTCCCATTGCAAAATAGAGCAATTGTAGGACCCGATTTTATCCGAATTTCACAGAAATACGAGCTCGCAGTCCGGTGCACGGCTTCCATTTTTTTTTTTGACAAACCTTCAGGTTCAATGCCAAATTGCCAAAAAGAAAAGGGCATACAAATTGTGATTTGGTCCGCGCAATCAATTCTGGGCCTATTTACAGGTCTGCATCATGGGATCGGGGCTGGCCATGTGAAAAAGCCCGCCCTCTCGTGGATATGAAGGCGGTATCACTGCAGTAAGGTGTGAACCAATAATTAAAGTCTAGTTGTGTGTGACATTTCTAGTTGTTTGTGACATTCATTTCGAGATCATCAAAACAAATGTTTGTAATTGTTGACCAAGTAAGCTGTCTTTCGATATAGTTTCGAATGTCGTGGTATTCATTCGTTCAGTCATTCATTCTTTTATTTTCCACATAATAAATCTTGGGTTTTTTAGCCCACATCTGACGCGACAGCCATTTATATGTTTCGAGTAGTGGGAGTGGAATAAGTGTCATCTGTTCAGCGGAGCTGGGCCGCGAACTTCACGACGAACTGAATGTGCACCTCGGAATACTTTACGCGACACTGCACTTGCAAACCAGAGCTGCAGTAACAAATCATGAGGCAGTCTAATATTTAAAAGTGTCGACGGCTCTTGGTTGGACGATAGCTCCCCCCCCCCGAATAAAAATTGCTTCTTTGTCATTTCCAAAGCACAAACGAAATTAATACAATTTTGCATGAGCAATACACAAACCGTAAATAGCCTCACAATAACAAGCTTTTTTTCATCAGAATGTGGATTTCTCTTTTAAATGTTCTGTTGGCCCAACCATGTATGGTTTCAAACAAACGGTTCCAAAACATCAAAACAAACACGTTTCACTTTTTTCTTATCTTTTATTACAGAACATCAAATGACTATCAAACATCTGAGTATACAAATAAAGACAATACATGTATAAGTAATAACAACCCGTCTCGGAAGTTTGCGTATGTATCCCTAAAAGCGACGTCAATGAGAATTTTTAAAACAAATTTTATTATAAGCTTTACATGCATAATTAAATAGAAAGCGAAGGCAGTTAAAGTAAAACCACACAAATGAGAACTGTTTATAATATTTATTTAAATTCAAATAAAAAAGGTGATTTCGAGGCAAGTAAAGGCCTATCATTTCCATGGTAGAGAGTACACTAAATCAACTTTAGTTGGCAATGGTAAGGCAAGAACAGGACCCCATTTCCTGGCTCTGCTTACCTTTAGTGGAAAATCCCTGCTTACTGTAGCAGAACATTACATGCTTAAGGTAAGCATATTTCACGGGTTAGCAAGAATCTTTGCTTCTGCGCATGCGTGCATCCCGCAACTAAGGATTGTGTGCTTACAGGGTTAGCGCAGAACTTTTTTGCTAGCGCGGTTAGAAAAGAGTGACGTCATCAGTACAGAGGCTTATTAAGAATGTGTTGTAGAATACCATTGACAATGCGGCAACTTTATTTTGTGTGTGTCCTGTAACGCAGTGATCATGTGACTAGACTCTGTTAAGATGGATTATTACGATGACGCCTCACCCGCTATAGAGAAAATATTGATAAAATGATGTAAATTCAATATTGGGTGTTTTGCCCTTCACCGACGTGTTTTGTTAACACTTTAGGACCTATACTCATTTGTCCCGAGTGGCTATGTGAATCTGATCACAAACTCCACCTTCTACAGTGAGCAGGATGTTGTTGGTTCGAGTCCCACCCGTGTAGATTGTGATTTTTTCTTCACAATCACTCGGGACAAATCTGAGTTCACAGTGTTTATACGTTGGTAAAGGGCTAACCCCACTATATTGAATATTGAATAAAAAAATACTTTTAAAGCTAAATGGAAGAGAACCTCGTAACTGTCAGTATTAAGTCTTGTAAAGACTGAATGTTCATAATCTTATTAATTATCATGTCTTTCATTTCTGAGTACTGTAACAAGCGCTCACATTTTTTGTTCTAAAAAATGTCAGCACCTTCGAGTACTTTGGCACTACAGGCATTACGGGCCTTATTCACGAGTTGGCCATTATTGCCTAGTTCTCTGAACTTATATTATGAAGTGTTATCTGTTCAATGGGATGGCGCCAGACTATTTATGCAGGCACAATGCAGCCATATTTTACTGTCTTTCTTTTAATCTAGCTTTAAACATCAGGGAATTTTTAATTTTCCAAAATTTAAGATTTTATCTCACTTTCAATTCAATATGGCCGACTCGTAAATAAGGCCCATTGGAGCATTCGTTTTTATAAACACTTACCTTTTCGGGGTAAAAATATAAACAAAAACTATGCTACTCGATTTAATACTAGATACTTTACATTCCTAATAAAACGTACGTGTTAAAATCGTAAGTTTCAAAAACAAAAAGGCCACATTCTTGATTAATCTAATCTATAGCGCCCTCAATATCCGGAATAATCAACCCTTAACTATACAATAATTCCTCATATACTTCCTCTAATAAAAGTTTGGATTAACAAAAATACACTGTAAACATTTCAACATTTTTACACACTGCATACAGGAAGTGCTTTTGTGCGCCATATTTCGCAAATCAAATTCTTATATCATTTTGACAGTTAAAACTAAACTATTCACCTTGCATACGAAATATTTGTTTTTATGTTGACAAATATATACATGTACATTCAATGCTTTCAGTAGTCATCAGCCGTGTTGACACTCTTAGTCTGATTAGGCTCAAGATATAAGTAGTCGTCCCTGTTTAGATCCGACATGACGAGGTAGCCCTAAAATAAGACAAAAAAATTAAATGAAGAAAAGGTCATAATTATACCAGTGCCTATGGGATTTCATACATTTTGAGAATTGTGAATTGTGTAATTGCTCACAATTTTTTATTATACCTTGATATGAACGAATTTGAGCACGTGATCACTCTGCACACACGCGGCCCCCACCTATGGCAGAAGCATTGTGCAAAGCTTTGCTACCCATGACTGATCACCTGAACAATAGCTAGCACAAGGTTTCCGCCATTGATGGGGGTCTTCCGTGATAGAATTGATAGCGTGCCGAATTTGTCTATGTATTGCACGTTTCTCGAACGGTGTTCAGTGTTACTTTAAATAATGAAAGGTTTGCGGAAACACCATGTGCGAATAATTTCTCAACTAAGAGAATGATTCTGAAAAGAACCAGAGGTATAAACTCGACGTTCCGGTCAGTATGCTCTGACGTCTTCTCCTGAAGAAATTATTCGCACATGGTGTTTCCGCAAACCTTTCATTATTTAGTATCTCCACCATGCAAAGCCTCAAATCTTACTTGTTACTTTAAAGTTGTAGCAATGAATGCACCAAAAACCTACTCACGCCTTTCCAAGTCATAAGCAAATTTTGCCCATTAACCCCGCCTTAATGCATGAGGTCTAGAGATACTCAGGCTTTTCCTATAGTAGTCATTCTAATTTCACCCTTTCATAAAAAAAATGATTCCAAGCGACCAAAATATCTTCAGTCTCCAAAATTGTGAGTTCAAAATGTTCAAAATGTCTGAGATTTGATAAACTTCGTCACAATTCACATCCTCACGAGGACTTTGCAGCATGTCCTTTTTTTCTGTTTTACTTTTGCATTTTTTTCTTGTTTGCTTCTTCAATTTGCCTGTTTGCCTTTTCGTGTTTGTTCGTTTGTCTGTTTTAAATGAACGGCAATGTCTTTTGGTCAGTTGTTTGGTGTAAACAGAGGTGAATGCATTATAATATACTTACACTAGCGTCTGCTAGCATGTTGTTTAGTAATTTACATATTTCAGTGAAGGTTGGTCTGTCCGCTGGATCTTTGTTCCAGCACCGCTTCATCATGTCATATCTATAGAAAAAGAATAAAACACGGCGACCATATTAGTATAATTATTCAATTCAGATAGGAATTGCAAGGAAACCCTAGTCCGAGTATCATCCGTTGTCCAATAGACCTTTTCCAATTGCTGCCATCTTGATTTTACCCATTCAAATCAAAGTAAACAAAGCGAGGCAAGGAGGAGAAATAGTCTGGTTCCTTTTTTGAACGAGCCATTATCATTCAGTACTGTTATTGGATACAGGCAACATGATAAAGGTCCATGGAGGCCTCTTTGTCTCCAGTCCAAGGACTGATATATCGAAGCATGCAAATCTATGCAACCCGCGCGCCAGCCAATCAGAGTCGACTTGACGTCATATCATACCGAAATTTGGACAAAGCTGTTGATTGGCAATTGAATGCCATGTTTTAGTAACACAACAACAAGCACGGAGAACCCGGCATTGTCTTTCAAAACGGGTTACCGAAGACCCGATATAGAAGGCGCCCGCTGAATGGTCAGAATCTCGAGGGCATGACGCAGTCTAGTTGCCTAATTTATCGCCCAATCAGTTCGGATATCATAGGCCCTTACTGCGTAAGGGGATATTCCATTGGCCACGCCGTTTAGTGCTCTACCACCTGAAAAGCAATCGACAGCCATGAGGGCGCATGGCCAACGCTGCGCACACATGGTGGCGTCCATGCTAGGAAAAGACATGAGTGTGAATGCACGGCAGCATTATAACTCCTAAAGCTAGCAGATGGAATGATTGGGGTTTTTTTTTCGTTTGACTTACATTTCTTCGCTGCAGCTTTCTGGTTTAGGCAGACGGTATCCGGCACTTATTTCGTCAATCACCTTCTTCGATGACATGCCCGGGTAGGGATGGGAACCTGCAACACAGGGGAAAACATATAAATGATAAAGATGATGTAAATATTCCCGTTTTACTCTTATGTTTCATTGAAAAAAAATCAATCCATTACGACACCATCTCTCAGAGATGTAGTCGAGTCCATCACAAGTCCAGTCTCAAGTACATATAATAATCACAATTCCACTCACAAGTAACACTGATTAACACTTACAACAGAATGCCTTTGTCGAAGCTCATTTGAATAGCTTGTGATTTGAATTTGAGATCCCGTGATGGATATGCAGGGACTTGTGGTAGACATCGATCCTGACCCTACAGATTTTCCACATAGGCCTATATACTACGATTGTGGGCACGTCTGACCTAGCGGTAGCGCACAGGCCTCTTGATCATGAGATTGTGGGTTCGAGCCCCGCCGTGGCCATGCTTGTTGTGCCTTTGAGTAAGGTGCTTTACCTCAATTGCTCCTCTCAACCCAGGTGTTAAATGGGTACCGGCACTATTCAATGCTGGGAAGGTACCAGACTCGCTGTGGAGGAGGTGGCGATTCCACCCACATCAGCAGCATCACATTAAGTCTGGCCCAATTGCTTTGAAAGAGAACTGAGAACACAGGTTCGCCCCTTACCTTTACCTTAAAGGGAATATACATCATTTGCTTTTGCTGTAATTTTCAGAAATGGATGGAATTGGGGGGTTGGAAATATATAGCAAATATCGTTACACTGACTTTTTTGAGGTTTTGGGTTCGAAAATGCTATAAAAACCAAGAAAAACAATCATTTTCCTGTAGTCTGGCTCCCTGACTCCATTTAAGAAGAAACAGAGCAGTTTACATATATTGGGGAATTGTAAGGTCAGGGAACCAGTCTAGCTGGCTTGTACCCGTTCATAGGTGTGTAACCGATTGCAAACAAGTGCGATGGTCAACTGGGGCCAGTATTTGGAAAAAAAAACAGTTTTTTCCAACGCTGATCGGCCGATCAGCGTTGGAAATTGCTACAAAAACACCACTTTTCTTGAAAATGACATTATACCAGGTGCCATGATTTTACAGGATGCTTTACACTGTCATTCAATAACAGTCAAGCAAGGTATTTCAAAATGATTTGGTAGTTTTATTTTTTGATGTTTGCAAATGTTGTATTTTCCCTTTAAACTACTCCATGCTTGTTTGTAACCAACAGCCAAATCCTAGACGGGTTGTCTCGGTAACGCAAGAAAGTACCAAAAGCTAGTCTTGCTTTCAAAGTGTAATTTTGAACGTAACAGACAGTTTTGATTTGAAGTTGGGTATGGCTATTTGAAGAGCTTCCTTTCTTTGAAACTTGGGGCTCATTTTCGTGGAGCACTAAAACATAGTGGCAATCAGGATTGTGTTTTTTGTGATAGGCCCAAAGTGGAATTAGATAATAAAGTCAGTTCCGTTATTGATAAGAGTACCTACCCAAAGTCACCAGTTCCCATAGCAACACAGCAAACCCCCAGACGTCACTCTTGCTGGTGTAGATGTTGTCCAGCAGCGACTCGGGCGCCATCCACCGGACTGGTACCCGGCCATGTGACTTCATCTCATACTGGCTCGAGTCCTGAATGTCCCGGGCGAGTCCGAAATCAGACACCTTGGCAACCAGGTCATCACCAAGGAGAATGTTGCGCGTGGCGAGGTCACGATGAATACACTGAGATTTTTTAAAAGGAAGACAAGTTCAATTTGCAATTTACTAAAGAAAACAATTGTCATATTTTAAAATTATCATAAATAGCCTAATTATAGTTCGGCACTCGGCAGTACCAGCTTCAACGCACGCAAGCACTATAGCATGTTTGTTTATCATGTAAACCGAGGATTTTCTCTTGTTCCTCTTTCATTTTCCTTTGTTTGTACTCTAACTTTTTCGCAACAGCTCTCATTGGTTTTGTTCACGTTTTTTAATCGAGGTCGTCCTCGAGTTGGTTCCTGTCCTGGATTCACCGATGATATTGTACGTGTGTGCCCTCGATTTACACCATAAACAAACGCATCCAAACACAGTTTGGCCGCGGATACTTGTTTTCATTTGCAAGTAGAAACTGCGCTTACCAAATCTGGGCTTATTTTCTATTCGGCGTGAAGTCAATACGGCCCGTGTTCCAGCAAAATGTCCTACTTCCCAGCGAATCAAAGCTTTCAATGTGTTTGCTGCAACTAATATAGCAACGATATATTTGAATGTAAGACACGTGATTGCAGAGTCATTAGATGTCCGATGCAGCTTGGTGTGTGTTTTTTTCCCGAGGACAATATTCAAAGCACAACAGCCAAACACTAACCGATTTGGAGGCCAGAAACTCCATTCCATCAGCGATCTGGATGGCGAAGGACAAGATCTCGTCGGGAAGGAGAAAATTCCTCTTCTCTTCCCGGAGTTCCTTGAGGGCGAAGTACTGCTCCTTGGACCCAGTCCGTATGTGCCGAAGGTAGGTCTGCAGGTTGCCGTTTGATAGATACTCCATGATCAGGTAGAACGGTTCTAAAGTGACCCAGATTCGTACATAAGTAGTTTACATTACACATTTGAATATGGTCCAAATACATGGCAACTGTTTGCTGTCTGTCAAAGTTAGGTTTTGTAGAAGTCGGTCGACTGCAAACAGCCGTCATTTGAGCTTGCTGACTGCAGGGTTTATTTGACAGGATGATTGACCCGGATTCGTGCATAAATATTTTATTTTGATGTGTTTTGGTAACAAGTGCGCAACACTATCATTTTTTAACACGGTCTCACGGTCGTACTGTAAACTGCAGTAAACGTTTGAAAGGGTCCAAATACACTCCAACTGTTTGCTGTCTGTCAAAGTTCGGTTGTGTAGTAGTCGAACGACTGCAAACAGCCGTCACTTGAGCTTGCTGACTGGTTTCCTTGACAGGAGGATTGGTTATCATTGCCCTGCGAGGATGCATGATAAACTCATTATAATAATTTTATGACACAACCATTATGGTTGTTGTCAGGGGCTGCTGTTTGGCTGGGATTTTCACGGTCGATTTTTGTTCAATTTACTTTGAAGGGGTATTCACAAAGGTAATTGGCTAGGTTTGAATGAAGAAACTTGTGAAATATATAATTCTTAAAAAGTTCATTCTCTTTTTATATACCTTTCTCTGTGCAGAAGCCCAGCATTGTGACCACGTTGGGATGACTGCCCAAGGTCAGGTACATACTCCTCTCCTTCTCAAAGTCACTCTTGTCTCCTTCCGACGCCGTGGCTGTCGAGATAAAAATGACAGATTAAATCAAAACGGATGCAGACACACATTTAAATAAAACTAATTGTTATACCTTTGTCTTGAATACTGTATTTTCATTGGCCTAGAACGATCACGTGTTAAGTTTATAAAAAGTAATGGCACGTGATACCCCACAGGGAGTGTGCTGTATGGTACGTACGGTGTGCAACGCTTGTATCGTTGGTACCCACGCCACTTTCACATGTTTTCACACATGAGTGGGAGCATCGAGCTGGCAGATGATCAACTGTTCCGAGCACGGTGCGCGACATGCATGTGAGTTCACGTTCGATTGTCATGAGTGTTGTGTTTACTGCTGTTTATTTTCGTGTTTCAAAGTGCAAAGAATCCAAGACAGAGGTATAACAAAACGATTGATGACTGCTGTGATGTGGGATATGACGTTTTGAACACCCGAGGGCGCATAGCACGTTACAAAGGAGAAGAAACAAACACATAATTATATACTTTTGAGCATCTTAACGGCAACTGTTGTCATGCATCCCTTCTTGATGATTCCATCGGCTTCGGCCCTGTGGACAGTCGCGAACGAGCCTGCTCCCAGCTGTTCCATCACGTGGAGCCACTCCCTCGGAAACTCTTTGGGCTTACTTCCCGGTTCGTAATTCAGCTCGTTGGGTCGTCTGGCCACCGGGGGTCTGTCCCCGTCATTAACACCGACGTAGGAGTTACTCCCCCTCTATGAAAACAAAATACGAATATTAAAATAATTGAAAAAGCACTACCAAGACAATATAATGAAAAAGTTATTAATGATAAAATTGATTAAAATTGATCTCACAAAAACGAAGGCATTTGAGATCGTGTACCCCAGACATGGCGGAAGTAGGGGGAGGCTTAATATAGGTCCATTTTGTAAGTCATCAAAATAATATTCCATGGAACTTATTCACGAGAAAGCCATTTTGGTCGGGTTCCCTGAATGTATTTTACTCATTGTGAACTATTGAATTTGATGGTGCCAGACTATTTATACATTCTAACCTCTCTTTCCTTTTTTGTGGCTTAAAACATTAGGGTATGTTTTATCACAAATTTAAAATTATTCATTAGAGCAGACAGGTATTATGTGTAATTATCATGTCATTGCTTTCATTTCTCTTTCCAAGTTCAAAAAATGAAGATTTTACCTCACTTTCAATTCAATATGAACAAGGCCCATAGTTCAGAGTATTTGAAATTAAAGGCTTCCTACAGTAAATATTGATCAAACTATTTCCAAATCAGTCAATATTGGCAATGGTTTACCACATTACGGCCGCCCAGTTCCAGTTCCCCGTTCACTCTGTTTCTGCGGAGCCTCTTCATGGCAAGACGCCTCCTCAACAGCAGAAGAACAATGACGATTATGAGCAGTAGGATTACTACGACGGCAACAACGGCGACAATTATAGTCACGTTTGATGCAGGACCTATAAGAAGAAAATAGAAATGCACTTCGAATGTCAATTGGCGTGTCATCTATCATACCGACAAGAAGAATAATGTATGCATTTCTACTTTTATGGTCACCAAGGGCGGATCCAGGCGGGGGGCCAAAGGGGCCAGCCCCCCCCCCCAAACGAAACCAATTTTTTTTTGTTTATGTGACATCGCAATAAAGGCAGGCAATGAGTACACCACCATCTTTTCCTCAAAAAAACATTGGTTAAAATGGTCAGAAATTGCCTCAGATCGCACCACAGAGCATCTAGAATCCAAGCGGGCCCCGAACCCCACGCCGTAATTTTTTTGACCCACCTTTTTGGGGGACCAAATTTTTTTTTGGCCCCCCAAAAAATTGTGTTCTGGATCTGCCCTTGATGGTCACCCCATTGTACTGCTTTTTGATATACCTGTCTTATGCAGGACCCACATTGCTGCCGTTTTAACTGTCTACAAGATAAAGGTTAGGACAACAAAAAGTACATCAGTGCCTTCACAAAATTTGTTTATTGTTTGGATTATATCAATACGCATGGTGAAGACATAAATAGGGATCTTTCTTGCCAAACCTTGCATCAATTAAAGGAGATGTTTTTAGTTAGCTTGTTTAATGTACAAATGTGTTCATGGGCTTGCACCTAGCAGACTATGTGATGATATTGAAATGTATTTTGCTAGACACGGTATTAACATAAGAAATGCTGATTCCTTAAATGTACAGGGTGAGTAAAAAGAAAAAAACGAAACCCAAATGTCGGGACTGTTGTTTTATTGACGTTCTGCATGTAGCACTTTCAAAATCTAGGATATGAAAGCCCAATTCATAAGCTCTCTTTTAGTACATGTACAAGAATCATTCAAATCACTCATGTATTTTTCAAGTTACGGATTTTTTAAACGCAACCACTGTTATAAAGTTCTGTCCACGGATCACAAAAAAGTGTGCGTTCTTTCAGCAAAACGAAAACAACTTACACACACCCATATGTGATTTGTTTTCGTTTTGCTAAAAGAACACTGAACTATTAGTGATCATTGGACAGAACCTTAAAACGGTGGTTGTGTTTGAAATTCTGTAACTTAAAATGTACTTGAGTGTTTTGAATGATTTTTATACTAAAAGAATTGAATTGGGCTTTTATATCCTAGATTTTGAAAGCACTACATGCAGAACTTCACTAAAACAATGGTCCCAACATTTTGGTTTCTTTGTTTTTGACTCACCCTGTAGTTTGTCCTAAACCAAAAGTGGAATGTTTTAAACAATCATATAAGTATGCAGGTACTAAAATTTGGAACAATATTCAGTAAACAAATCAGAATGCTCCCTCTGTTGATAATTACTCTCTTTTTTGTGTATAAGAAGCCGCCATGTTTTAAGTAATCGATTTTGTCTTCTTTTGTCGTCATTGTTTGATTAAAAACGAATGCTTAGGCATCCGTGGCCACAGATACACAATCAAAGTGTCACTTGAAAGAGGACACATTGGCGTTTTACATGATATCTATTTTATTTGAAAATATTTAATTGATTTGTTTTGGTAAGTTACAGTTACATTTTAGTTTCTTTTTTTATACAGCGTGTAGACTGAAATTCATTCAATACAATAGATCGAGGTTTTATAAGAGTCTCAACAGCAGTGTTTTTTTTTGTTTTGTTTTTGGTGCAGAGTATTTGAATATAGAGTGATTCTCACTCAAAATCGTCCACAGTCCCTAGCTTAATTGATATCGCCGTTTGCAAGTTAACCACGCCCCTTAGACAACCCTATGGAGTTTTTGTACACTATGTTTTGTTGTACAAAAATGCCATAGGGTTGTCTAAGGGGCGTGGCTAACTCGCAAACGGCGATAGGTCAATGGTTTAGGATCTTACCGTTTTGGCACCTGGAGCCCGTATAACTGTTGACGCACTCACACACTCCAGATGCTTCGCAATGTCCACCATTCTGGCAGTCGCTGTCAGTCGCACAGGCTGTTAATAATTGATAGAATGATCAATTAAAGGGAATATACATCATTTGCTTTTGCTGTAATTTTCAGAAATGGATGGAATTGGGGGGTTGGAAATATATAGCAAATTTAGTTACACTGACTTTTTTTTTTAGGTTTTGGGTTCAAAAATGCTATAAAAACCAAGAAAACAATCATTTTCCTGTAGTCTGGTTCCCTGACTCCATTGAAGAAGTAACAGAGCAGTTTAAATACATTGGGGAATTGTAAGGTCAGGGAACCAGTCTGGCTGGCTTGTACCCGTTCATAGTGTGTGTAATCGATTGCAAACAATCGCGATGGTCAATTGGGGCCAGTATTTGAAAAAAAGCCAGTTTTTCCAACGCTGATCGGCCGATCAGCGTTGGAAATTGATACAAAAATAGCACTTTTCTTGAAAATGACAGTATACCAGGTGCCATGATTTTACAGGATGCTTTACACTGTCATTCACTAACAGTCCAGCAAGGTATTTCAAAATGATTTGGTAGTTTTATTTTTGATGTTTGCAAATGCTGTATTTTCGCTTTAACAATATCCAATCGTTGATATCGATGGCAAAGTCATTCGAAACATTGCAGAGGTACATTTTGATGAATGGAAGTCGTTGGTCTGAATCAGACCAGTAAATGACTTATTACAAAAAAAATGAACATAAAACGATGGCTGGTAAACCTTGACCTAGGATTGTAGGTTTTCCAGGGGAAAAGGTTAAGTGGTTATTAAGGTACTCGAGAAAACTTTTAGGCAATTTCATTCACAAGCCACAGTCTGCCCCTGAGATTGTTACAAAGAGTACATTAGGCTGGCACTCTGGGACCTGCAATCAATAAAGATTACTCGAAAACAAAAATACTTAACCACATCATCATTTCATAAACAAGCCCAATATCTACAGACTATTTCAAATTGATTACGAAGCATGTCCGTGAAAACCTTAGCGTATTTCCAGTTTTTTTTACAAAATGTTTAGGATAATATTGTGTGAAGATGTTATTATCTGTATAGTAGTTTAACTTCGCTCTAACCACTACGTTACATTTCACTTTGTTATACAAAATAACTCTTCCCGTGTATCGTTTAAATGAAAGCCCCCCCCCCAAAAAAAAAATAATTCTTTACCAATCTCGCAATTGGGCCCTTCATGGTTGGCTACGCACTCGCAAGTTCCATCTGCATTACAAGTGCCTCCGTTCAAACAATCCATGTTTGCTGTGCAAGGCTCTGAAAGAAAAACATGCACCAAGAAAAAAACGATAAGTCAATATTTGTTCCAATGGATACATTTCATGTTTGTTTTTGTTTTTGGTTATTTAATTTTCTTTTTGTGCTATTTTTATATTTGATTTTATGTTTATATTTTGTAGCTGTTTCGGTGTACACACCGCCGAAACAGCTCTTGTTTTCCTTAAAGTTTTTTTTTCTTTTTCTTTCCTTTCAGATTGCTATCCCTACGCTTTGTACATGATTTTCTTCTACCCATACACCTGGGTACTTTCGTAAGTCCAATCAACTTCACATTTGGCAGACACTTTGACAACCACCCGAAGATGGAAGCCGAAGATTTTCGTCACGATGACGTCAGTCGGTGTCAAGTCACGTTACATTAAAGGTGCATTTTCCATTGACCTCAAAGCCACTAGAGTTTGCTTGGACTGTGGTGGAGAGGTCTTAAAGTTAATTTCCAACAGAGACAACTAACTGCACGCTGTACTTGGAGAATGGTTTGCCCATTCAAGGCTGATGTGACGTCACTTTCACTTGGGTTTTCTTTACTTTGGCCTTAATCATTTATGTTTCATGGACTATAGTCCAATTGCCTTGAATTTGTGTGAGCACACTTTTAGTCAGGGAGTTCTTTGGAGTTCTTCGAGTCGTTTGTCTTTCCAAAGGTATCTGCTGGTATGGACCATCTGTTGGTTGTTCAGTTGAAAAAAAACCGTGAACCTATGTATACGGGTGTGTTACAGACGTAAATCCAACTGAATTCAATCATTTCAAACATCTGAAACAGCTTGTGTTTGTTCACAAACAATTTTCTAGTTCTTTTTCTTCAACTATGCACAACTGAAAAATAAGACTGGTTTTAAACAGTTCAACTAAAAATCAATTTATTTTCTTGTTCAAGGTGATTCTTGCGCAGTATTATCTCTGTTATGTACAATGTTTTCGGTGCTGATGCTTCAGTATTGCTTCCTCTCAATAAGTTCACAAATGGGTGTCATCGTCTTTTTGTCCCCTTCATAGTTGTCATTTCGTCAATGTCGTTTATGTCATCAATCTCGTGTGTGGTTGTCAATATCTTTAAAATGGTCTGGTTGATCATCCTGCCCCACATATTACTGTTTAATTACGTTTCACTCATGCCCATGACCGTATTACCGCTTTTTTGGTTCTTGGACGTCGCTAATGTCACAGATATTGCTCCATGGCATTGTCAATTTTCGTTGTAACTGACTGTTATTTGTTGGGGTTAAAAATTTACCTACCCAATGCACACTTGGTCCCGCTGAAGCCATCTGGGCACATACATGCACCCGCAGCCGAGCAGGTTCCCCCGTTCATACACGGAGATGCAAGCGAACAAACTGGCAGAAATTAAAGAGAGCAATTGTGTCTTTATTAAAGGTATATAGCTTCATTTGCATTTATCCCAATGGTCGCCTTATTAGAAAGCAAAGATCGTATTGGTACCAAACACCCCACCCCCCCCCCCCATGTTTCGGCCTTGCTTGCTGTCGTTAATAGAAGAACGCAGGAAAAGGACGTGATGTTTCCAACGATCAGTCATTTGACTGATATTTGGAATTAAAGAGTTACAAGTCAAAACCTCGGCCTATGATGAACAATCCATATATACAATTTCAAATTTTAGTACAAGGATAATCAATGTGGACATTTGAGATGCCCTTTCTTATTCTGCATTGTATGTTATTGCCACGCTGGATACCTCCAGACGGCTTGCATAAGCAAAGACTAGACAAGTCTAGTAAAGCTGGGCCCAGAGCCATTTGGTCTTAGAAGTCAATGTAATAACGTGAGTCAAATTTGTAGGTCAAGGTGGTACTTATGCAAGTCTAATTCACATGTGACCGTCAGTTAGTGAGTCAGTGAGGTAGGTATAAAGAGCAGTAGGCTGGCCCTCTGGGACCAGCAACAATAGACCATCATCGTGTTGCGGCCATCTGGGTTGTTTTCCCATTTAAATCAACGCAACCAAAGCGAGGCTGGAAGGACAAATAGTCTGGTTCCTTTTTGCACCAAAATAGTATCATTCAGTATTGTTAGTGGATACAGGGAACATGACTGAAATGGTGGCAGCATGATAAAGGTCTATAATTTCACCAGCTGATGGAATGGGTAAAGTCTTTTGGGCGGGGATAAGAGGAAATGGGGGGGGGAACAACTCACCTCTTTCGCACAGAACTCCGACGTATGGGTTGACACAGTCACAGGTCCCGGCCCTACACGTACCGCCATTACGACAAGTATTAACGCCTGAGCATATATCTGGGTAAAACAAAAACAAGAAGATACAAAAGTACAAGCAGATTCAGACTTTAATAGCAGGACCTCGGATGTTGATGCGTTATTTTAAATTGACAAACAATAATCATCAGATGTTATACACTAATCCGATTTTGAAACTACAGGGAAGGTTCTGGTGACCATTATGCGTCCATGCCCGAGAGTCCATCACACAGCTCTGAACACGTCACCTAAGATGACTTTGGGAGGAAACACGCAAGTGAGCTTTGAAGTGTCGAAGAATTGGCAGAAATCCAGTCAAGTTATCTCCAAAAGTTGCGAACTTCGCATAATGACGGGTACCCATAACAGACAGTCCCCCTTACAATGTGGGCATCCCTGAGCCCCCCCCCCTCCCCCTCGCCGCCCGCCCCCTCTCCAGTTGAAAATAAAGCGAAACATTGAATAGAGGCATTACCGTATAATTCGCAGAGAGGTCCTACGTAGTTGTCCGGGCACTCACACATGAAGCCCTGATTTGGCCCCATCCGAGGCATACATGTGCCCCCGTTGAGGCAGAGTCCATCCACCTGCCCACATAATTCGCCAAAAGCTGACCGGTAAAAAAAGGTCGAAAAGGACGAACAAATGTCATTAAAAACACAGAGGCATTGTTATCAGTCTTGTTGGACGAACACAGCAAGAAAGCGCAAAATTTGGCTTCAAGTTTATTCAAAACTATTGTGTGTCCCAAAAGTGTTTTAGTCTCTATTTAATTTCAGGTTTTACCCAATGACCGACACAATTATTATTTCATTAATGTTCATCTTTGTACGAGTGCTTCGAGTTTCACTAGTCCACATATATTTTAGATTTTCGAAAGTGAGAGGTCAATTTTTGGCACGATATTTCTCTTTCAAGTCTTTCGAATCTCTGTTTCTATCAATGGGCCTTATTCACGAGTTGGCCATTTCTGTCGAGTTCCCTGAATGTATTTCATTAATCGTTGTGTATTTCATTAAACTGTTGAATGGGATGGCACCAGACTATTTATGCAGGCACAATGCAGCCTTATTTTACTGTCATTTTTTTTTAATATGGCTTTGAACATTAGGGAATGTTTAATGACAAACTTAAAATTATTCATTGAAGCGGACTGGAATTTATGATTAATTAACTTACTTTCATTTCTCTTCGCAAGTTCCTAAAATTTAAGATTTTACCTAACTTTCAATTCAATATGGCCGACTCGTGAATAAGGCCCATTGAGATGCTAGTGGCAAGTTTCCAAATGCCTTTTCCATGGGTACTTTTCTAATAAAAATGTATGTTTAAAACATTTTATTTAAAAAAATCCGACTTTTACAAGCTTATTTCCTCAGGCTTTACTCGCATTATTAACTGGTGGCCTTGCCTCCCATACGTGTTCACTTACGAGTTTGGCATAGTGGACCAGCGAACCCATCCGGGCATAACACGCATTCAGAGTCCAGAGCCGATGACGTTGATGAGTAATTCATGCATTCTCCGCCATTACAATCCGCGTCTACTTCGCACACTATAATTTATAGAAAAGAACTTGTTTTAAATGGAATGCATACGAAAGGTGGAACGCCTGGTAATCCGTTATTAAAGTGGAAATTGTGGTTAATTGCTGCTGTTATTGTCGTTACAGTTGGTGTTGTTGCACTTGTTAACGTTGCCCAATCAGATTTCGTTGTTGTTGTTGTTGTCGTTGTTGTTGTTGTTTTTTTATGATCGTCATTGCTTTTGATGTTATTGTTGCATGATGCTTGTGTACGGTTGTTGTTGTAATTGAGGGCTGGATCTAATTCCCCCGCCACTACCCTTTGGTTTTGTAATCGTTCTTGTTTGTTTCTTTGCTTTTCTTTCGAACAGAAAACCGCGTGGTCTCTCCAAACTTGGTATGATCATCAACCCTTATACGGAGATGCTTATATAAGTGTGACATCATGATGACGTTATCATAATATCAAACTACAAGTTCAAAAAGCACCTGAACACTAACCATCTGTTTCGCAGAAATACCCTGTGAATCCATCGAGGCATGCACAGACGACATCTTCTGCTATGCCCGGGCAGACTCCACCATTCATACACATTGACGGCTCGCACCTTTCCTCGCCGGTTACTGTAATGATGAGAAAATCGGAAATTTGGGGGTTGAATCATGAATTGTCACATCTTAACGTGAGCAACAGCGGCGGCGGAACGGTTTTCAAAGGGGGGGGGGGGGGCAGCATCAAAATGGGATGAGTCCTCAGTGAAAAGCAACTTCCGATGTGCAGCAGCGTATCCAGCATTTTGGGTTTTTTTTGTTTTTTTTTGGGGGGGGGGGGTGGGGGGCACATCCGTGCTGAAAAGTCGACACGTTTTTCACTGGACACTTGGCCTCCGTAAAATCAGATGGGTGTGTGTGTGGGGGGGGGGGGGGCGGCGCTGGTACCATCTTCCTAAATAGGGGGTGCTCTTCAAAACCGGCCATTACACAAACGTAATGGCCGGTGTGCCAACTTTTAGGGCGCACTGTAAGGGCTGGGGCTTATTTTTCGTATTCCTCGTTCATATCACAACTCTCTATAACATTTTGGGAACGATTACTGAAAAAAATATCCGAAATGTTATGGCAAGTTCTGTTTTCATCTGGAGGGGGCACATTTATGTCCACACAAGGGGCACTTGGGTATATCGGGGAATGGGAGGGGCCTGTCCCCCCCCCCTCCGGTTCCGCCGCCCCTGGTGAGAAATAAAAAGAGGATATAAAGCCCGAAGGAGAAAGCGACAGCGCATCAATGTTTTCATGCGATTATTTAATCCTTTAAAGTTTATTCACTAGTGTGCTTGTTATTGATTAAACGAGGCTATTATACTGACACATCCGTGCGTGGGGCGCGTGATATTCGTAAAAGTATCTTTACTTATACACAAATTGCATTTCTGCTAGAGCTGTGCAATACATAATGAAGTTTAAAGGGAATATACATCATTTGCTTTTGCTGTAATTTTCAGAAATGGGGGGTTGGAAATATATAGCAAATATAGTTACACTGACTTTTTTGAGGTTTTGGGTTCGAAAATGCTATAAAAAAACAAGAAAAACAATCATTTTCCTGTAGTCTGGTTCCCTGACTCCATTTAAAAAGAAACAGAGCAGTTTACATACATTGGGGAATTGTAAGGTCAGGTCAGGGAACAAGTCTAGCCGGCTTGTACCCGTTTATAGGTGTGTAATCGATTGCAAACAAGTGCGATGGTCAATTGGGGCCAGTATTTGAAAAAAAAGCCAGTTTTTTTTCCAACGCTGGCCGGCCGACCAGCGTTGGAAATTGATACAAAAATACCACTTTTCTTGAAACTAACAGTATACCAGGTGCCATGATTTTACAGGATGCTTTACACTGTCATTCACTAACAGTCCAGCAAGGTATTTCAAAAGATTTGGTAGTTTTATTTTTTGATATTTGCAAATGTTGTATTTTCCCTTCAATTATCACCGTCATTATCATCATCATCACCATCATATAGCCGAGAGCCTTTTTGCCCGTAGACGCTTCGAATAGTCTGTGACAGACGATATTAAATTTGGGTTCTCTGCAGTGCAATGGCCTTTAGTTCATCAACTGAGAGGCCTCTCCATATCATTAAGTTGGCTACCCAGCTAGCAGGAGGTTGGCTGTGTCCTCTCCTGGTGTGCACCGGGAGCGCCGCGATCACTGCAGCTGGGAGACCGCCGCATCGCACGGCGAGCATGATGATCGCACCAGCTCGACTTGCGCGCAAATAGTGTGTCACAGGAAAAAGGTTCAGCGACCTCCTGTGTGTCGTTCTAAACAGTGCCGTCCCGGGGGGGGGGGGGGGGAGGGGGGCATTTAGGCACCCCCCCCCCCCAGGTTGTCTTTTTTTAAAATTTATTTTTTAATCCCACCATTTGATCTTGGTGATATGTGTATGCGGCATATTTTCAAGTAGTATAGGCCTAATCGGGGTGTAGGCCTAAGAGGCACCACCAACGTTAAACGCCCCCCACCCCAAAAAAACCACATTTTTTTCTGCGGCCAAAAATTTGTGGGCAAGATTTTTGAAAATAAATTAACTTCAAAAACTTGAAAACAAAACAATTGTGAGCCTCCTCCCCCCCCCCCCCCCAGCCAAATCCTGGGTGCGCCACTGATACTAGATCCTCGTTTGTTACCATGATGATAACGTCAAAACACAACATTGCCGAAAAAGTGACTTGCGGTGTTGTGATGGCATGATTTCGGCAAACTTGTGTCAAAAATTATAGAATTTAAAATCAAATAAAAAAACTTGACCGGTATTTTGGCGAGTAATTTCATACTCACGTGTTATTTCGCAGTAGAACCCAGCGAAGCCGTCCGGACACACACAGCTGAGTGGATCATCGTCACATGTCCCGCCATTCAAACACCAGCGAGGAGAGCAAGTCCCTTGCACACTCACTGTTGGTTGGGAAAACACGCGTCAATGCATATCAGGAATAATTGGATAGATTAATCAGCCTTTTCACCAACACAAAAATGTAATTATTTTTGTATGCACAAAGACCGGTTCATTCTCAGCGCGAAAGCGAATGTGAACACAAATTTGTGACGTCAGGGCAAGTATTCGCGCTGCGATCTCGAAAAAAGTTGAGCACATTTCAACTCAAGCGAATTTTGCAGCGAATATTTCAAGACTTCAAATTCGTTTCGCATTTCGCGTGGGGAACCGGCCTTAAGGCAAGACGCGAAAGCGGGCCGTTGAAAATGTACAGGGTACAAACATTCTGGTCATTTTCTCTCAATTTGTCCAAGAGTTCTCACTTTTTTTCTTCAGTAAAAGTCCCTAAAATCATCACACACATTACTTGATGGCCTAAGTAGGTTGTTTGTTGTTGTTGTTGTTGTTGTTGTTGTTGTTGTTTGGGGGAAGGTCACATAATGAACAATAAATATGACCTGTCATGATGGCATAATGAGGAATAACGCCCACATTGACTTTTCAAGTAATGCACATCACGATAAAGTGCAAATTGTTGGCTTTCCAATGGTACCAAATTTATTTGTGTAGCTTAATTTATTCCAAAGATATCACGCAGGAACTTCAACGATGTCCTGCCAAGTTTTCTCTAACCTCATTTCATCAGCAGTGAAAAACTTGCTTCAGTTTTTCCACTTTTGTGGGTATTTTTTTTTCCAACAAAAACGTATAGTGTGAATCTTGGATACCTTGGGTACTCAAAAAATACAAAACAATCAATATCGATTTCACGATTTTTCTACTAACTAACCAACTTCCGGCGTCGGTTACCCGAAACAAGGTTTTGGGGGACATTCCTCATTTTGCCTCCGTAGGTAAATGTAATCACTTTTGTCCTATGCGCACGAAGGCAAAGAAAATAAGCAGGGCTGCTTTCCGCTTGAGTGAAAAAAACCTGTTCACCATCCATTAATTAAGTACGAGCCGAATCGCGGTGCTGATTCGCGTGCTGAATCACGGGCTGCGGGCCTCAAAAATGTTTCTCCTGAAGTAAATGTCGTCAAATCTGGACTTATTTAGGGGCAACTTAATACCGAATTGGGCAACAAACGGAACACATTCCAATGCGTATTCATCGAATTCCATGAATTCATCGAATTCCAATTTCTGACTTAGAAGACTAACACTAGCAGCAGCTGTGGGTTTGCGCATTTTCCCCAAAATACTTTCAAATTAATTTTCTCACAATTAGCTAGTCATAAGGCCAAAAAAAGTCTCCGGTTTCTGGTATGCGCGCGCGTCGCCGTAGCCATGCGCGTCGGCAAAATGAAAAGGTTTTTTTTTTCAATAAAAGATGATGTCTCAAAACCGCCAAACTCACTGGTTTGACTAGAATCCTGCTGCTGCACAATTTTAACGTGTTTTTAGATTGGGTTATGGTCGAGAATAAGCTTTATGTGGCCTCTCTAGACTCCCATAAATTTGCACTAAGTTTAGTCGGGCACCATTTGCAGTCATCAGCCGACATTTGAAGCAAAAAAATCAGGTAAGAAAAAAAAAGCCGCGTCGCCGCACCACTTTTTGGGCAAGCTCCATACCAGAAACCGGAGATTTAAAAAAAAAATTTGGCCTAAACTGACTACACACTCAAACCGTCGCTATGCCATTCGTTTTCCTTGCAGATCCGACGACAGTGCACAGACACTCCAGACCGGGTAAAACAAAATGAGCATGACCTTAATAACTCCAATGGGCCAGGAAGGAAACCGGAGGTATTCAATGGCCTCGGTAGAAAGACATATCTCCCACTCTCTCTGGGACTAAATTTCATCGGAGGTAGTACGGTTGGAATGTGTCTTTGCTTTTGGCGATGGGTGTCATGCATTGTATGTATACCTTGAATATTCAGTTGAGAGGCCAAAGTACAAACATTATAGTCAAGGCGCGTTCCACCTGGTCGCCTTGGCCCGTATTCGTCGCCCTATGGAATGATTTCTAACGTAACCGCTGCAAGAAACATTCATGATTCATGAAATGTTAACTTGATATTATTCACGCAAAATTGATAAAACAAGATATCATTTGGTGTTGGGTAAAAGCAAATTTCATTCAGTACGACCTTTCACATCTGGCATTTCGCTATCATTCCTCGTTAACGTTGGTTTCACATCGCGTACTTTGGTTGAAACATTGGTTTGAAATTACTTCATTGGGTTGATTTGGTTAGAAATTGTCCAACTATTGGGGAAAAATTGCCCAAGAGTTTAACCTGTTGGTATGTTGACCAGCACTGGTTCATATCAACCAATTTTGCCCAACGTTTTAACAGTGATGTAAGAAAAGTGTGTCTTGTTGCACAATGTGAAAATAAGCAGGACCAATTTTCTTGAAATCATAGTTGACCGTTAAATGTGATAATAGACTTCATAAACGTTGATGAAAAGCCAGTGACCAATTCATGAGAACATACAAGACACCATTGTTGTTGAAGTATAGTTGACCATTAATTGATTGAGTAAAATGTTCCATGTATTGGTCAAAGCCAACATGCCACGTAATTGTGTAAGATAATTTGACCAATAAAATGGAAATTATTACTTGACAAACTAATTGGGAAAGGCTGTCTGATCATCAGCTGGTCATCTTTATTTCTTCTGGTCAAAGTGGCCTTGCGTTTTTCTGGATTGATTTTTATAAGAAATCAGTGTACAAAAATAATTGCAAATCCTAGACCTTTTTTTGCATGTTAATTTTCCCATTCAAGGGTTCCAGACGCGCGCCACCAGGGGTCAACGTTCAGGCTCTATATCCAAGGACGCTGGCGACCTCTATTTTCTTTGACCTCTCATTGGACACAGCGTATAAATGTTACTCATCCGGTATATAACCCAGATTCCAACTTCCGTGTGCATCGAACGTGGCAGTAAACTACCCAGAATGCACTGCGACGTCGGTGTAACCTTCACCAAATCGTGTGGAGAAGATAAGAGGGCGGTGGGTGCGAATTGCCCAATTCTTCGTCAAATTCAAAATAGTACATGGCTCACAAAACTTTCGCCCTTCGTACAATCCGAGTGCATACTTGATGCATAATCGCGAAATCAAGTGTTCAAAATGCAATGCATATTAATTATCAACTCATAGTTAAACATGTTTAATAAGCAAGAGTTCTAATAATAAAACCTATATTGTACTCGGAAATACTCGGGCGTTATCCGATTGTCGACCAAACGAATTCGGCAAACTTTCCACATTTTCGGAAAAAGGAGAAATTCCTCCCGTTTTTGTCACATTTCTAATACAATGTATTACTGACGGCTACCTAACCTAAGATTCATCAGGAATAGTCAGAATATTGTGGTCTGGGAACCAGACTAGCCTCCATCAAAAACAAAGCTCCCAGTTTGTTCCGCAGTTAAAGGTCACGCGCAATTCTTTAAACGTCCTTCAATGTGCTCAAGGTGTTAAGCCTTGAGCACAAGGCTTTATCTCAAGAAGTTAACCATGATTTGATTTCTTTGAAGTGAAATTGTGTGCACGATCACCCATGTGCTTGAATATATCATTATTCCAAGAATGAAAGGTTATCTTGTTAAGAGGTGTTATGTCACGCCCTTGCGAGTATTTACTGATCGACAATTAATGTTCCTGAAAATATCGCCTGCAGACCAATAAACTGATCGACGAAGAAGCATATTTTGAATTTAACCCCACATCTCTAAAGACCTTTTATTTGGGGTACCAGGTACATCAGCGAGGGCGTCCTTTAGCATCACTAGACAAATAGCTTTCGTGTGTCTTTAGGGTTCTGAAAAGAACCGAGGGAAACGCGAAGTTTGAAAGGTATACTCTGTCCTTCGTCGACTTTGATAAAGAACAGTGAATTACGGTGTTCTACACATTTGCCGTGGTACATGGGTTCGAACCCTCACGGGAAATATGGTGCTTGTGTTCTTGGGCAAGAAAATCTACTAAAACTGCCTCTCTCCAACCAGGAGTATAAATCTAATAAGCACAAATACCCCTCTCGCAATAATAATAATAATAAGTAATAGAGAAATTTATAAAGCGCAGACAATCGCAGAAAAATCCACCTCAAGGCGCTTAAACAAAGAATAAACAGGAGTATAAATCTAATTAGCACAAATACCCCTCTCGCAATAATAATAATAAGAAGAACAATAATAATAGAGAAATTTATAAAGCGCAGACGATCGCAGAAAAGGCGCTTAAACAAAGAATAAACATACAAACTGTATTATTTAAATTAAAAAAACTAATTCCGATAGAACCTTAAGACAAAACAAAAACAATTCAAAGAGCTGCACGGGGGCCTTCAATCTAAAATTTAAAAAGCGATTTACAACACTCAAGCAAACATACTAGATAAAAACAGGAATAAAAAGGTATTTGCCAATAAAATACAACGATCAAACCTTTGTACATGGAAAACACCAATACTACTACTAATTCACTGCATTAAAATACTGTTTAAAAAGATGAGTCTTGTGCTCCTCTCGAGTTGGGAAATTGGCCATCAAAAACAATAGTACTCCTCTCGGGTTAACTTCTCAAGATGGAAAGTTGCACCTCGGAAGCCCCGCTCGCAACATTAAAAATTGTGCCCCCTCTCAACATGGAAAACTGGCCCCTAAAATATAATGGTGCTCCTTATGCGAATAAAATGGTCAATGGACGAGCCATCAAAAGCAACAGTGCCCCTCTCGCGATAAAAACATGGTATCTCCCTACATAACTAGGTCTCGGGTATTACTGAAACACAAAGAGCAAGATGGACAACGGATTCATAATTTATTCCTCGTCATAATAGGTTTATAGCGAAATGAACGGAACCATACTTTTCCTCCACTTTCACACCAACGGAAGGTGCCCCTTTTTTTGAGCAAGTGCTATTTTTGGTGTTGCTTCCCCCCCCCCCTCCAGTTTGAAAAGCCGCCGCCCATGCATGTTGCCACCCTGTTGTAACAAAATATTACAGCGCGGGTGATGTGTGTTTTGCAATATGTGCAATTTTCACGAAGAGCCACATATCTTTGTTACATTTTCAGCTGACGCGCGCCTATGGGAGCATACCTGCAAATAAACTCCCATAGACACTAGTGCTAAATGTCCATACTTCAAAATTCTTTTAAAAATACTCAAAACTCTCACAGGTATTCAAGCTGCACAGAAAAATGATGATCAATGTGTCATCTTTCATTTTCTTTTCAATTTATGGTGGGTTGACCATTGACTTTTCGAGATATTTTCACGCAAAGAAGACGACCCCTATTTTCCCCAAAGCGGAAAAGTAGCCATCTTGAAAAACGATCCCTCTACAACATGGCAAAATAGCGCCACTTTCGAGCCCAATAGCATCCAAAATGCTCAGAATTGGAAGCCCCAAGTCCGGGCCAGAGGTTCACTACCGTATCTCTTCAATTCCCCAATTTTACGGCGCTCAGAACTCTCTAATATAGAATATTTTGAGGGTATAACTTTTATTCATGAGCTTGACGGATCGATTTACCGGTGTGTACCCCTATGGGAATACACATTGAACAGAAAGGGCCAATAATATGTCGGAAACCTGAATTTGCGTTTTCACGAAGAGCCACATATCTGTAATAATTAATTTTCACTAATTAACTGCTGAATTAAGTCTTATTACTGGGTTCATGTAAAAATTCAGCTCACACAGAATAGTGTGATGGTTTCCTTGCTTCACAAAGTTGTTGCAAAGTGGTATTTTTTGCAGTTTTAAAATATGAGAAACTTCTTTTGCGATTATCTCGAAAACGCTTTTTCTTCAAAATCGACATATGTGGCTCTTCGTGAAAACGGTGACGATTTGTGGACCACTAAAATCGCACAACTCTTCCGCTATTGTAGGGGGCCTCCGCAAATGTATAGAAAGCCCAGATCGATTACTTTAATATTATTGTGTATTTACCAATCCCGCACGGTTTCAATTCTGTCACGATGGCCCCCTTTCAATGGCGCAAACAAAGCATTTTGCTAGCTTTTGTGCAGACAAACAGTCGCGGGCAGATTTGGTTTTGTACAATAACGTCCACAATAATGGTGTTGATCACCAGGGGGCCTAGTTTAATTGTGAGTGTACATGCAACGATATACTTGAAAACAATTCAACTTGAACATCAAATACATGTATATGATCCGTGTACCTGCTTTGCCCTATTACGCTGTGTGCATTTTGTTGGCGCACCGTGTACATGTGTACTACTACTCAGTACTACGGTGATTTCTTGTTTCCACACGATAGCCCTGACCTCATGTCACACGTTTTGTGTTTGATTTCCTTTGTGCTAAGGCCTTGCCGAGGTCATTGCATTTCCATGCCATATAGATGCCTGTTTGTAACTTTGTGAGTCGTGTCAAATCGTAGGCGTAGACTGTCGTTATTTTCATGAATAAATTTCAATCTGAACGGCAGATATAATAACCTATTGGCGAAGGTATAGGGAAAGTGCATTGATAAACCCACACGAACAACTTTTATAAAACCGTTGTCGTGATTCGATAAAACTTTAACGTATAGAAAGAAGTGTGTGTGGGTCGTGAATATAAAATTGTTTATATATTTGCGCGTGAAACATGCGTTCACCTACACTACCATTGAATTCGACATCAAATATTTAAGGTATAGCACTTTAAATGACTAACTACAGTGAAAGTATTAAGCTGTCGTAGCTATACAACTTCTTCATCAGATGCAACTACACCATGCATTGACATGTGAACAACAATATGATGGAATTGTGCGCTCAGTACATAATAATTCTAACGAATTAATGCCATGTTTTATGCACGACGACGATCTGTTCAAGCTAACAAAAGACCCAGAACTTCCGAAGTGTCATAGAGGATTCCGTTCAAAATACTGACGAGATATGTCCTGCCAGTCAAAACGATGACTTAAGCTCCTACTGTCGATTTTTGATCTTGTAACATCATGAGAATTTATTTTCTGTGCTCGCTGGTTTTATTTTTTTGGGGGGGGGAGGTGAAACTTTCACGTAGCTAGATAAATTTAAAACATTCATTCAATTTAATTGATTTTCGAGTCTTAATTATTTTAATAATTTCAGACTGACACAGTGACCACACCATTTCTTTGTCTTCACATCATTTTGTCATTTTTTTTTTACTATTGATATATACCAGTGAAAAAAATAATTAAGGTCAATTGTAATTTAACATCATTTTGCAATTATCCAAAAGCAAATTGATACTAGCAGCAAACCTGTGATCACAGATAGTACTGGTAGTTTCGTACCAGGATAAATTGTGCAAAAAATCCATTTTGCCTTTCGCCATTTCAAAAACTGGGCAATCTCCTTACATATGGTATCATCTTTTGTGAATTATTTTGTCTCGGTAAACGATTTATAGTCGATTTGCTCTCACGGACACAAGGATGTCAGAAACTTTGCCGATATCTAGAAAGATTCTTGAAATATAGATTGAGGATTTATCTTCAAGTTGGCACTATATGTTCGTGCAACGTGCAAAGGTTTATGCACCATCTGGTAAGGGACATTCTCATCATGGCCTTCAGAACATATTGACCGAAAAGTAAAATCCCATGAACATTTTTCCACATCACATATACTTCATCCGCACATACATTCAAAGTTTCTTGAGTTAATAAAAGAAAACTCATATGAAAACGTAAATCATTTTATAAACTATTAAAAGTGGAATGGAAGAGTGCACTTACCTAAACCGATGAATGAAAACACTACTATAATTGCATAAAGTGAATGGGCCATCCTCCAAAAAACAAACACCCAGAAACTTTTACAGCTGACGCAGAAAGTCTGGTGCACTCAATCGTGAACCCTAGTAGCTCTCCAGTCAATTGTAATCCAGTGCGTTCGTGAATAGTGTTCACTGTGAAATGCAGGTTGTCAGTTGGGTGCGGTGTGCGCTACTCTAAAACCGGACGAATGTCAATCCTTGAAAATGGAGTAGTCCAGTAGCTACCGTCCAGTACGCGGAGGTATGGTCAACACATCGGGAAGGAAGTTCACACAGCTTTGAGCCAAGTCGTGTTGCAATATCTCTGGAAAATCTGCACAAACAAAATTCACTCTTATGGGTACACTTTTCCTGTCCGCCAAACGTGTTTCCGGTCTCACTGTGAAACCACAGAACTATATAGTAACTATTTGCCAGTCTTCATGCAAAACACCCTCATTCACAAACGTGACTCGTGTTCAGAGCGATTCCCGTTTATCAAGGCCGTTTCTTTGCTGACGTCACGCGTTGGCCATTGTTGGCCCAAATCTGACCTTCTTTGTATGACAAGCTGTAGTATTAAGCGGTCTCGCCGTTTGTGAGACACAAAACAGCGCCTGGATTTACTACCCCGTTCATAATAATAGGCGTGTAACCTAAGCCAAGTACACTATTCATTTTATGGGAGGGGAGTATTTCTGAAGACTTGCATGAGTCAGGCATATCGGCACTTTTATCAAACATGCAAAGTCATGCCGCGTTTGACACTCTTCATGCATGGCGTCAGAGTGACGTCATCTCGCTGGTTTTCTGAGAAACAGCAATACTTGGAAATCGAAAATTCAATATAAAAAGGCACTATATACTGCTAAATTCCGATGAACATTATTCTTTAAAAATAGTTGACTAATAATACCCTTCCACCCCAAAATTGACATCATTCCAATCAGATCACCAGACAGACGACACAGTTCTGAATTGTTTTTATAAAAGTTTTTAATGTCGGATATCCATCCACGTGACTTGTACATTTATTATAGAAAAAGATGCTTGTAATCTATTCACCATCGTTTTTCTTTTCACTAAACTTCGGGTTTTTATTTTTTTCATTTTAGTCTATCATGTAGTATAGGTTTTCTCGGTCAATTTCGGCAAATGAGCAGCCAATTTAATTTTCGTGCGTTCGAATTGAAGCTATTTTGCCTCTCCAGTTGTTACTGCGTTTCAAATTCAGAATTCGGCCATTCAATTTCGTTTTGAGGCATTCAAATTCCTTTAGCACTGTGTTCAATTTAGCATATCGTCATTCTTTTTCGTGACACACAATCATCATTCAATTTAGCAAAGCTGGTTCGACTGGAGATTTTACTGATTTAATTTTTTTCAATTTCGTAAAGAGGCAATCAATTTCGCTTAAAGAGAATTCAAATAAGTACGACTAAAGAAATACGAATAAACAGATAAACTGTACTAGGCAACTGTTTCGTATCTTCACTTTAATTCAGGCAAACCTTGTTTTCTTTATTTATGCTTCCAGTAGACTTTACATGGAGCCAATGAGGTTTTTTCTTCTTCTTTGTTTTCTTCTTCATTCTTTTTTTTTTGGGGGGGGGGATCTTTATTGGTTAACTGACCAAGACCTAATTTTGTATTGTGTTTGAATGGGGTGTTTCTTTATGTTTTTCCTGGTTTTTTATTGTTTACGTTTCTTCCTCAACCATCAATCTGTTGGCGTGCCAGACATCTTGGCATATATGTTTGGGTATGGTTGTACCACTGCATGCACTTCACTTGGGTGATGACATCAACGCTCTGGATGGCTGCTTGTTGAAGGAGATCGCACCTCCACTGCTGCATGTTCATTCCTGCTTGCTGGGCAGCCTGTCTGTCTCCGACACGTTGTTGCCACTCAGGTAACCCAAGGATGCGTTTAACTGCAGCCTTGAATGCAGAGTGTGCCATCTCCGTGCTGTTCAGGAATGGGGAGTAGGGAGGGAGGCGCTTCAGCTGGATCATTGGGCTGGCACCTTCAGGGAGTTGGGCTCGCACATGAGGCCTCGCATTGTCGTATATGAGGTAAATGGGTTCGTCGTCTGGGAAAACTGCATCACACTCTTGAATTGTGTCCGCAAGAAACTCCTCGAATCTCTCTCGCGTCACAGTTTTGAATGCGATTCGGTGGTGCACCAAGCCTACTTCACTAGAAACAGCGAAGGTGACATTGCAATTTCTCCCTCGTTGTCTCGACGACTCGTCTTGCAGCGATCCCTCGTGGAGCTCTACCCTGGGAGCGTCGAGTCCAGACGTTATAACCTGTCTCGTCAATGAAGACTAGATGCGCCAGAACACCATGCTGCAGGAACCACTCACCATACTGGACGCGTTGATTAAGAACTTCAGGGGAATTTCTTGCATCAGGGACGTCCTCCACTAGTTTCAGTGTAATCATCATCCCATCCAAGGCCCTGGCTATGGTGGCAGTAGAAACCTGGGGCTTCTCTGGCAGATGCTCACTCAAACTAGCCTTCATTTGTTGAAGTGTCAAGACGGGATTAGCGTCAAGGATGCCTTGCAGATGGTTTCGCATGTCATCATCCATCTTGCTGTGGGTTGCTCCTCCTCTTGCCAGCGTCTCTCACCTTCCAGTCCTCAAATATGTTGCAACAATTGATCTGGCTGTGGACTTGTTGATGTTCAAATTGACCGCAAGCTGAAGGTAGTCTTGCTCGTTTCCCTCGCGAGCTCGAAGGCCTCAATCAACCTTTCTCGATCTACCTGGGCCACTCTAGCGTAGCGACCACGAGCTGCCATTTCTAGAAATATGCGTGTAAAACTGTAGCGAAAGCTCGTCTTCGAAGTACATCGGCAAAGTGACTCAAGTGCCAAAAAGTGAACCGTATTTATGCCTTCAACATTCTTAAGGAAACAAAAATTTAACAAAGCGTTTTTTAGATTGCCCAAATTCCAGAAATGACTGCCCAAAAATGAATTTGAATGACTAAACACACGCCTCAAAAAGCTCCTGCGAATTTGAATGCTGCTTTGTTGAATTGTTAAATTGCATGATTATTTTGTTAAATCGAATGACGCAACAGTACATTTGACTGGTCATAAAACGAAATCGAATGACCCTTTTCAGTAGCATTTGATTTCGCGCGAAATAGAATAGCGTAGTGGTTAAATTGGCTGCTCATTTGCCGAAATTGACCGAGAAAACCTATATAATTGTCACCTATTGGTCGAGAGCACGTCAATGAACAGGTGCGGATCCGGGGGGGGGGGAGTTGAACCCCAAGACTAATTTAGGGTTTTTTTTCATAGAAATGTATTAAAAATAAGAAAACCCCGGCCCCACCCCCACCCAGGGGTGTTAATCCCGGGGGTGGGGACATATATCCCCCCCCCCACTTTTAGACCAGGTGGAGATGGGCTATTGAATCATCCCCCCACTTTTTCGTGATGGGAAAACAAAATGCGGATTTTGAGGTATTTTTCGAACATCCCAACAACCCAAATGTATTCAATGGCATTGAAAAGTGAAGAAACAAAGTACAAAAGCTTTAATAATATGTGCTGTTTTGATGTATAAGCGCGAATATACATGTTGATCCAGAAGAACCCTAGTGTGATCTGGTGTCCAGACACCCCCTCCCCCCCCCCCCCCCCCCGCCCGCTTTTCAAATTTCCACGGCCGGGCAATTTGAGGATTTTGGACATCCCCCACACCCCCTGCACTCGCCGGCAAAGATTTACGCCACTGCGCCCACACCCACCCCCGAATGGATGTGACACCCAAACAAATTATGACAACTTGTAAAAATGTCCGCCTGTGCACAAAATCGGACGGAGCCAGCTGTGGTACGGGGATATGTGTACACTATTCTGTAATACCATGTAAAGTGGTCGTTATCGTCGTATTTGAACAGCGCCCCCATTGAAAGTTAGTCTGAGTATCGCCCGTTATCCACGGAGCCAAGTCTGTATAACGTCTGATATGTCAAAGCATGCAGATATATGCGATCTCGCGCCTCAGCCAATCGGAGTCAACTTTACTAAATAGTGACGTCATTTCATTCCCAAATCAGGACTAAAACTGTGATTGGTCAATTCGAAAGCAGTGTTTTGAAATACAACAACAGTCGGGCGCGTGTCGCGCAACATAATACAGAGCGCGTGACCACACCATTTGTTGGTGTGTCGAGGGTATTTTTTCTATCCATGTCTATGAAGCGACAACGGTGAATGACCAAAGACCCGATAAAGAAAGCGCCCGCTGATTGGTTAAAACCTAAAGGTCAATATGCGGTTGTGTTGCATAATTAATCAGCGAATCTGCTCAAATGTTAAAGACCATGGCGCAAAATAGACTAATTGAAAGTATGGTAAGCGCCCTCCCTCCCCCCCCCCCCCCCCCCCCCATCCCACCCTATTGTTTTGACGGAGGCCAAGTGTCCGCAGAAAACAAAAACTTTCTACATTTCAGCATTGATTTGCTGATAAACACCAACACTCCCTGCAGAAATTCCTGGATCCGCCCGCCGCGCGTGTGTGATTTTAAACAACCGCGTGTTCCTATGACCTGATTCGGTGAGTAGATTGTATGTAGCGCCCTCTACTGACAGTCAGAAACCAACAATCTCGTGCTGAGTTCCTGCTGCTGTATACACCTTATTCAAGAGGAACCCATTTTTTATCATATTCCCTGAATTATTTATATCATTTGTAAACTGTTGAATTGGAACCATCCAGACTATTTATGCGTTACAAGCATCTCTTTCATTATTTTCAAAATGTGGCTTAAAACATTAGGTTATGTTTGGTGACATATTTTTAATTATTTATCAGAGCAGACTGGCATTAATGTTTAATTCATGTTACTATTCGCAGGGCATCGATTCGCAAGGCATCAAAATACGCGTCGATTCTTTTGATTTAAAATAAATACTAAGTTAAATTACATTCATTTTATGGCACTGTCAGAGAATAAATTTTTTCAGCACAGGAGTGCGAGCTCTATATATTTCTCTAATATTTTCATGAAATTACGCCCTAAAATCGCTCTGTTTTGCAATGGAGCGCAGGCATCATTTTTCAAAATGACGATGGGCCACAGGACTACTCTGGTGATCATTGGATGGAATTTTATGTCAAAAGCTAACGGAACAAAACTTGAACAGAAAATGAAAGATTATGAAAGGTTTTGATGGATGTGTCGAACACCTTAGAGAGTTGTGACTATTTCTATTGATTTTTTGAAAGAACGCATAGTTATCACTAAAGTCTATGGGAGACAATTTGCAGGTCCTCATCCGAAAGGATGGACACTATCAAAACCAGAAACTTTAAAAAGCGCGCACTAGCTCATTAATATTTTGTGATCCAACTGGTAATTCTGAATAAGAGGACCATACCTGGGCATGTTGTAGACATTTTCTGGAGATCAAGAACTGATGACTTGTGGCTGCCAACTTTGGTGATTTCGTTTACAAAAAGCCTGAACTAGTGGGCATATCTCGCATAGAGGCGGGGGCCTACATTCAGACTTTGGCCTTGAAATAGGCCACCATTTTAGGGGCGGTTCGGGGGAGGGGAATATAAAAACAAATACTCGGCTACCACCAAGTAAGTTGAAAAGAAAAATGTCCTGGGGTCGCAATCTTTAATTATTATCTTTGAATTATTTGTGACTCTAAAACCATGTTATCAATGATTCCAGATAATCTAATTTGTAAAACAGCTCACGATGTCAAGATGAGAACTGTTGAACAGGTCTCTCACGTATTCAATTTCACAAATACATTGCGTGGTCCGATTTAGTTTGATCACATATTCCACCAATTTGTCAAATATTTCAATTTTTCACACCTTCACTTCTTAATTATTCTTAAATTCTTCAATTTCTCGATTTCAAAAATTTTCTTTCAAATTATGTTGATCTTTAAACTCAATTACTCAGTTTTTGAAACTTGGTGTTTTATTTACCACCGTAATCATTTTCATTAACATTAACTTCCAAGTTATAACAATTCACAACTTCAAATCACTATTTAACTCGTGGCGTTTCAAATGTTCACTTCTTAAGTGTCAATCACTAAATCCCAATGCCATATATTCACAATTCGTTCCTTAGATCTACATATTAATCACCGGATCTCCATTTAACATCAATATTCACAAGTAGAACTTCAATTAAAAATTTGATCAAATTTGTCTCATGTTCAAGTTGAAACCTTTCTGTTTCTATAGAAATCACACTTTACTTTTGTTCAAACACTTTTTTTCAATTTTTGTTCAATCACTTCTTTTAAATTTTGTTCAAACACCTCTATCCATTTTGTTCAAACATTTCTTTATTTTTGCGCTAAAACACAACTTTAAGTTTAAGCTACTTTTTCTGAGTAAATGTCTCTTCTTTAAATTGTCTTATGTAAAACTATTTTCTCGGTATCTATCACACCTCTTTAACCCTAAAAGGGCCGGGTTATTTTGACCATATCTCAGCCGGAGGGGGAGGGCGGATTTCGCCCCCCCCCCCCCAAAAAAAAAGATCTCAGCCATCCAATGACGAAAAATTTTGAAACTCAGTACATGCACAAAGCAATTCATCATAAATATACCCAAGAGATTACATGACCATAGGTCAAAGGGTTTTGGAATTATGGCTAATTAATTATTCATATGTACGAATGGTAATTTGCTCCGTATACACGACGTATATGGTAAAATTCAGTTTTCACGGCGCCGGAATTTTTTTTAATGTTTTTGGTATCAAAAGATGCGCAAGGCTCGAGGCTAAAAAGTCATAACAGCTCGGGTCGCGAAAAAAAAAACAATTCAAAGCTATTGCGGAAAAAGTTGAGGGTTCCGCCCCCCGCCCTTTTAGGGTTAACTTACCAACCTTTTCTTTCTGTATTAATATTACTTCGTTAAAATTGTGCATTACACATCAAATATTTATCTTCTGGAAAATCCAATCGTCTTATAAATCCATCCGTCAATCTTGTTGATTCAAACATTATTTACAACCTTACATTCAAAATCCGAACAAAACTGTGTAATTTGTTTACGTAAATTTAATACACAATTCAAAAAAAGAAATCAGACTGCCGCCAGGTCCTTGTTAGCCTATGCGAAATTACTTTGCAGCACCACTTGGAATTCCAAGGAGTCCTGTATAGAGTTAGGGATCCTAAACAAGAGCTGTGTAGTTCTGAGGCTCACTCTACTAGGTGGTAATATCTCCCAATTGTTTGTGCCATATGTAGTTAGCATCTTTGTAAATCACTTGGAATGCAGACAATATATTTTTATACAGACCACAGGCTTCCAGTGTAGAACTGTGGTTGTTGGCTGTTCAGGCTTAAGCTGGCAGTAAATCAGGGTAGATCATAATTATTTCTTCAGGACTAAATAGGTCTTCTCTCTAGCGTGTCTGGCGAGCAAATGGCTGTATTTCTGTAGTAGCTTAACATAGGCAAAACCCAAGCCACTCCCTTGCAATGGATTTTGAAGGCATTTGGAAAATTGTTCATATTCTACCAAGCACTGATACTGCTAAACTACGGCACACACGGGTAACAAAAGCAATGGACCGATCCAGTAAGCACCGCCCCATGGTGTTCTGACCAATCACAGCCGTCATCTATGTCCGACGTGCGTGCACTAAAGTCCGACATGCGTGCACGCGCGTATGATGCGCGCGGAAGGAAAATGCAGCGTGGCAGTGGAGAGGAGCGCGTGTTAATTTGCCCACGTGCGCACTGGGCGGAGCTTACTGGATCGGTCCATTGCCTTGGCATAGCCACATACTCAACACAATTACTCTATATTCATCACTGAAACTTCCAACCTATCACCGAATCCTCCCCCCCCCCCCCCCCATACACACAAAGTACATACGAAGAAACTTCATACGAAAGCCCTGTAGTGCCATCAAGTATATATTTTGTCCAAGTTCGTTTTTATGAGATATATTTTTCCCAAAGTTCGTTTTTATGAGATACATTTTGTCGAAGTTCGTTTTTATGAGATATATATTTCCCAAAGTTCGTTTTTATGAGATATATTTTTCCCAAAGTTCGTTTTTATGAGATACATTTTGTCGAAGTTCGTTTTTATGAGATACATTTTTCCCAAAGTTCGTTTTTACGAAATACATTTTGTCGAAGTTCGTTTTTATGAGATACATTTTGTCGAAGTTCGTTTTTATGAGATACATTTTGTCGAAGTTCGTTTTTATGAGATACATTTTGTCGAAGTTCGTTTTTACGAGATATATTTTCTCGAAGTTTGTTTTTACGAGATACATTTTGTCGAAGTTCGTTTTTAAGAGATAATTATTTTCGGGCGACACAGGATATCTTTCGGAGCCCCTAAAGGGACATCCAAAATTATTTTTTATCTCGTGCGCACGACATATATCTCGTGCGCACGAGATATTATGCCGTGCGCACGAGATAATTATGTCGTGCGCACGAGATATATGTCGTGCGCGCGAGATATTATGTCGTGCGCACGAGATAAAAAAATAATTTTGGATGTCCCTTTAGGGGCTCCGTAACTTCGAGAAAATATATCTCATAAAAACGAACTTCGACAAAATGTATCTCATAAAAACGAACTTGGAGAAAATATATCTCATAAAAACGAACTTCGACAAAATGTATCTCGTAAAAACGAACTTTGGGAAAAAGGTATCTCATAAAAACGAACTTCGACAAAATGTATCTCATAAAAACGAACTTCGAGAAAATATATCTCATAAAAACGAACTTCGAGAAAATGTATCTCATAAAAACGAACTTCGAGAAAATATATCTCATAAAAACGAACTTTGGGAAAAATGTATCTCATAAAAACGAACTTTGGGGAAAATGTATCTCATAAAAACGAACTTTGGGAAAAATGTATCTCATAAAAACGAACTTCGACAAAATGTATCTCATAAAAACGAACTTTGGGAAAAATGTATCTCATAAAAACGAACTTTGGGAAAAACATATCTCATAAAAACGAACTTCGACAAAATATATCTCATAAAAACGAACTTGGACAAAATATATACTTGATGGCACTACAGGGCTTTCGTAACTTCATTTGTATCCTTGTGGATACATCGCTTTGAATGTTTCCAAAAAAATGCTACCTTGTGGGGAGTCGGGTGTAATACGGAACAAAAAACTGTAAATGTCTCCATCAGAAGGAAATGTCTAAAGGTGAATATGTTTCCACTGGGATTTCACGAAATAGATGGATTTTACTCAAAATCTAGGAACTTCCAAGGTATACTTATCGGTCGCAAATTAAAGTGTTTTATGTAAGGGATATTTGGTCAGAAATTTGACCCAGGAAAGTAATTCTGGTTAAAATAGGAGCTTTTGGAAAATATCTTTTGATTCTCTAACCATTTTGTACACGAGAACAGACACTAAAAACTACTCCACCAAATAAATCAGTTCACGTAAGAAGTGAATAACCAATGCGAATATATACAGTCACACTTGTTACATCCTTGTAGGGTTCACTAGACTCCGAGGCCGATGCTTGAAGATTGTGAATCCCATCAACATTCGACTTTCTCTACAAAAAAAAAAAGGCCAATTTACTTTATTATTAGTTACAATATGATAATTTCTTTGTATGCATTTTGTTTATGTTTCTTTTAATAACTTTATAACGGTTTCCGGATTAAGGTCGGATCGCACTTTGACGACGTGCAAAACTTTCGCGTTGAGAGTCTGCAAAACGTCCAACTAGTTTTGCATTTGCATTATAATATTGGTAACTGGCCTTTACAAGGCATAATCATGCTGATTAAGAAAATGCGCAACATAACTTTATGGCATATTTACCGAAAATATTGTTGGACATCTTAACAAGAATTATAAGGGTGTCTTAAATGACAGGATGTCACTTGTCGCTCTCACATCTTGTTTGCGTTCTTGTCTTCTTTCTGTTAGAAACTGCATTTTGAAAACTGCGAAGCTGCAAATGATTTTCTGATCACTGTTATTTGGATTTGAGTAAATACCTTTTTGTGAGCTCCTATCCACCCTATTTTTCGAAAAAAGCAGGTTGACCGCCTCTGCGCTTGTGCTGTGAACTTTGACGAAGCACACCACGACAATCAGAACGACGATGACAGCGACCAAGACAATAATGATCGCTGTGGTGTTTGAATTAGCTGCGTCTACATCTTAAACACAAACATCATAATCGATCAGATTTCAATTTCAACAAGTTCAAAATATTGGGTTTTTATTTGCCTTTTTTGTTTTAATAACTTGATGGAGTACAACCTTAAACGTCCCATGTCAGAGTTAAACAAGCATCCGGATCATATTTGACGTGACACCTCTTAGGCTAAAAATGACACTTCCTGGGTCAAATTGACCCTTAATATTTCCGGGTCACAATGACATAGACAATGATCCAGAGAAGTGTCATTGTGACTCGGAAAAGCGACATTCCGACCCTGAAATTTAAGTATAAATCAACTTGGACTCGGTTCCAAAAAAAATATCTGACCCTGGATATTTAAAGAATGTACAGAAGCTTTTTTTTTTCTTCACAAAGGGGATTCCAAACATAGTTAAATGACTATGGCCTAGTATACCGAGGGGGATGTATTTTACTCACTTTGACAGCGTTTTACATGTTGCATAGTGGCATGAACTGTTCGCCATTCTGGCAAGGTCAGGCATACAAGGGTTTTCTGAATCAAAATCTGAAATGTTTGCCAACTTGGACGAAATCCTAAGCCATGTGCACAATGACCAACGGAAAGATATATCCAGCCTGCTTCAAACATACTAGCGAATTTGTTCTAACAAGCCAGGCCGTACGTCGGTAGCAGTTCATGATTATGATGTAGGAAATTCAAGATCTATGAAACAGACACCCTACCGACATAACGTGACAAACTATCAAAGGTTAGACAAGATAGCCTTCAGATCATGACATTTTAGAACCTATAATCAGATTTATTGGAGTTCTCCCATTGTAATGGTACCGAAGCCCGATTTGTTTTGATTATCGAAACTGACCGATTCGTATTCATCCCAAGGTTGGAAGACTGAGTTGATCGAGTGGGTCAACTGAGAAACACTATAAAGTCTCTGATCAGATTTGACCCGGAATCTGGGTTCTATGGGGCCTGACAATTTTCCAGGTCAAAACGATACTTCTTTGACTCAATTCTGATAGTTTTGACCCGGAAAAGTGTCATTTTGACCCGGAAATGTTTCAGGCCCCATATAGAACCTGATTCGGGGTCAAGTCTTTTAGACTGCATTATGGGTTAAATTTGACCCGGAAAGGTGTCCTTTTGACCCGGAAATGTGTCAGGCCCCATAGAACCCGGATTCAGGGTCTTTTAGAGAGCAATCTGCATTAGCATTATAGTGTACTCACTTTGGCAGTTTCTTCCACTGACGACTTTGCAGTCATACAAATTACTGTTGGTCGGTGGAATACATGCGCCGGCATATTGAAAGGGGTTCAGGTTACATTTAGTATCTTGGCAAAAAGAAAAATACGGATTCAATCGACACAAATGATAGCAGCACACTGAAATGCCTATAATCACAAAAAAGTGATCTGACTACGTGCAACCTACACAATACGGTAATATAATGCCAAAATGCGTGTTTTGAACGTTCATTTTCAATCTTTAAGTACAGGGTTATTAAAAAAAAGTGACCTTTATTGAAGAAAAACAAGTCGGGTGATTTTGTTCAACAATTTTATTTCATGCTTTTTTTCGGGACACCCTTCTAGCTATATTACGGTTTATATAACAGACGTACAGATCCTTGTCATTCGATTGGTGGAACGCACATCACGTGACATTCAGTATTGCTTCCTTTCACGTCGAGGCTCATAAAGTCCCATTCGCCCATGGTGAATGGGATTTACTTTTCAATTAGGATCGTCCTTGTTCCATGGCGCGGTATTTGTATGAAAACGTATGCTGGTGTGGCGGCGCGCGCTATAGAGTTGGATTCAAACATTTTCGTGAGAGAGAGAGAAAAATCCAATTTCCACCAATTTTGTATTGAAATAAAGTTCAAATATATCAAATGACAAGGATCTTTATGTCAGTTATATAAAACAAATATTGAGTGGCCTTAAATTGAGAAATGGGAGCAATATTATCGCTCGGTAAAATGTGGAATTTTCCAGTTCACACGGCTTCGACCTCGTGAAATGAAAAAGCCAGATTCCAATCTGAGCCACTCAATATTAATTTTGTATAATGTCCAGTGTACCGAGTGGTGGCACACGCGCATCGCACGTACTGCGCGATATGTAGCGCAGAGCGCAGTTGCAGTCTATGCATTGTGAATTTAGGACTATGAAATAACCACTACTTGTAGTATTGTGCATGCCTTCATGGGGATTGTGAACATCCGAGCAATAAAACGGAAAAAGGCACTGGATTTCATAGGAGTCAAAATTTCAGGTGACACTGCATGGAAAGGTGTTTCCGGCCACGTGACGGGCTCTTGACCAATATGAATGGGTAATCTGACTTCGGTATTTTATGAATGTGACATCAAGTTGCATAAGATGATGTAATCGTGTCATTGCTCTGCACATATCTCCAATGCATGGCCCATGCATGTGTCAACATTGGAGTATTCATCATAGTGCCCAGCATTGTGGGTAAGTGAAACAATCTTAAAGGAAGAATTAAAATGGGAAAACAACCAATTTTACGAAAACAAAAACAATATGCCTTTATAAAGAAACTTTACCGTGAGGGTTGGTCGATGTGAATATATCAACTATGGTAGAATCGGGGCCTGGTCCGTAACGATTTACTACCTGCACCTGCGATTAAAAAACAAATGGTTTGCATATCAGAACACCAGCCGATGACCCCTTTGGGCAACTGTTGAGGTTGAGGAGACTGAGCGACCTGGAGTCAGTTTGAAGACATTTTGGCTAAACAGAATGTTTTGACTTTCTGCCAGTGTCAAGTTCTGCTTTTTTTTCAATGTCAGATTCTGCCATCCTAATAACTCTCGCCCGTGCTGGTTTTTAAAATTGACATCCAATTGAGGGTAAAAACTGAATGGATACTGTTACCTTAAACCTGTAGAATGTGTTGGCAGTGAGGCCTTCAATGAGAGTTGACCGATTGTTGTACCAGGTGTACTTTTCCGTGTAATGTACGCTGGTTTTCATCCTGTACATGACCTTTTATAACAATAATAACAATACTAATGATGACATTTTTATAGCGCCATATATCCCAATCAATTTTGCTCATAGGCGCATTACAATCAAGGTAAAATCAAGTTAAAGTTTAACATTAAAATTAGGAATTAAAAACATGTCAGATCACACAGAAAAGAGACAGACCGACCACCACAGGAAAACCAACCAAACAACTGACCGACGACCAACAAACCGACCAACGAGAAAACAACCAACTGACTGACGGACCAGCCGTCAATAAATAAAAGTTCAAAATTACTAAGCACATCAGTAAAACGTTACTTTGTCGTCAAAGCAATTATTATGTCATGCACTGGCCCCGTCTGATTTGTGCTATTCGGTAAGATGAAGTAAAGTTCAAGGTCCTTATTCATTTTATACTCGACGCCCCACAGGTGCCTAATTTGCGGCGGCTTATTTGCTGTTCTCAGTCCCTGCTGCACAGTGCACCAAGGCTACGACTCGTTACAGTCGGCGATTGTTTTTCAGCATTTGTATGTAAATTTATGCTGTCCATCAGGCTGCCACTTAAAATGGCACGCCCCGGCACGCCCTGGCAAGCCATGAAGATAATTTAAGTGAGACTGGGTACTAGCTCATGAGACTTTGTATCAGTCCGTTCTTACCAAATTCTACGTCAGAGAGGCAATAGTATACAAATATTGAGTGGCTCAACGTGGAATGGGAGGAACATTATCGCAAGGTAAAATCTGGACTTTTCCATTTCACGAGGCGAAGCCGAGCGAACTGGAAAAGTCCAGAGTTTACCGAGCGATACTATTCCTCCCATTTCACAATTTAAAGCCACTCAATATATGTTTTATATAACTGACATATAGATCCTTGTCATTTGATATATTTGAACTTTTTTTAATACAAAACTGGAGGAAAATGTATTTCTCTCTTCCAAACCACCCCTTCACAAAAATGTTTGAACCCAACGCTATAGCGCTGGCTCTTTGGAACAATACGCGCTACGCGCAACGCTGAACGCGCACACCAGCATGCATTTGCACACAAATACCGAGTCATGATCCTAACTGTTGAATAGTATTATGTTATTCAACAGGTTATTACTTTGCTTATCATGACAAGAATTGATTACTGTAATGCATTGTTTGCTGGTCTTCCCCAGTCTACCCTAGCCCCCTTACAAAGAGTCCAAAACTGTGCCACCAGGATTCTCTCAGGTACTAGAAAGTTTGATCACATAACTCCGGTGCTCATGGAACTTCACTGGCTCCCAGTTAAGTACCGAATTATTTACAAACTGTGCTTGCTTGTTTATAAATGTATTAACGGTCAATGTCCTGACTACTTGAATGAATTAATTTGTAGTACCAGATCCGTCTCCCTCAGAACCACTCGCCAGTCCCAAGATGCAACAAGGTTGCACTGTCCAAGGAGTAAGTTGTCCCTGTATGGTGACAGAGCATTCTCATCGGTTGCCCCACAGGAGTGGAATAAGCTGAATATGACCCTAAGAGAAGTTGAATCTCTCGGTAAATTTAAATCAGGGCTAAAAACTCATCTTTTTAATCAAGCGTTTTTAACTTAACTTAATTGTCCACATGTCTTGTTCTTGCATATACTGATTTCTAAAGCTGTTTTTATACTTGTGTATTATTTTGCTTATTGCTATCGTATATTGTTCTAAGTATATACTGTTTTAGCAAACTGTTTGTGTAGAATGGTTTTAAATTGTTTAAAGCCGGTTCGGGCAACGCGTTGATGCTGGGGCGAGGCGGGGTTCCGTTTCTTTTTAAGTTTACATGTACATCTCGTTGTATTTTTATCTGTGTATGAACCGGGCTTCAATCTTCTTAAGTATACATTTCATTGTAATTTTATCCTGTGTCTTAACTTGTTATATAGAAAGCGCCTTGGAGCATGATTTTCTTCATGGACGGGCGCTATATAAATTTTAACTTATTATTATTATTATTATTATTATTATTATTATAGTATTTCCCATTCCCCATGGGCGGATAGTACTTTTGGAATTTGAGCCGCGGCGTGAATGGGAGCAATAACGAATGTAACGTGATGTGAGTTCCACCAATCAAATGACAAGAATCTGTACGTCGGTTATATAATAAACAAAATTTGAGTGGCTCAGAGTGAAATGGGAGGAATATTATCGCGAAGGTAAAATCTGAACTTTTCCATTCCACGAGACGAAGCCGAGTGAACTGGAAAAGTCCAGATTTTACCGAACGATAATATTCCCCCGTTTCACAATTTAAAGCCACTCAATATTTGTTTTATATAACTGACACATAAATCATTGTCTTTTTTTTCAATACGAAATTGGTGGAAAATGTAATTCTCTCTTCCAAACCACCCCTTCACGAAATGTTTGAACTCAACCCTGCAGCGCTGGCTCTTTGGAACAATACGCGTTACGCGCAACGCTGAACGCACATACTAGCATGCATTTGCACACAAATACCGCGTTATCAATAAACAACAAAAATTGGATAGTATACAAATATTGAATGCTTCGAGTGGTGTAGTAAAACTAGCCTCCCATGGTGATCCATGGACATTCTATTTTCCCGAGGTGAAGCCGAGGGAAAATAGAATGCTCCATGGATCACCGATTATTATATATAAAAGCATTCAATATTTGTTTTATAACACTTCACCCACAGATTCTGCTTGGTTTTAATATTTTAAATTATTTAAATCTGAACACAGATGAAATAAACTTCAATTTCAATACAAAAATGGTGGAAAATGTATTTCTCTCTTCCAAACTACCCCTTCACGAAATGTTTGAACCCAAGTCTGCGGCGCGCTCTCTTTGGAACAATACGCGCTACGCGCAACGCGCAACGTGCACACAAGCATCCATTTGCGCACAAATACCGCGCTAATGGTATAGTACTTTGGTTGCTACGGGTATAGTACTTTTGGCCGTGCACAGAAAGATAGCAACATTAGAAAGTAACATGTGACTCGCTCTCGGCCAATCAAGACACAGAATCTGTGGGTGAGGTGTTATAATATTTCCCATTACCTATGGGCGAATGGGAGCAATAACGAATGTCACGTGATGTGAGTTCCACCAATCAAATGACAATGAAGATCTGTATGCCAGTTATATAATAGTTAAAGGGGCACTAGGTCCTGAAATCCCCGAAAATTTCATGTTTTGGATTGTTTATTATCCTATTTCAAACATCTGGATGAAAGGAAACCAACCTTATGTCTTACCATTCCCGAGAAAAGACGGAAAAACCCGGTTATTTACATCGGACATGTCGCGGTTATAATACGTTTTTCCTGTCGTTCAGTGTACGATATACACGTTGTGTTTGTGTGTCTATTATAACGTACGTATACAGCACCGTGCTCGCGGACAGTGGTGACCAAAAACCAATGCACAAAATGTGGTTTCGTCCATGTCCGGAAAAAGCGACCGCCCGAAACAGTCCCCTCTATTTCTAATTTGTGCAAACGATGTAATTTGCACATTGTAAAATATCAATTAACATGTTCCAAACTACTTATAACCGAGAAATTAGGTTGCCACTAAAAAGTTAAGACGAAACTGCACGTTACAGGCTTTGGCCCTCGGCCTAGCTGGCAAGTTCACACATACCCGAAAATTTTCGACGTATTCACTCCCTTGTGCTTCCCATGTCCAGGAAACGTGAACCATGTTTGGTGATTTGACCTCAACTCGCACATTTGTTGGAGCGTGAGGCCCCCCTATGGGTATAAACACAATACCAACATTGAAGTACATTAGAGATGCGCTCACTTCAGGCTGTATGAACTCTTCAAATGTAGACTCGGCATCTCCACAAATATGCACTTAACCGACACTACAGACAATGCACATTCTTCAAACTGTATTTTCAAGGTACTGCAAATTTCACACTCCGTATACCATACTATAGGGTGGTTCCACAAAAAAAGGAAATCCAACTTCAAAGAATGAGTATGGACAGACGATATGCTTACTGGCTATAAAACTGGTATCATCTAAAAGCGTAATGCTTTTCTATGCTTTTCAATGATAATGCATTTAGGTTTTCTGAGTCATGCATCAGTGAGCATCATGTCTTGAAAACTGGATGCAAAAAATGCAGTTGGTTCACTTTCATAAAAAAAAAAAAACACTGGGCACGGTGTACGTATTGTTACGAAGATGTCTGTGAAATGGCTTGAAAATGCCTCGGGAAAATGGCACATTGTTTTCAGCCAAGGGCGGATCCTGGGGGGGGGGGCAAAGGGGGCCATCCCCCCCCCCCCCTCCGCAAAACGAAAGCAATTTTTTTTTTTATGTGACATCGCAATAAAGGCAGGCAATGAGTACACCACCATCTTTTCCTCCAAAATAAATTGGTTAAAGTGGTCAGAAATTGCCTCAGATCGCACCACAGATCATCTAGAATCCAAAAAATTTTCGGGGACCTTAAGCGGGCCCCGAACCCCACGCCGTAATTTTTTGGACCCATTTTGGGAGGGACCCAAAAAAAATTTTGGCCCCCCCCAAAAAAATTGTGTTCTGGATCCGCCCTTGTTTTCAGCGTGGCTTGGTCAAAACGAGAAATTCATGACTAACAATAAAATCCAGTTTTGAAACCAACCCGACTTGTTTTTTGGTTTCTTTTTATGCACTCGTGTCTTCTTCTTGACTATAACATATTCTCATGCACACCATGCCTATTGTGGTTGACATGAAAAGAACCAACTGCAATTTTGCATCAAAATTTCATGACAGTGGCGGTCAGTGATGCATGAAATGCAAACAAGGTATCATTGAAAAGCATATAGAGATTACGCTTTTCAGATGATACCAGTTTTATAGCCGGTAGTGGTTTTCAAAGTTGGGTTTCCTTTTTTATTGAAACACCCTGTAGAATAGGTTTACGGACCCAATTAACGCGCGCTGCAGACCTTGCAGACTTTGCAGTGTCAGCAGACTACCGTTTACAGACACTAAACAGTCAAAATTTTACACTGAACAGTCAATCTGCAGCTCAGACTTCAGATTTTACACTGAACGGTCAAAATCTGCAGCCAAGCCGACTTAGATTGCCCTACATATAGTGGACGGCATCTATGGAGTTGCAGGGTCATAATTCGTCACCGACACCACGAACTGACACCCGGTGGTCAGCGTTGCAGAAATACAAATCGGAAAAAAAACGCTTTAAAAGGTTTGACACAAATTTACTCAGTAAGATATTCCATATATATTAGATGTTTTAATATCACTTAAAGGGAATGTACACCATTGGCTTTTGCTGTAATTTTCAGAAATGAACTATTTGAGGGGTTAGTATAATAGATCAAATATTGTTTAACTGGCATGTTTGAAGTTTTGTGTTCGAAAATGCTTGAAAATCCAAGAAAAACAATAATGTTAAAGGAGTCTGGTTCCCTGACTCCACTAAAGATAAAATCGATTAATTTTATAGATGTCGGAAATTTGTAAGGTAAGGAAACCAGTCTAGCTGGCCTGCACCCGTTCATGAACATGTAACCATAAGCAAACAAAATTTGGACTTAAAACTTTTTTTGGAAATTTGGAGCAGTAGTTGAAAAACAGTTAAGTTTTTCCAACGTTGGTCGGCACAAATACCAAAATTGACCAATTTCTTGAAATTTCATTAGTAAAATTTGCTCATTTTAGATGATTTCAGCGATTTTAATTTCGTCATGTTAAACTTCATGATACAAACTGCTAATGTGTGCAAAAAAAGAAATTTGAATTTTTAATTTTTTTTTACACATGTGATGCAGAGGGTGTCAGTTCGTGGTGTCGGTGACGAATAATTGGGGGATAAAAATTTCTTCAAAAGGGCACTTGCACATCCATGCTGAAATGTAGGCACCTTTTTTTTCCTCCGGACAAAAAGTCGGGGGTGGGGGTTGGAAAAGGGTGTGGGAGTGCTGGTACCATCTGTCGATGGGGGCGATGTTGAAAACCGACAATTATGTACACTGTCGGAGAATGGCACTTACAGGGCAATATATACATGCGCGAAATGCAAAAAACGGCACCCGCAACGGCCAATGACACAAAAAGGGCATGACTGTTATTTTTAAGGGCACCTTTTTAAGAAAAAAGGCACTTAATTTAACAAAAGAAGGGCACTGTTTGCAAATATTGAAGGAGGTTAAAAAGGGGAATTTGAATGGGAATAGGCAGTCTTTACAAAATATTGTGTGTGTGTGGGGGGGGGGGGGGGGGGTAAATACCCCCTTACCCCCAGCCCTTGCTGGGTACGCCTATGGGTTCCCTTGGGTTTGTTCTTTTGATATATTATGAGATCTTTATCTACGGATCTCTGCTCACCTGGCAAAACTGTCTGGCTGTCTAGAGCTCCAATGGCAACACAAAGAAGCAATTATTATGTGTGCATTATAGTTGCGCACAGTAAAGTCGTGAAGAGCTACTTATAACAGCTACATTGAACACGTGTCTACAGTTTACCCTGATGACCACTCTGCAGGTAATCTGTCGGTGATATTGAGTCTTGTTGACTTATTAATAGGAGCCGTTGGACCCGGCTCAGTAACCTCTCTGCTTTAGCCGGCTCGGCCTAACAGAAGAAAAGGATCCAATATGGGAAACCCGAGAGGTGGAACCACAGTGAACTTGAGGGTTACCAAGAGGTTGAGTAAAGATATGCCCTCTAATTATGAAATGTGAGGTAATTTGGGAATTCTTACCATAGGGCAGAGTGACAAAGACGGGGCCAGATTTGTTGTACAACATATCATCCTGGGGCACATATACAGCCACACTGAACCCATGACGACCTGATCTCAGGTTGTGGATAAAGTAAACTGTCTGGGGACCCTCACTTGAAACATTGCCTATCATCGTCCCTGGCACACTGTAGTGAATCATCCTGGGGGGGGGGGGGGTAATATGTGAATCCAAATTAAATAATGATATAGTATTTGTAATCACAAAGTCATCACAAAAAAATTGTCATGGAATGGTCACAAATCAGCAGCAGCAACATTCAAAAGTCATCAAACGTATATTTTATATCAGGCCAAAACAAAAATATTCGGTCTCTGGTCAGACCAAAGTTCCGGAATTGACGCGGCGATGCAGCTTTTTTTTTGGCTTTTTTTTTTCTTCGAGCTTGGATTGTACAGACAAGGTGGGGTACTATTTTGCTTTTTTGGTGTCCTCATGTACATTGGTGTCCTCCATAATTTGCCTTGGTGCTCTCGATCATTTGCCTTGGTGCAATTTTCCATTCTTTGGTGCTCTTTGGTAAAAAAAAAATTGAGGAGGTGCGGCAAAACAGGGCGCTGTTGGAGCTACCGCAGAACATTTTGGGGAAAAAAAGATTGACGCGCATGATTAAAATCGACGCGCGCGCTGACCAGAGACTGACTTATTATTTTTTTTTGGCCTAACCGACATACAGATCCTTATCATTTGATTGGTGCAACTCACATCACGTGACATTCGTTATTGCTCCCATTCACGCCGCGGCTCAAAAAGTACCATCCACCCATGGGGAATGGGAAATACTATTAAACAGTTCGGATCATTTTTGTTCCATGACGCGTAGCGCTTATTGTTCCAAAGAGCCAGTGCTACAGAGTTGGATTCAAACAGTTTCGTGAAGGGGTGGTTTGGAAGAGAGAAATACATTTCCCATCAATTTTGTATTGAAATAAAAATTCAAATAATATCAAATGACAAGGATCTATTTTGTTGGTGTTAGTTATATAAAACAAATATTGAGTGGCTGAAATTGTGAAATAGGAGGACTATTATCGCTCGGTAAAATCCGGATTTTTCTAGTTCACTCGGCTTTGCCTCGTAAAATGGAAAAGTCCACCTTGCGATAATATTCCTCCCATTTCACTCTGAGCCACTCAATATTTGTATACCAACAGAACATTTGAGGCAATTCCTGGTTTCGCTCGCTTACTGTGCCTGCACCACGCACGCATAGGACATACACGAACGTCCGCACAGTACTGCGAATGGACTGATCCAGTAAGCACCGCCCCATGGTATTCTGACCAATCACATCCGTGATTTATGTCCCTGTGTACAAAAGTCCGACATGCATGCACGCGAGAAGGATGCGCGCGGCAGGAAAATGCCATGTGGCATTGGAGAGGAGCACGTGTTAATTTGGCCAGTGCGCAGTGGGCGGGGCTTACTTGATCGGTCCATTGAAAGCGCTATGTAGTACTGATCTGCATGAAAGATACTAGAGAACTGAAGAAAGGACAGTCCGCTTAAAAAAGGGGGTAAAAGTGTTTGGTTTTTTTTTTAAACAGTATTATGCTAATAAGCAATCTTTTTGGTTAATTAATTGTCGAATTAATTAAATTTATCTAATTGATTAAATTGATTATTTAAATTATTAATGAATTTGCAATTTTTTAAAGAAATGAGGGTCATTCCATGTCAGACCAAAGCACGTTTCTACAGTATGTCTCCCGATTTTGATAAAAATTGCTGTGCTTGTAGGTCCTGATGAGCAATGAATGCACACCAATTTTAAGCCCGCCCGATCCGACCTACCGTGTCGTCAGGGCAGAACATTAATGTGTTTGTTCTTATATACACAAAGGCCTATTTTAAATAGGCAAATGAAATGTTATAAGAGTGCACGGGACAGTAAAGGGAAACTTCACGTGGCACATAACATGGGATCTGGGCCCTTATTGGTTGGTTTATTTGTCTTAACAATGGGCTGTTTGGCACGGGCACAGCATGGTTCTGTGTGAATGTTCGTGTGACAATCATCAAAGTACGTTGAAAATGTTAATATGTAAGTTTTGGATGTGTATAATCCTACTTTATCAGGCAGTATTGGAATTCCCACATTGCCCAACCAGACAAAGTGGGAATTCCATCTTTGCACGGATTCCCACTTCGCCCGCGACAATTGCGTGTGTCTGTTTGCGTGTTCAAACACTGCCTTATGGGGTGCCGGAACAATGGGAGGTACCCCATAAGGAATGCCCATCGACTTGCGGGGTACCGTTTTGGTACCCCACAAGGAAATTAACTATGGTTAAAATAAGAGCATTTTGACATAAGTGTGCGACGTAGCAAAATTTTAGTACACGAGAACAAAGGAAGTACCCCACTTCTATGCCTGTGACCACAAATTCGTAGCCTTGTAGAGACTCACACACAGTACGGAACAAAACATTATAAAGGTCTCCACGGGGCAATTTCTATAGATGAATAGGTCTCCACGGTTTTCACGAAATAGATATATGGGTTTTGCTCCTAAACTAGGAATTTCCAAGGTGGGTTGATTGGTAGCAAATGGAAGAGTTTTAGAAAAGGGATATTAATTCCAAATTTCAGCCAAGGAAACTAATTCTGGTTAAAAAAAGAGCATTTTGAAAATTCCTTTCAAAATTGAACACTTTACTACACGAGAACAAAAAAATGTCTCCACAGGGATACAAATTTTGGAATGGGTGTGGGTGTGGGTGGGTGTGTGTTTGTGTGTGACTTTCCATGGGAGAAATGTTATCGTGCCTGAAGAATGGAACAAAAGATGTGAACCCACCGGAAGGGGTAACAGTATTTTGTTATATGCAAGCGCAGGGCCGGGCAAAACCAGGATCTTATTTGCATAAACTATATTGTTGTTTTAAGAAAAAGGTTAAGTGGGAGGATAGGCTCGGAACTGAATAGTTCGCCTCGTCCAATCTCTATAACAGAATACGGCCCAAGCAGAACTTACGAGTAGATGTAGTAATTATAGACACCTTGTGGCTCGGGTGAGGGTGCATTGAAGACAAGTCGTACTGTCCAAGTTGATTTCACGATACGGCCATCTAAGTTTCTAACAAGGAATTGGTCTGTCGGTAAAATGATGAGTTCCATAGATGTGATAATAATTCCCCAAATACCGAACTCATAACATAATCAGTGCTCATAAAATCCACAGAAAAATATAAAAGAACATTAACAAAATACTGCAAGTCAGTTAGTACGGATACTTGTCAGTGTCTCCAACCAAAATCGAACATTTCCATTGTTTTATCAAAAGTGGCCTTGACTTTTGGCCTGTCACCCCCAAAAGCAATAGGCCTGATGAGACTACCAAGACGAACCCACAAACCAAATTTGAAGTTCTTAAGCAAAGTATTTTGAAAGTTTTTGCACCAGCTGTGTTTCTATTGTTTTAGCAATAATGACCATTAAATTTAACCTGTTGGCCCCAAAAGCGACAGACTTCTACAGACTAGACTATCAAAAGTGGCCTTGACTTTTGACCTGTCAACCCCAAAAGCAATAGGCCTGATAAGACTACCAAGAACAACCCTCAAACCAAATTTCAGGTTTTTAAGTAAAGTATTTCTCAAGTTCTCGCGTTGACAAGATTTCCATTGTTTAAGCAATAGTGACCTTGACCTTTACCTGTCGGCCCCAAAAGCAATAGGCTTCTTAAGACTATGAAGAACAAATCACAAACCACATTTCAAGTTCGTAAGTAGAGTATTTCTCAAATTATCATGCTGACAAGAGTTAACCTAACCAAAACATAACACACGCACAGTACACAAACTAGCAGACAGATAGAAGGAATACGCTATCGCAATATCACCCTCCGGCTTACGCCAGGGTATAACAACTGAACTTGTGATCTTTCTGATGTATGTAGAGAAAGGGAGAATTATGCTTTTTGTTTTTCATACCAGCGAGTATGGAAGGCTAACTTATTAAATACAACAAGTCTGGTGTGTTGACAAACACTAAAGACCAGCCCCAACATGCTTCTTAGGATTACCAAGAGCACTCCACAAACCGCAGTTGAAGTTCATATATAAAGTATTCCTCAAGTTATCTCACTAAGGCCAAAACAAGTCTCCGGTTTCTGGTATGGAGCTTGCCCAGAAAGTGTTGCGGCGACGCGGCTTTTTTTTTTTTTTTACCTGATTTTTTTTTGCTTCAAATGTGTGCTGATGACTGCAAATGGTGCCCGACTAAACTTATTGCAAATATATGGGAGTCTAGAGAGGTCACATAAAGCTTATTCTCGACCATAACCCAATCTAAAAACACGTTAAAATTGTGCAGCAGCAGGATTCCAGTCAAACCAGTGAGTTTGGCGGTTTTGAGACATCATCTTTCATTGAAAAAAAAACTTTTTCATTTTGCCGACGCGCATGGCTACGGCGACGCGCGCGCATACCAGAAACCGGAGACTTTTGGGGGGGGGGGGGGGGGCTAATCGATCTGACCGGGGAATTGTTTGAGAGTATATTTATGTATACCATTGCAATACTGTCCGTTCCATCCGTCCACAGCGCACGTGCACACAGCATTTCCCGTTCCGTCCATGCATGTTGCACCATTCTTGCACGTATCGGGCATACAACATTGAGCACGCACTGTAGAAAGAAATAAAATAAAATGCAACACTCATGAACGTAACAACGTTTCAGATCAAAGTTGTTTTGAATTAAGTTCGATAAGAAATAGGTAGAGGTAAAGCGGCGAATGTTTTTCCTTCGGTTTGCCATGTAAATTTTTGGCAACCATTTGGGTTGTCGTCAGGGATTATATAAGAAGAAAAAAAATATGCTCTTTTTTTTGAGTATTTGTATTTATGTTTTTCTTTATTTTTTAAGCTTTAGTAGTCACATGTTTTCACTAACTTTGAGATATGCTAACACCCTTTAAAAAATCACGCTGTTTTTTGTTTGAAATCGAGCTTGTTTACTGTTACAAAAACTGAGAGTCGTCCTCGATTTGGTTCCTGTCCTCGAATCACCGATGATGTTGCACGTGTGTGTCCACGATTTACGCTATAAACAAACGCATTCCTTATATACCCTATGTGGACATTTCTTTGTTTTGGCACAGTTAAGGAAAACCGGAGGACAAAATATTTTACTTACAGTGTGAGAACTCTCTCAACCCAAGTTTTTTTTTTCTATGATTTCCTTGAGTGTTTCTCTTCATTTTGCGACGGATAAACCTAACCCAACAATGCCTCTAAACCCGTTTTCCAGAGAGGGGGGAACCTTATGTGGACCTGGCTTAGTCCACACAAGTGCTAGGTGGATTCATGAATGAGTCAGACATACATGTTTAGCCTACACCAGACTGCTCCGGGAGGTCTGTAAATTTATTTTTTGGAAAAGACGTATAGGCCTAACTTGACGAAAGTGGTGTCCTACCTGTCCTGATTAGCGCCCACTATCTTGTTTACGGTCTTCACAATTGGGAAGCCAGTGTTGTAGTCGAGTACTTGTTTTCCCGAGTACCGAGTACTGCCGAGTATGTTGCTGAGTACTAGTACGAGTACTTGTACTTCCGAGTGCAATTACAGGTCTCCGAGTACGAGTACTTGTACTTCCGAGTACGAGTACGAGTACGAGTACTTCTGAGTACGACTAAGAGTGCAAGTAATTATATTCCGAGTACGAGTACTTATATTTCCGAATACGGGTCGGGTACGAGTACTAGTACATTGTGCTTGAAGCCGAAAATATGTGTACTATTTATTACTTGTGAAGTTGTGATACAACATTGTTTTCAATAATTTGAAACATTATTTTTTTGGGGGGGGGGGTTAAATCTGCAACAGTGGTCTCTTAGGCCACTCTGCACGACAGTGAATACGGACGACATATTTCGTGATTTTTATCACAAGCAAGATACCACTTGGGCACAAAAGTGCTACAAATTCTTCACAGACCGACAATTTTTGACCGAGCGAACATGGACGGTTCAATGTGCAACGTGGCAGATTCGCGGTAACGTGTACGTGTACTACGCATGTAATAAAATTCTGCTTCAATGACGTGACAATAAGCCTGTGTGTTTATGCCTGTGGGCCTGACGCCGGAACCAGATTAGGGACCGTTTTTCCAAACCCCGGCTTCGGCTCTATTCATGCAGGTTGGCAATGGGGCTGGACCCGGATAGGGCCCCGAAACCAGTAGAAAAACGGCCTTGCTCCAATCACCCAGGTTAATCGAACGACCATTTTGAGGAACACCTCGACGATTCGCGTACATGATTGGCCATTGTGCCCACAATTCCGCTACCAAATCAACCATTTCAAACTGAAAGTATCGATAAAATGAGCTTTTGCAAGTCAAGCCATACCATTTTTTCGAGGACTGCTATTCGAATACGAGTGCCTTGATAATCGAGTACAATTTCGACATTTCGAGTATGAGTTCTTTCCTACCGTCGTTTCGAGTACGATTACTTTGACATTCGAGTAGTACGAGTACGCTAAAAAAAAAAAGTACTCGAGTACTAGTACTCGAGAACGAGTGCCGAGTACGAGTACTACAACACTGTGGAAAGCCCCCCCCCCCCCCGTTACATCTGATAATGTAGTTACCAACGGATAATGTATCACCAACTGATAATATTGTCACAAAAAAATTAACCGCTACTGTATCACTAACCGATGACGTAACAAAAATTGACTGATAGTGTAGTACAATTTACTACACTATCGGTCAATTGTCGTTACATTATCGGACGTGACCGATAATGTAACAACAAATGACCGATAGTGTAGTAACATTTATACTATCAATCAATTTTTGTTCCATTAGGCCTATATCGGTATTAAAGTGAAACAATATTGGTCAATTAATGTGACACTATCGGTTGGTAATACATTATCCGTTGGTTAATTACTACATTATCAATTGTAACACTCCCCCCCCCCAAAAAAAAAAAAAGAAGGCCGTTCAAATAACTTGGGTGGTTTAAAGATATCGACAATGGTGCTTTTCAAGACGGCTAATTACCTAATTTCATCCCCCATGGGAACATGTCCTTAATTGTAATCATGTTAATGAAGCATGGTCAATGTCACTCTCTGTTTATGAGCATTATTATTAAACCATACACGAGTGAAAGCATAACGAATTCGTAGTGCAATCCGTAGCAAGAAAAGCGAATACTTTAAATCAACCATCGAAGAAAATAAAGACAACTCATCCATTCTGTGAAAAAGTACCTAAAAGAGGTTCTCCCGGACAGAGAATTAATTCTTTTCTTTCTCAAGATTGGGAGTTCGTTGATGATCTCACCGAAATTGCTGGTACATTGAACAAACATATTTCAGCAATCGGAACACGCATAACAAAGTCTTTTTTCTTTCGTACGTGTCTATATACAGTGGTTTGCCACTGCTGTACACATCGTTGCGCCATTGTCTGGGGATGTATGCCACGTACAGTCACATGCTGTTGTACTTGTACCCTCAATGTTTAGCAAATCTGTACAGTGTCACCTTTGACCGCCCAACACTACTAGTAGCTCGTAGTCGGTTGAGGCACAATGAATGACTGTGCCAAAGTCTTGGTAAGGTCCGTAATAACAACCCATGCAGCTGGGAATACCACAATAAATATACAACAAAGACCCAGACAGCTTATTCGCTTCACTGCACGCGGTGGCTATCGAATTTGCAGGAGTCTGCGCTTGATCTGGTATATTTGGGTATATTTCTATTTTTTATATTTTTGTTAAGTGTATTTTGGGGATTCTACTTACATATCTTTACTTAAATAACATTTTTCAACGCATATAAGTGACTGAATAATTATGAGGATTATAGTAACGATCCAAAATGGCTACTATTATGCCCTAAACTTGCGCGCATTTACCTTGTCTCCCGATATCATCAATTAGTCTTGCCAAAGCATTGATGAACTTTAAATTCACCAAGTAGCTTACTGGTACAGTTACCCTATTAAAACCTTATGCAAAATCATGTGAACAATGATAACATTGTGATATTTAGCCCAGAAAACAAAAACTGGGAATAAAACGAGGTGTCCATAAATTAGGCCAACAAGTAGGTGAAGGGTTGCCTAACATGGAACACTGGAACAAGTTCAAGGAAATTCCCAAAATTATTGTTGAGAAAACGTTTTGGCGTAGACAAAATTATTGTAAACAACAGTAATCTCTTATTTAGGGGGATTTCGTTGAACTTGTTCAAGTCCCCACGTAATTACCCTTCCCGTACTAGCCCAATTTACGGACACCACATTTTCTCCCCTTTTCTGGTCTTTTGGGCTAAACATTAAGATGTTATCAATTTTCACTTGATTTCCCACTTATTTTTGTTAGGGTAACTATGCCAGTAAGTAACTTTGTGAATTTGAAGCTCATTAATACCCACCTTCGGCGAGACTAGTTGATGATATCTGAGGAAAAGGTAAATGCGCGTAACTTTAGGGTAAAATAGTAGCAATGTTGGTTCTTTACTATGTCCTCCTAATTATTCAGTCACTTATATGTTTTACAAAATGTTATTGAAGTAAGAATATGCAAGTAGAATCACCAAAATACACTTTTCAAAAAAAATATAAATAAAATATACCCAAATATGGGAATAAATATATTACACGGCAGGGATTAACGATTTATGCAAATTAGGCACCCTTCCCAAAAGAATTTCAGGTGTCACTCCTTCTAAATATCTTCTGTAGGGCTATAAGATTCTATCTGCCAAGTTTGGTGCTTTAGACTAGTCGGTCACGATTCCGACCATATGCCACCTGACTATAGTACTCCCAGCACGAAATGAGACGGAGGGGTATCCCCCCCCCCCCTCCAATCTACATATATACCATATTGTTACCTAAAACACATCCCCCGATATATCTCAAAAGAACTGTTGAGATTCTGGTAACACAATGATCAACACAAAGGAGGGGGGTGTTCCCTTCGTCTCATATCGTGCTGCATATGTGATCTGGGGGTATCGAATTCTGCTAAGCCAGCTAATTATATTTTGTGTATATTCATGATCTTATAATTATAATAAGCACTTTTCACCAAGAGTTTTTGGCCATTTTCTTTGATGCAGTCCTGTTTTGATAATGTTTTGTTGTGACTGCCTCACACAGCAAAACAGGAGGAAAAGTGGCTTCGCTGTTTTGGGGAACTTAGAATAATATGGAAAGCTGACTGTCTATTTTAAAAAATTTTTTGGACTGCTTTGGGGGGTTTTAGGACATTTTTGAAAACTGTTGGGTTTTTGGTATTGTTTTTTGTATGACTTCGATAAATCCATATAATTTATGACTGTTTTCTTGCTGTTTCCGGAGAGGGATCCTTTTATCCTTGATGACCTTGCATGGACTGCTGGGAAATTTTAATTCAGCTACTTTTGTGAGTTATTTGGTCTCGGTGAAGGTATTAGGCCTAGGGCAGATTTGCTCTCACAAAAACTTTGCCGACATTTAGAAAAGTTATTGAAACGTAATTTGAAGACTTCTCTCTCTTGGCACCGGATGAAGAGTGCAACCTTTCAAAAGTGTACAAATGCATCATCTGGAAGGGAGTAAATTTATCCTGATAGATGTTAGAGCATATATGTATTGACCGAAACATCGAATTAATGTCCGTAATCGTTTTTTTTTCTCGTACGAAAAAGTAAATCGTGAGTATAATTGCTGAAGAGGCCTGGAAGAGTCTCTGTATACACTTACCTAAACCGATGAATGAAAACACTACCGCAAGTGCGAAAAGTGAATGGGCCATCCTCCAAAAACGAACACACGGAAACACCTACAGCCGATCCGGAAAGTCAAGTGTACTCAATCATGCAACCTAGCGCACCAGTTGATTGTAATCCCAGTACGCTCGAGAATACGATGAGTTCACTGTAATATGCAGGTTGTCAGGTGTGGTGCGCTACTCTAAAACCGGACGAATGTCCAACCTTGAAAATCGAGTAGTGGCAGTAAGCAGTGGTATGGTAAACACATCGGCAAGGAAGTGAGCATTCAAGACCACGGTGAACACCAAGGACCAAACAACCCCTGATTTTGGTTCACAAAAATGGCGCTGGAATCAAAACTACTGAACCGAATCGGGAGTGCCTGGTATAATTTCCTTCTAACAAAAGTTCATAGCCATACATATCAATGGATTAGGTCCCTGCAGGAAATTGGAAGAATGGGGTTGCGTTTTTGTTTGTTTGTTTGTTTTTTACCACCCTGTATATAAGGCCAAAAAAAAAAAATTCGGTCTCTGGTCAGACCAAAGTTCTGGAATTGACGCGGCGACGCGGCTTTTTTTTTTCTTCAAGCTTGGATTGTACAGACAAGGTGGGGTACTATTTTGCTTTTTTGGTGTCCTCATGTACATTGGTGTCCTCCATAATTTGCCTTGGTGCTCTCGATCATTTGCCTTTGTGCAATTTCCCATTCCTTGGTACTCTTTGGAAGAAAAAATTGAGGAGGTGCAGCAATCGAGGGCGCTGCTGGAGCTACCGCGGAACATTTTGGGAAAAAAAGATTGAGGCGCACGATTAAAATCGACGCGCGCGCTGACCAGAGACCGACTTATTTTTTTTTTGGCCTAAAGGCACGTAACCAAAGTCATGTACACTGTACTGTATTTATTTCAGGGGAGGGGAATATTTCTGAAGGTTGCATGAGTCAGGCACATCGGTTCTGTCAACATGCAAAGCCATGCCGTGTTTGACAGTCTTCGTGACGTCATTGTGACGTCATCTCGCTGGTTTTCTGAGAAAAAAAGAAAATACCTGGGAATCGAAATTTCAATAAATAAAAATTTATTGATAAATTCCGATGAGTATTATTCACAAACTTCGTTGATTAATGCCCCTTTCATCCATATCAATGACATCATTGCAATCAGATCACCCGTTTAAAATGAGATTTATTTTGGTTTGATGAAAGTTCTTAAATGTGGCATATTCATCCACGTGGCTTGCACTTCGATTTGAAAAAGAAGCTTGCAATCTGCTTGTAATCTGTTCGTAATGCTCTAAATTTTTCTATTCACTTTTTTCCAGGTTAGCCTTTTCTTATGGTCGAGAAAACGTCTCATGAGTGATTTAGAACAACACGCATTCCAATAACATGACTCGATAAGTAGCCTGTATGTAGCGCCCTCTCCTGACAGTCACAATCCAACAATCTCGTGTTACTAGTTCCTGCGGCTGTGTATTGTATTGGGATCGTCCTGAATCCAAAACAAATAAAGGCACCGCGATATCTTTGATTTAAAATAACTCTTCAAAGAGTTTATTTTTATGGAGCTACAAGCGAACACATTTTCCCCCACAAAACATCATGTGACTAATTGCTATAAGACCATTATCATGCTGCCACTATTTCAGGCATGTTCCCTGTATCCAACAACAGTACTGAAAGATAATGTGTTTTTTGTGCAAAAAGGAACCAGACTATTTTTCCTTCCAGCCTCGCTTTGGTTACATTGATCCAAATGGGAAAAAATCAAATGGCTGCAACATGATAATGTTCTATTGCCTGGTTCTCACATGACATAAATATTAAGCCTTTTCGGTGCGATTTCGTCAATAACATCGGGACCGTGTCCAGGCATTTCAGCTAAAGCTGGAAGGAGTACCGTGTATAATTATATCACTTCGAAAATCGAACATAAACAATACCTTATTACTATTAAGAGATTGAGTAACCAGTGGTGTAGCCAAGGGGGAGCCTAGGGGGCACGTGCCCCCACAAATGTATACTCCTGGGGAGAGAGAGGCAAGTGGGGGTGAAGTGGCGTGCCCAAGGACACAATGTATGGCCAGCAATTGGATTAAAACCCCTGAACCTCTGACCATGCCACAAACCGTAACCGCTTCCCCAGCACGGCTTTATGAATGTTAAGAAATTTTTTAGGAAAAGACCTCCTTCTATCGTCAAAAGAGGTCCAGTGTTCATAATACAAAGAGAAGTTTAAGAATATAAGTGCATCTTATCGACATACTACATGTACAAGAAAATGAGAATGTTGGTTATAAAGTTGTAGGACATCAAACTACTTTAAAAACAATTAAAAAAATATGTTCAAGTTACTGAAACTTACAATGATTTGTTAATTTGTACATGTACAAGAATATAAAATGCTTCGGTATTTTAAGAATAATCATAATTCGAATGCAAAACATACATACTTTACAAATAATTTCATTACATGTGACATACTGTACAATGCAGCCACTCAATTTACATGAAAAGAGACCAAGCAGAATTAAAAACAATGTCGGAATAGTTGATAAAAAGTTTGATGATTAAGACCTGATAATACCGCAAATTAAATGAGTTAACAATAAAACAAAATTAGGAAATCAATCAATCGTAATTAATCATGCTCCGCTGAGCAAATCTATTTAATGAGTTCCTTTTAAACAAAAAGTGTTACGAAACTAAATGTACAAAAAGTATTTTAGAAGCTTAAGCAAACCTAATACACCCTGTTATTTATTTGGTCCTGCAACTTTACAGGTGTCAATATAAAACATAGCGAGGAGATCAAAACTAGCGCGAGAACCTGCTGTGGGGTCCGCTTGCCAAAAGTCGGCTCTATAAGTGCAACTATTGGCCTTGGCTTCATCTAGGAAAGACAGTCGAAGTATGGTTAACTGCAGTTCTCACTCGAACTTGCCCTAGGGCATTTCACACTGAACCAGCGATATTGTACAAGTCTCACACCACTGTGAAACTTGTGAATGTGCGCGATCTCATGTCTTACGCGGACTCGTTGCTACTCGAACTTTGGCCAGGTTCCAAGTACACGTACTCATCTTGGTTAAGATTGCCCATCTCGAGATAGCCCTGCACGAAAAATAGGTATTAAACCAAAGAAAAGCAAACCATAGTTAAAGGCAGTTTCAGCTCAGTGAATAAGGCACTTTTGTGAAAGCAGGGGGGGGGGGGAAGGCACAAATGTTTGGGCACTCTTTATTCCTAAAATCAGTAAATTATTGACTGATCGTTGGAAATCTTCCACTTTTTTAAAAAACAAAATTCTAAATGATAGCACGCCGGTCGGAATAATTCACTGGGTGTTTTGTACCAGAGAAGACATTCAATCCTAGTAAACGTTTTTGATAATTATTTGGTAGGTTACTTTCAGGACAGACGTAAGTGATCCTAATAAATACTTCTCAAACATTGTTTGTGCAACTCAAAACAATACAGTGCGCCACCAAGAGCGCCACCAAGACATTATTTTGTTACGGCGCATTATGGAAAAATCTCAACATCTCGCCGATGAACATTTTTTTGGCACAAGGAAACTGCACTTGCTCCTTTTTCGCATGATTTAAGGTACAGTTTATTGGTTCGTGTAGAACGATGAATTCACGTACGAGGGTTTCAAATGCATTACATGCTTGGCTCATACTTCACATCAACAAGGAATTATTTACCCTACGACTTGACAGTATTATGCAGAAGTCAACCGTGAAGTTGAATCTGAGATAATTGCCACCTCGGTCGTACTAACTGGAATTGCTTATTAGATTTAATTTCCTGAGTGTGTTCAAGTTTGCAGAGCGAACAGTATAAAGGCAGAAAGTATGGAGAAATAAAATAACAGGTGATCAGTACACCTGCTTGGAAACTGAATACCCACCGCTGCATCTGCAAGGATGTCGTCTATGGTGGTGTGAAGACCAGCGAAATCCGGCCTGTCTTCAGGTTTCTCCTGCCAGCAGTCCACCATTACCTTGTATCTGAAAAGAGCGTCGCGTTCAAGCTTACGTCAGTGTATACCAATTAGGAAACTGATCCCTGATTTACAATAGAAACGGAAGAGGGAGCGCTTGTTGCAATGTGACGTGGGTGGTGATTGTGTCTGGCAGTGGTGCTGAAAAGAACCTGACGGGTTAACCCGACATTTACTGTCAGTATAACAACTGACTGCCATCGAGGGCCGGTCCTCCCTTTGATGACTAGGTCGACTAACAATCATTTGTTCTTCTCAGAGCCACATCTTGTTTTACAAATGTATTCACTTTCCATAGTTTTTGCAAACTTCCCACAGGTTGAGTCCACCCTGCAAAGTCTTTTGTTTTAAAGCGCACTACCGATATCGAGTGGTGAAGGTGTGCCACAGCCTCAATAACCCTCAGTAACCGGCAGCAAATATTCCCAAGATCATCTATCAGATCCCTGACTAGTATACAAGCTATATGGTGCTGATTCGGCAAAGGTAATAATAATCTCTGGCCACACAGGTTCCCATTATTATCCTCGTCCCAGATGTTAAGATTATTTAAAACGATGTGCAGCTACGCAAACGTTCGTGAAATCGATAGTAAGTTTATTGGGCAGCTGCGCAACAAAATGTGTTGCATGGCACAAGCTACGCACTTTTCCGTGAAGTCGGCTGCAGCAATATTTTTAATAGCTACAAAAAATCGCAACCAATCGCAGATAATTAGCGACTGCTTAAATACATCGTTCGGGAGTTAATGACCCAAATTGACCTCTTAGACTTACATGTCGTCACTGCAATGCTCTGGCTTGGGTAGTCGGTAGCCCTTCTTGAGTTCATTGATGACTTTCTGCGATGACATGCCAGGATATGGATGCGATCCTGATGAAAACAATTAAGCATTGTAGTATAAAACGGTACCTGAATATACTGTCACATGACTATAGACGGATCCAGGCACGTGATCATTGCACACTCACGAGGCCCCCTTCAATGGAGAAACCATTGTGCATGCTATTGTACAAAGTAATTTCCCCGTGAGGGATTATCTGAACAGAAGGTAGCGCAATGCTTTTGCCAATGAAGGGGACCATCGTTACAGAATTGTTAACGTGCTCGAATTAGTCTTTATAGTTCGTATTGGCAATTTGTTGAGGGCGCTGTTACGACTCCATATTGGGGTGAACTAGACCTGAATTCAATGTAAGTGATGTCAGTTTACATTTTGCTAACAATCAATAGTTGTTTTTCTTAACTTTTCGAAAGGACCTTGAGTTCCTTAGGAAGTTTGCTTCAACTTAAAACGTGACGTAGCCTAATGTACTGTTTATACCCCTAAAATGTAGTCATTCATGGAGGACAACCTCATTTGAAACTAGATGCAGTATAAACATAAGAGAACGGACCCCCCCCCCTCCCCCTCAGAAAATATATATAACACAGAATTTGAAGAACATTGACTCACCTAATGTAACAAGTTCCCACAGAAGAACACCAAAAGACCATACGTCACTCTTGCTCGTGTACATATTACTAAGCAGTGACTCAGGAGCCATCCAACGAACTGGTACCCTGCCCTGATGAGTACGAATAAACAACAGTCTGATGAAGATCGTTCCATACCTTGATGGTCGGAAAGAACGAGTATTCGAGTGCTGATGTTGAGATATGTTTCTCCCAAATCGTTTGTTGTTGCCCCTCCCTGGCCTCCTAGTTTTTGGTTTCACTGTGATGTGATAAGGATATATTGTGATGATGTGACGAGTGATTTTGAATAGGTTTGTAATCTGGTGGTTATCACGTCTCACTTGGATCGAGAGTGTTTCAATTTAAGATTGTCAGCGTGTTAATCACACTACTGTTTCTTGAGTAAAGTCACCACAAACAAAATCTTGCATCTCTCCTGGGAAACTTCTCAAGAGATAATATGTGGTTCACTCTGTATGGATTCCAAGCAGTAATGATATATTCCAGGACTGGTCGCACAAATGTGAAGTAGAACCTCTCTTTGATTGGATTTTATAGAACACAATGTGGAAATTATACCTAATGAAGTTCAGAGCCCTTGATGCTTTTGTAACTGCATGAGGGGCACCATCGTTGGTTTTTTTTTTATTACTTACGTGCCTCTCTGGAGATTTCATGAAGTGAATATTACTTAACTAAAACTTTCGGAATCTGCGCTGACGGCTTCCCCTATTATTTCTGGATGTATCAATGGAAAGCCGCAAGGCGCCGGCGTACGCAGGATTTTTTCAAGGGGGGTGTTTCAAAATTGGATGTCGTCATTTATGACGCTAGAAATGAAGATGGTAAATCAGTGGGCTAAACTTTACGCTAAAATAAAAGTCAGGAGTTTGTGTTGGCGCCAGAAATAAAAGAGGGTATATTTGGACGGGTTAAACTCGAAGGGCCGGGAACCCACGACCATCAGTTATCTTTTTGAGCTAAAGCATAGTAAATCGGGAAAAAAATGTTCTGTGTCTTTAGAGTATGATGAACATATGAGTAAAGGGGTCAATGTGGGCAGTCCCCTCCCTCAACAGCATTTAAACAAAAAGAAGAAGAAATTCAAGAAAAAAAGTGACACGGGCTGCGGAAGTGCTATGATCTGTTCTTGTTATTGGCTAAAATCACTCAGCTTCGTCCTCTGGATTTAATGATTCTCATCCGTTGGGAATCTTAGTGTAACCGCCCCCACCCCTAAGGCCAAACTTCAGATACAGGATACATATGCGCTCTGGTCACAGGAGCGGATTCAGACTGCCATTTGCCGGGGGGCCTAGAATTATTGTAATGAAGGGTCCAGGACCTGCGAAGGCCTTACGGCGTGGGGTCCGGGGCCCGCTTAAGGGCCCCGAAAAAATTTGGATTCAAGATGCTCTGTGGTGCAATCTGAGGCGATTCCTGGCCACTTCCACCGTTTAGAAAACGTTTTAAACATCGAAAATTCCATTTAAATTTGTTATTTTTTTTTTTTGGTTTATAAAGTTTGTTACGTACTCAAAGTTGAGAACCATGTTCCATCTCCGTATTTTTTCACAATTTTCTATTTTGGAAAGGGATTTATGCCACTTGTAGAGCCATTCGCTGCTGAAGGTACAAAATGGTGGGGGCACCGCTAGGGTGAAATTATAGCATAGAGGGAATTTGAACCCGGGACATACCGTTATTTCGTTTTATCGTTTTGGATTTCTTCAAAAACAAAAACAGTAAACGAATCATCGACCGTTTTGTCGTTTTACAGTGTTATAAAACGACAAGCGGTATTAAGATAAATACGGTTTCTCCGTTTTATAAGTTTAGTAAAATTCATTATAGCATAACGATCAATGATTTTTGTTTTACAGATTACACAAATACAGACTGTTTTTTTTATTCCAGTGTCATGGTTAACAGTCCGTGGTGCATTTTGTGGCGGTGGGCAAGGGGTTGGAGGGGGACCATGTTTTACACGAAGAAGTGTTACCTCGGCATAATTAATGCGTGATGTGATTCCTGGCGCGGACCCTGACCCCTTTCTCATGCGATTCAGTCAAGTTGGTGGGGCTTAAAGAGTTCCAAGCAAAATGGCGCTGGAAAACTTCAAGGGAGGACATTACTTTTCACAATGGAAACAGGATGGTAATAAGACATTTGATGAAGTTGCAGACATTTTGAAGGAAACTGGGGTTCAAGTCGACGCGGCTCTTCAATAGCCAATTCGCAAATTTTGTCGTGAGAACGAAATGTAAGGAGCGGGGCCCAGGCAATGACTCGATCCCAAGGACGCATTAATTAACATTCCGGTGCATTGCTTAATTGCCGAACCTAAAATAAAAAAAAAAAGGTCGGCAAGACTATTGACCGTTTTGTCATTGTCATGATTTTGTAAAACAACACTCTAAAAATAAAGCAACTAACCGTTTAACGCTTTCTACAATTAAAAACAACAACAAAAAGTATTTTTTGTGTGTGACTTAATACCGTTTGACCGTTTTTTACAAAACTGTTAAACGAGAAAACGGTCAATGGTTCGTTTACTGTTTTTGTTTTTGAGGAAATCCAAAACAGTAAAACTAAATAACGGTATGTCCCGGGATTAATTTGGCCGGAGGACCAATGCAAGCGCGGAGCGCGAAGCACTTACGGCGTGGGGTCCGGGGCCCGCTTAAGGGCCCCGGGAAATTTTGGATCGTAGATGCTCTGTGGTGCAATCTGAGGCGTTTCCTTGCCACTTTCCTCTGTTTTTTTTAGCAGAAGTTTTTTAAATTATGAGGGGATATTTTGTTTCACTTGTTTCAAATACATATAGGCCTATATACTCTTGCTCTTATAAAGTGTCTTCTGTATTCAAAGCTTAAAGTTGAGAACATGCACATAATTTGTAATTGTTCCGCGCTCGGTCACATAACTCTCTTTTCCCTCCATATTTTTACATGGCAAAGGGGGGTGTTTAACAGCCAAAACACCCCCCCTGCGTACGCGCCTGCGCCAACCTGATTCCTAGTAAGATCCAGCCACCAGAGGGTGGCCTCTAAAGTGCGTGTACTGAATGATAAATGTTGTATACCTGTGATTGCATTTCGTACTGGCTTTTCTCGGCCACGTCTCGAGCCAGTCCAAAGTCGGACACCTTGCATATCAATCCCTCGCCAAGGAGGATGTTACGGGTCGCCAAGTCCCTGTGGATACACTGTGAGAAGACAAGAGAATCAAATACATCAGACTACGGACTCAAGAAAATACATAGGGAAAAATCAATTTGGAGCATGATTTGGTTGAAATAAGTTATCGCGTCATGTGGGCATGTAGAGCGATCAGTTTGAGAGTGGATCTGCGTTGAAGAGAACTCGTCATCAGAAAAGTATGCCAGGATTTTAGAAACTGAAGGAAAGTTTTGAGTGGTGCGAAATAATCAGTTGAGAACCATGAGCTGTAGTTGATAGAGGGTTCCCAGTACGTTGCCAAGACTTTGACTTTGGTAAAACGTAGAGTGGGCCTAGTAACACTGCGATCAATAACATCTGTGTTGAAAGGGTTCAAACATATAAATTTCATACATGTAAATATCTTGGCGTTATGTTCAATAATAAACTTGATTGGAGTGATCACTTGGATTACATAATGAACAAGCTTAACTCTCGCATGCATTTTGTATTCAGTGTTCTTCCCTTTTTATAAGCTTTGCGAACCTTGTAATGTCTTCATCTGGAGATTAATGAAGTTTTCTTTTGTCTTATTGTTTTCAGGGTTTTCCCTGATATTTCCCTGAGAAAGTTTCAACAGTCAAGGCGGTTGAGATGTCTGGAGAGGTGTGCAATACTCACACTGCAGAAACACTAAGAAGCCACCATAGCCAGTCAGTCAATGGACACAACTTGGACACGTGGCCAAAGACACATATACGCAAAACTGGCCAAAACCTTTCCCTTCTTGGTCACTTTAACTTTAAGTTTTTCCAAATTTTTCGCATTTTGTCAATATTTCCATATTCTCGGTTCTCGGCTTCTTGTCGGTTCTGATTTGGCAAAATGTGGTTTTTTTTCACCCAAAAGAACAGCTGCTGGACGCAGAGAACTAAAACAGCATCACGGTGACGTTTACTCGACATTAAGGAAAAGTATTGGTGGCGCACTGTACACTGATTTATCCCCATTTACTTTGTTCTGCACGCGATCTCACCTGTTTCGATGCTAGGTACTCCATCCCCCTGACCACCTGAGATGCGAAAGTCAGGATCTCAGTCGGTGTCAGGTCCTTCTTCTCCTTGAACCCCGCCTTGTTCAAGTAGATGGGTTCCATGCCCGTCCGAATGTGTCGTAGGTAGGTCTGCAGGTTACCATGGGGAACGTACTCCAGGATTATGTACATCGGGTCTGTAGAAAGACATCAACTTAAATGAAAACGTTGAGTCCCTCCGGTTCTTTTCAGAACCACACATACTCACAAAAGAGATTTATTCACATGGTGCTACCGCAAACTTATCTTGTCTTAAATGAGTTTTATAAAAGCATCTCGGCTGCATGCCACCTGTTGGTGAATTCGCAGGGATGGACAAGGAATTTGAAAAACTGCTCTCACACACAGATTCATTCAAATAGTACACGTATTCACAAGTTAAAATAGACGCTTCGCATGACAGTCAATGTGATTCATTTAACTGTGTGGGTAACATACTCACTCACGCCACTTGACAGCGTATTTGCAGTCATCAGAGCTATATTGTTTTCAATCTTGTCAAAACTTATCAAATTGGAGATTCAACTTTTTCACATGTAGGCCTACCTTTATCAGTGCAGCATCCGAGCATAGACAGGACATTGGGGTGCTGGTCCAGCATGGAATACAGTTGCAATTCTTTCTTGAAATCACTCTGATCGTTGGGTGTAGCAGATTCTGAAACGGCAAAGGAAAAGCAATTGGAGATATTCTGTGAAAGCAATACATGTAGGGTATGTGCGCTTTGACGTTTTCACATTTGAAGGTACGGTGTGCAAAGTATATGATAAGTTCGATTATTAAGCGCCACTGACCCATGTAATGACGTACGTTTTGGCGGAGCGCTGTGTGCGGACGTTTCAATTTTTGAACGATAATGATCAAACGTTCCAAAATACTTCAATCCTGCTGACATTGCTTAAACTCATGATGCGCGGTATACAACCATCGGTATGACTAACCTCGGTAAGCGGGGACCGAATTGGAGACAAGACCAATCCAACCATTGTCGAGCGAGCGTGCGTTCAATTAAAATACACCACTCCGGATTTTGGCCATAAACTCGGCCCACCTTTGATTTGTGTACATTTCGCACATGTGACTGAAATTTGGCCGAGCTACCATGGTCACCTGTTCTAAAGACGTGATCTGATTGGTCAATGCGCCTAGTTTGATTGGCAGATAGGTATATCTAAACATAATAGAGCTCACAGGGCCTTCATCAAGGGCCTACGTAATGTACATTTCTTAATGCAGTCCCTGTCAATGCATCTTTGTGATTAACCTTATTTTGAATTTTGATATGGCCAGATTTAAGGTCATGTTGATGCCTTTTTGGCTTTCATGCTTAGGCGAATTTTCATTTTTACCAGCAAAAGTGTGAGCAGAAACCTCAATGTTACAGCCATTTCAGCACAAAAAAAAATTACCAGAAATTCTGAACATTTTGTTGTCGTAAATGTTTTTTTCTTTGGTAATTCGTTGCCAGTTGTTTCAGTACATTACAGTATAGGCCAATGAACAAACTTTTGCAATAAATGTTTTCAATGATTATGATTTTGGGATCACGATTTGAACAGAAAACCCCGAAACTGAACAGTGCCTTCTTGAAATGACGTCACGGCAACAGCGCCCTCATTTGTCAGGAAAAGCATGAACATTTTTATATGTTTAACGAAGTACACTTTTGCTAAGATTAAACAAAAGGGATGTTATATACTTTTCATACATTTAAGAGGAGTCGAAAATTTCTCAAAATATGCCCCCAAGTAAAATTCATGTCATGTATAGACCCTTTAATTACACTATTCTTACAGCAATGCCGTACCTTTCAACATCTTGACAGCCACCGTCGTATTGGTTCCCCTACGGACGATTCCCTCTGCCTTGGCCTTGTAGACCACAGCAAACGAACCGCTGCCTATCTGACCAAACATGTGCAGTTTGTCTCGCGGGAACTCCTTGGAGGGCACATTAGACTCCGAGGTCGATGCTTGACGATTGTCAATCCCATAAACATTCGACTTTTTCTGCAAATCAAAATAGGCCAATTTACAATAGGATCGTTTCTTTTGATTGCACTTTTTGCCAGTCCATTCAAAATCAAAAGACGGAAGTTCCAAACCTAGCATGTTGAAGTGTCAGCTCACTGGATATCACACTTCTCGAGAAAACAGTGAAAAACCTTGCACAACCTTTTGTTTAAAAACATGATTTCGTCCATGGAACTCTTTCTTTCCACAAATAAGTCAATGAACTAATCGTTGAAAATCGCCTAATTTTCTTGATTTCTTCTAAAGACAGAATAATTTCACGAGGTGTTTAGTATCAGTCAATGGACTAATTGTTGATACCAGAACGTACGATCTTTAATCCAGGTAAGCTTTTGATAACAAATCGTCAGGTAACATTTGGGGAAAACTGCGAATGACCTTATGTGCCTTTATAACGGTGTTCGAATTAACTTGGTCGGATATCACTTTCAAGCGTGATTTTTTTTTGACGACGTGCAAAGTTTTTGCGTTACGAGGCCGCAAAGTGCCCAACCAATTTCAATTACGGCGAATTTCGCTTTCGCATTATGAAATAATTATTTAAAACTGGCTTTTACAAGACATAATCGTGCTGATTAAGAAATATACGACATAACGTCTGGCATATTTACAAAAAAAAATTGTTCGACATTCTTACAAGAATTACAGGGTGTCTAAATGACAGGATTTAAGTTGTCTCTCTCACACATTATTTTGCGCTGTTGTCCTCTTTCTTTTAGACATTGCATTTTAAGTACTGCATATTTCTGCAGATGCTTTTCTGATCACTGTTGCGTGAATACCTTTTTCGTGAGCTCCTGTCCATGTCCTCCTTCGACAGCAGACGGCCGGCCACCTCTGCGCTTGCGCCGTGACCTTTTGACGATGCAAACCACGACAATGACCAGCACGACAATCAGGACGACGACGACAACGACCACGACAATAATGATTGTCGTGGTGCTTGAATTAGCTGCGTCTGAAGTATAGAAAAAAATGGTTTAGATTTCACTTCCAAAAATTTCTAAATATTGCATTTTTATTTCGCATGCTTTTTTTGTATTGGAGTACACTCTTATAAGTCCAGGGTCAGACTTGATCAGGAACCCGGAAAATATTTGACCTGATACTTTTTTTACACTTAACCGGGTCACAATGACACATATTGTTGATGTCTCCCAACGTGACCCCTTTATAATGGGAATAGGCCGCCACAAAAATGTGCAATTCCGAGGTGATGAGCTTCGATTTTTGCTGAATTCCAAGGTGTGTCTGGCAAAATCAGTAAAGAGAGGGAAATCACTGTTCAGTATTTAAAAACCCAGTATGCAGTTGAAATGCTTGAAAGTTGCCCTCAATATATAGACGATTTTGCTTGCTTTATGTGGTAAGACAAGAGTAAAAAAAATTGACAACCATGTGTTGAATCACTGTTCACGCGCAAAGCTAATAAGCAGCGATTCAAAAATAAACAATCATGATGTGCGCGCGCAGAGGTGATCCAATCAATGGCGTATTTTTTTCCTGGGAGAGCTGTGGGGGCAAAGTCATGCATAATTCAGTTTTTGAATTGAATCAGTGCAACCCTTCAATTAAATCTATCTCAAAGATAAATTTAGAGAAGAAAATAGTCGATGAAAAAGAGCAGCCACGACGTGGATTCGAACCAGGGATCTTTGAATCCATAGCTCATCTCGTTATCCACTAGGCTACTGTGTGGTAGTTTGACGACGACCGTACTTTAAAATGCTTTAATGTAACTGGTTGACTAAATAACAACAATGCTCTTGATATCATTGTTCTAATCTCATGAATAAACATGCTGGCCCCATCGAAACTACTGAATTATTCAATCGCCAATTGTCCTGGGAATATAAATTACGGCAGCGGTCCCCATGTTTTGCAGGAGGGAGGGGGTTGGTAAACAGTCCACTCACTTTGACAGTTGTTGCCCGTTGCGCCATTTTGGCACGTACAGTCATACGAGTTGCCTTGCCTCGTGCACTGTCCGCCATTCTGACAGGGGTTGGGCATGCAAGGGTCATCGGCTGAATCTAATTTAAAAAGGTAAGAAGTTTAGGTACATCGTAAAAGAGAACAAGGCTACGTCATTTTAATTATAAGAGGGGAAAATTGTCGTTTTCGAGAAGGTAACATTTTCCAAGGACTTTTCACCATAACAAGCACACTGACAGGCTACTGTGATGGAAGAAGAACTTTACTGTCACCAACTGTATATGCTGAAAGCACATCGAACATGAACATTTGTATTTATCGACAGTGTTGTAGGAGGCGCAGGGGTGCTACGCTACTTACTTTGACAGTTATTACCGGTGGCGCCATTTTGGCACGTACAGTCATACGAGTTGCCTTGCGGCGTGCACTGTCCGCCATTCTGGCAGGGGTTGGACATGCAAGGGTCATTGGCTGAATCTAATTTAAAAAGGTAAGAAGTTTAGGTACATCGTAAAAGAGAACAAGGCTACAAGGGCGGATCCAGGACACAATTTTTTGGGGGGGCCAAAAAAAAATTTGATCCCCCAAAAAAGTGGGTCCAAAAGATTTACGGCGTGGGGTTCGGGGCCCGCTTAAGGGCCCGGAAAATTTTTTGGATTCTAGATGCTATGTGGTGCGATCTGAGGCAATTTCTGACCACTTTAACCAATGTTTTTTTGAGGAAAAGATGGTGGTGTACTCATTGCCAGCCTTTATTGCGATGTCACATACAAAATAAAAAAATTAGTTTCGGTTTTTTTTGGGGGGGGGCATGGCCCCCTTTGCCCCCCCCCCCCGGATCCGCCCTTGCAAGGCTACGTCATTTTAATTAAGAATAAGCGGGGAAAATTGTCGTTTTCGAGAAGGTAACATTTTCCAAGGACTTTTCACCATAACAAGCACACTGACAGGCTACTGTGATGGAAGAAGAACTTTACTGTCACCAACTGTATATGCTGAAAGCACATAGAACATGAACATTTGTATTTATCGACAGTGTTGTAGGAGGCGCAGTGGTGCTACGCTACTTACTTTGACAGTTATTACCGGTGGCGCCATTTTGGCACATACAGTCATACGAGTTGCCTTGCGGCGTGCACTGTCCGCCATTTTGGCAGGGGTTAGGCATGCAAGGGCTGTCTGAATCTAAAATAAAAAGGTGAGAATTTTAGGTAGATCAAGGAGAAAAGTACGTCAAATAAAGCATCATCAACTCTGTCCCCTAGCTTAAACCAAGCGATTACAAAAATGAAAGAAAACGTTTCCTTTTAGAGAAGGCAAGAAAACATTTTTCACACACTTACAGGCAACATGCATGTACATCACTGAAAAATTGCCTGGGTTAATTTTACCCAAGCAAGGGTAAAAACTGCAACTACCCAAAATTGGGTTGTCCTTTACCCAATCGTTTGGGTTGTCCTTTACCCAATCGTTTGGGTTGAATTTCAGTTAAATTCAACTAAAACTTGCGGGCATACCAGACTAAATTTAATTTGGTCTTGTATGACCCCAAGTTTTGGTTGGATTGAACAGAAATTCTAAACCAAACAATTCGGTAAAGGACAACCCAATTTTGGGTGGTTGCAGTTTTCACCCTTGCTTGGGTAAAATTAACCTAAACCCGTTGCCCGATTCACTGGTACATGTATTACTCCCCTTGCTTACACAGAAGAAGGGCACCCTAAGAAGAGTTGCAGCCAGTCTTATAACAGTGTTGGTCAGACTTCACCTAGAGTCCGAATTCTATTTGGCCAAACACTTTTCCGTGTCATAGGAACTCTTTTCCGGGTCATGATGACACTTTTCAAGGTCAAAATTACACTTTCCGGAACATGGTAACATTTTTCGGGTCAAAATTACACAATCTCGGTCGAAATGACCTTGAAAATGAGTCAGAGACGTATCAGTTTGACCCAGAAAAGTGTCCTTTCACCCGGGAAAAGTGTCATTTTCACCTTGAAAATTGCCACCTTGACCCGGAAAAGTGTCAGGCCAAACAGACCTTGACTTCTTGTGAAGTCAGTTACGTCGGGTAAAGTCATAAGAAACAGAGTGCGAAGTGGTTGTGTGTTTGTGTTGACAGTTCATTGGAATTACAGCTTGTCACTTCATTACAGAGACTGAACGACTTGTGAGCGACTTTTGAGTATTTCTGATGACTTGTAATGATTTGATTATAATAAGTAGGCCTAGATGTAGCCCCATAAATGTGGCCTATTTACTGGACTGCCTCCGTAAACATAGGCCACACGTCCACATGTACAAAAATCGTGTCGACTTTGCCAAATTTTGATTTTCACATTTAGGCTTAGTTTGAAGGATTGTTTTGCTTTAGAAGCATACTCACCCACTTTATAGGCTAGTCAGAAAGTGCTACCTTTTTCAGATGTATATTTTTCGTGAAATTTCCAGATTCATTTTTACACGTTTGCGTATCAAAATTTCAACATGAAATTTCACAAAAATTAGCCATCTGAAAAAGGCAGCACTTTCTGACTAGCCTATAAAGTGGGTGAGTATGCTTCTAAAGCAAAACAATCCTACAAACTAAGCCTAAATGTGAAAATCAAAATTTGGCAAAGTCGACACGATTTTTGTACATGTGGACGTGTAGCCTATGTTTACGGAGGCAGTCCAGTAAAAAGGCCACATTTATGGGGCTAGCCTAGATGTTGACCTTGTGAAGTCCAAATTAAATGTGACTGGTAGTTTGAATCATTTCAAGAAAGGTAACAATCGTGATTATCCTATATCTTACACATAATGTCTTTTTTATTTCTTCCATAAAACTATGTACTCACTTTGGCAAACCCCTCCACTAAAACCGGCGGAGCAGGAGCAGTTATAGAAATTTCCGATGGTATCTGGGATACATGTGCCGCCATTGTGGCAGGGGTTTGGGTTACAAACATTATCTATAGGTACAATGAAAAGACTGATTTAAATGCCACAAACTTTGATGAGAATCATAGCCAAGAAATTTCACGACGATAGTTTAAATGGTTTAGGAATTATTGGCTAATTAATTATTCATATGCACCAATCGTGTGGTAATTCTGCTTAGCGTACACTACATGGTGGGACAATTTTTCAGGGCGAGTCAAAAAAGCGGAACCCAAACCCCCAAAAGTATGTTTCATATTAAAACAAATATTTAGCACCAAACATATATAATACTGACTGGAAAGCCAATTTCATAAGCTACTTTTAGATGAAAAAAAATACTGAAATTGCTGAATTCGTTCAAAGAATATCACCATTTAAACACAATGAACCTAAAACCTCTTTCGTCCAAAAATGCTATTTCATGAATCGTCGTCACAATTGTCTTCAAAAATCAACAGCGATAAAATCTCATTTTAAAAGTTAAAAATATTCAACAAAGTCCTTTTGAAGGCCCGTCTTTAAAACAAAAAGTGGATTTAATAAATCATATTGTTTAATGCCTAACCGGGGCTGTTAATAAAGATATTTTGTACTGCAGTTGTTGACAGTTTTGAAACAAGTATTCTGTGTCATTTTCTTTGTTGTTCCAAACAGTCAGAATACACAATAAACTGCTTTTTGGACGAAACATGTTTTAGGGTCATTGCGTTTAAATGGTGATATTCTTGAACAGATTCAGCAATTCCAGTATTTTTTTCATCTAAAAGAAGTTTATGAAATTGGCTTTCCAGTCAGTGATATCTTTGGCTACACATTTTTTGAAATATGAAATATATTTTTGGGGGGGGTTTGGGTTCCGTTTTTGACTCACGCTGTTTAACAGTAGGACCTAAAGTTGATCACAATATTAAACCAAAGTTACTTATTATAACATTAAAGTCTGGAAGCATGTATAATATATAATATTATGTTATTTAACAAGTTACAATTCACACATACAATCTCTGGCGCGTCCCCCTAAAAAAAAAATTAAAAAAATACAATAGCCCAACGAGCACAAAACAAAACAAAAACAAACAAACAAACAAACTCCCCCTTCCTTCCACTGCCCCCGCCCCCCCCCCCCAAAAAAAAACCCCAATCAATGATTGATGAAACTAGTACTATTGTGTCTTTGATGAAAAGAATACAGGTAAAATTACACCTCGGTTGTAACCCCTCAGTGATGCGTGACTTTCACTTCGTTCAATATAAGACTGCACCTACATCAACCTATTTTTGCTTGCTTAGCATTGAGTGTGTGTCATTGTCGATCAGATTGCAATCGTTCAAGTACCCTTGTTGCGATTTCATTTTGTTTAGTGTCCCCAATACTTGCTAATGGTGCATTACAAGACACAAAGTGAACCTACGAAAAGGCCATGTTCAAGTGATTGACTTGCTGGGCAAAAATACAAGTGGAATGCTAAAGTTTCTTTTTTTTTTTTTACTTAAAATGCAGGAGAAAGCATTTGGGATTTCAAAAAATGTTGGGGGGAAGCCATACCCCTTCCCCCTTTATATCAACTCCAACCCCGTTGAAAGCTAAATCCGTCCCCGACTTTTAGCCATTACCTTCTTTAATCCAAGTAAGATAATTCGGTAGTACTTTGGGGATAAATGAAATGATCCTAAATGTATGCCTTAAATCCGTCCGTAGGGCGGTGTTCTTATCAGCAGCACACATCGTCAATGGATCCTGATTATTCAGCTAGTTCGATACTTATTCATCAGAAATAACAACGAGGTCACACCATTGCTATTACTCAGTCATGCATGTACAGTCATAGCTGCCACAGTGGCCTAGCTAGTGGAATGAACTATGGATCGCAAGATTTGTGGTTCCAACCTATGTCCATTTTCATCAAATATGTTTGTTGGTTGGGATAAGTTTAATTGAAGGGCAAACACTACGCGAACATAAGTGCCTTCCATCCACACAGCCTGATAAATATTCATGTTAGCCTAGGGTGATGTGATTGGTTAAAATACGTCCAGAGGCAAGCTCATTCCATTCATTTCCCGCCTTCTTACGGACTGTGCATAGAGGTTCATTATGTCATACGCAGTGAACTCACCTGAACAGTCGGTGCCCGGATCGAAGCCCGGCGGGCAGATACACTCGTACATGTTCCCTGAATCCTCTCGCATGCACGTTCCACCATTGTGACATCGGTTCGGGTTGCCGCATGCATCCACTGTTGGTGAAACGGGAAGAATTTGGTGGAATATTATCAACATGGTTATCACAATAAACTTATGTTTGATAGTACAACCGCTAATCACTGTCATTGTGACTGTGTTAATTAACGGACTCTCCATTGACACCTTGTTTTAACCCCTGCGGCATGACTGAGAATCATTGATTTAAAAACATTGGCCCAAAACTTTTGGCGAAGTTGGCCTGGTGTCGTTTTTATTCAAATGTATTGTTGATATATCGTTTTCTGAGGACACTGGGACCGTTAGGATTGCGAGACCAAGATTTTCATTTTTGAACTGACACCTGAGACAGAGCACTATTTTTAATTTCATGGTAGTTTCAGCAAATTAAGTTCTTTGGATTTCCAATTTGGAAATGGGTGCTTGGTGCGCACGAGAGGTATTTTGCTTAAAGCTATATCGTCCATCATTATTTTGCAGCTATCCGAAAAGTAACTGGCGTAATTATTGTTCGAAAACATACTTGGTTGAAAGATAGTAAGGGGACTAAGCTCCCTGTGAAATTATTCTTTCTGGGAAGCTGTCATTTTGAAGTAATCAACGAAAGAAGGCCTTTCCAACGGTGCTTCTTTGTTATTCGGCGAAGCGCGCCGCAACCATTTGCACGACGCACACGCGCGCACGGTTGCTATAATTCGTCGGATCAGTGCGCGACATCGCCGTAGCTGCAATCGGCTCAGTGAGAATGCGTCTCAAACTATTATTCAGCAATTTTTGATTTGAAATTTAGATCCTAGACTGCTGTTTTGCTCAGAATATACAGCTGAAGCTGAGCTGAAACTTCATCAGGTTAGTTGTTCAGCACCCTTCTTTAGATTTTGAGCATTTTGTTGCTTCAAACGAACAAAATGCACAAATTACAAATGATGGACTATATCTTTAATATATTCAGTTGATGGAGAAGGCTGTCAAATCGCTCAGTGTCTTCAGTAGCGGACTCCTTCAGCTGTAACACAACCACTGATTTTATTCCTGACAGCGTTTTTCTATAAACAGCAGGTGCGAGATCACTTTGTCTTTATTATTTCCTCGCTTCAGTTATGTCAGGTAATGACAGTTCAATCGCAACGGCACCAGCGTTGGCTGACTTGGGACAATTTGAGTTGAGTGTGGATATAATTTGCTCTGATAAACGCTATCAGCCAACGTGCGAGTTGTAACAAAAACTCTGAATATATCGGAGATACATTGTTTTCTGTTCAGAAGTTCCATGTGCATTAATGAGACTTAATTCGGCTAATTTATGAGCTTCATTAACAGGACGGTAGGGACAATTAAGTATCAATAATTCGTTCGATCGGGCCAGTATGTTTATTCATGAGAACAATGATATCAAGAACATTGTTGTTATTTAGTCAACCAGTTACATTAAAGCATTTTAAAGTACGGTCGTCGTCGAGCTACCACACAGTAGCCTATTGGATAGCGAGATGAGTTATGGATACAAAGATCCCTGGTTCGAATCCACGTCGTCGCTGCTCATTTCCTCCATAAATTTATTGTTGAGATAATTTTAATTTAAGGGGAAAAGAGAACAAGAACCTAAGTGTCTCGCAATGATTTCAAAAACTGAATTATGCGCATGACTTGGCCCCAACTCTCCAAGGAAAAAAAACGCTGCCCAGCCAATGTCCGACGGAACCACGCATGCGTTATTATACAAATAACGAATGTTTGTGAGTGCGATGGTAAGAATAATTTCATGAGGTGACAGATTGAATGTTCTATTCCACGAGGCGAAGCCGAGTGGAATAGAACATTCAATCTGTCACCGAATGAAATTATTCTTTCCATCGCAAGAACGTAAAACATTCGTTATTTGTTTTATACAACACCTGAATAAATTCTCGTCATTTGATTGGTAAATTATAAGCTACAATTTATTTTGATTTTAAAGATGTTGAACTACCCCTTCACGAAAATGTTTGAACCCAACGCTGTATCGCTGGCTCTTTGGAACAATACGCGCTACGCTGAACGCGCACACCAGCATGCATTTTGCACGCAAATACCGCGTCATGGAACAAGCGCAAAGTGAAACGGTATAACGCATGGGTATAACGCATGGTCGCACCGTGCATTATACCGAATAATAATATGTCACGTGATCTACAATTCACCAATCAGATGACGGGGATTTATTCAGGTGTTGTATAAACTCACATACGCCCCTCTGAAGCTGGCGCCCCTGCACTGCATGAGTGAGTACATGGTACATACGGAATGCATATGGTAAACAATAATACATGTACATAATTTAGCGGTTGAATCTATAACTTGGGTGACGGGTGACGGGTGTTTCCCTATGTTTTCGCATGGGTTTGGAGCGTGTGCATCATCTCATTATGAAATCAAATTAATGAAGGGAGAATAGTTCTACATGAAACACGAAGCTTCGAAATCTGAGACGAGAATTGCGCGCATCACGCACTGATCCAAGGCACGGCCATTATGCCGTAGATAGCTTAAAGGTGATATGCAACAAAAGCAAACAGCAAAAACAAGACTACCAAATTATTACGTAATACCTTACTTGAGTATAATTCGTAATAGTCTCAGGTATCCTGTGAAATATTTACACCTGGTGTGCTGTTATTTTCAAGAGAAGTGGCATTTTCGTATCGTTTTCCAACGATGGTTGGCTTAGTATCGGTGGGGGAAAAACTGGCTTTATTTCAAATTCTGCCCGCAGGTCACCAAATTTAGTTAGTCCACATGTTGTTTGCAATCGGTTACACATCCGAGAACATGTGCAAGCCTACCAGTCTAGTTCCCTAACCTGACAGTTCCCTGACGTAATTTGTTCCGTTTCGTTTTAAACGTCGGATCAGGGAACCAGACTACAAAAATAGCCCTTTTTCCCCAGCATCCATGAACACAAAAATTTAAGCAGGTCAGTTAAAGGGAATAAACAACATTTGCAAACATCGAAAAATAAAACTACCAAGTTTTTACGAAATACTTTATTAGGATGTTGGTAAATGACAGTCTAAAGCATCCTGTAAAATTATGGCACCTGGTGTCAAGTCATTATCAAGAAAATGGTATTTTTGTATTCATTTCCAACGGTGGTCGGCCGACCACCGTTGGAAAAACCTAACTATTTTCCAACTACTGCTCCAAATTTGCAATTTTTTTCAGTCCGAATTTGGTTTGCTATTGGTTACATGTTCATGAACGGGTACAGGCCAGCTAGACTGGTTCCCTTACCTTACAATTTTCCGACATCTATAAATTGATCCATTTTATCTTTAGGGAACCAGACTACTTAAACATTTTAGTTTTTCTTGGTTTTTCAAGCATTTTCAAACACAAAACTTCAAACTTGTCAGTTAAACAATATTATTTTGATCTATTATACTAACCCCTCAAATAGTTCATTTCTGAAAATCATACAGCAAAAGCAAATAATGTACATTCCCTTTAAACGATATTTGGTATAACAAACTACCCTCCCTCAATCCATCAATTTCTGAAAATTACAGCAAAAGCAAATGTTGTACATGCCTTGTATATTACTTTTTAGCATAATGCCCGACGGAAAAAAACTAGACTTGTTCGTTATGGTAATTATGCATTAATCGCCCTCGAAATTAACTTCTACCATTGACAAACCGTCGGAACAAATTGCTTTACTTTACCCGAGCAAAACTGAAGGCCAATCATAAGCCACATTCACAATTCATTGCACTTGTCTTTATCTTTTCCATTCATTATCGCTAACTACCTTTCGCAAGGTCCAATCCAGTTTTGCAGGAAATATTGATCCGCTGTGAAAACAATTTGATGGATGTATTGATTGAATGACGCATGTCAAAACATAGTGTCAAAGCCGACGGCGGAAATTAGAAGGCACGAGGTTTGGGGTCAATGTTTGTGTTAGATGGTATATGCGGGCGTGGATATCCGGGATAGTCTAACGCCAACAGCGGAAAGTTAAAAGGCAGAATCATTTTCTTGAAACTCAATAGTTCTTGAGACGGGGCCGTATCATAAGTCCGACGCCTCATAGGTCCGACGCCTCATAAGTCCGAAATTTCGGACTTATGAGGCGTCGGACTTACGAGGCTTAAAATTTATTTATTCCGCCTCATAGATCCGACGCCTCATAAGTCCGACGCCTCATAAGTCCGACAACGGAAAAACGAGACGTTTAATTTGTCGGACTTACGAGGCGTCGGAGCTATGAGGCGTCGGAGCTATGAGGCGTCGGACTTATGAGGCGTCGGACCTATGAGGCGTCGGACTTATGGGCCTTTATTTGTTTGGGGATGCGATTTTGTCGGACTTATGAGGCGTCGGACTTATGAGGCGTCGGACTTATGAGCGGACCCCCTTGAGACTGGAGTGCTGAATGGATGCCCACAGCCCACGCCTGTATATCCTTCCGCCGATAACCACCAGACCAAATCACGTCTATGCAGTGTGTACTTTATTTTGGTATATCCGAAAAAGGGAAAATTATAAGACCTGATTTGATGAGAATCGAAATTTCAGCCGGAGAGTCAGTCAGTCAGCCAGACGGTGTCCGCTCTTAAGTCCGACGTACGACGCCTCATAGTTCCGACGCCTCATTTAGTCCGACGCCATGGCTCCGACGCCACGTAGGTCCGACAAGTAAACTTACTTTTATTTCTGTCCATAAGTCCGACGCCTCATAAGTCCGACGCCTCATGATGTCCGACAGCCATTATTAATTAATACAAACATTGCGTTAAATGTCAGACTGTTAGCGCCTCTAATTGTTAGAGTTAGCGATTAAACATTGACATAAAGGGATGCACCAGCCCCCCCCCCTCCCAGATTTACGTCCGTAGCATCACCCCTTGCGCCAAAAACTGTGCGCTGGCGGACTGATCTGCGGTCAGTTAGTTCATGCTATATGCACAGTGAGCCGTTCGTAAGTAAACAACCTAGAGGACTTTAAAATCGTAATTTTTTTTTTTTATCTCGTTCTTGCCTTGTCGGACATTTTGAACCTTCTCTGGTGCGGTCCATAGCTCCGACGGCTTATAGGTCCAACGCCTCGTTTTTTTCCGACGTCGGACCTATGAGGCGTCGGACTTATGAGGCGTCGGACCTATGAGGCGTCGGACCTATGAGGCGGAATAAATAAATGTAATGCCTCATAAGTCCGACGCCTCATAAGTCCGAAATTATGAGGCATCGGACTTATGATACGGCCCCAGTCAGACAGGCAGTCAGAGAGACAGGCAAAAGAGGACACTGGGCCGGCCCTCGGGGACCAGCATAAATCTGCAAATGTACTTACTCTCGCAATCCCTTCCTGAGAAGCCAGCCGCACACATACATTCGTACATCATCATACCCATCACTGGCATACAGCTACCGTTATTTTGGCACGGGGTGTTTGAACATGCATCTGGCATTGCATCTAAACAGGGAAGAATCCATCAAGAGACGCGTTATCGTTCACAACAAATATACACCGGTCAATAGAAAAAAATATAGTACAGAGGGACCCATTTCACGGAGATGCAAAGCGCAGGGTAACCAGGCAAAATGTCATTAGATACTACTTGCTTTTGACTGGTACTCAGCTGAGATTTGTTAAGACATTAAGTCGTTAACAAAACTTATCTGCTTAGATACTCCATCCATTGGGCTGTAAAGCTGAAAATATTACAAAGCAATTGTGACACGTGTGCAGCTATTCCAGCTAACCACGGTCGATCGTCTGATATATCCTAACATGCACATTTTTATGTGAGCCGGCGCGCCAGCCAATTGGAGTCGACTTTAAAAACTGTGACGTCATTCCAAGCAGAAATGTGGACTTAGCTGTTGATTGGTCAATATTTGGATGCCTTGTTTTGTGAATACACCGTCGTTTGTACCACTGATCCCCGTGTACATGTAAATACATTTGGATATCCCATTGGCTAGCTGTTAGAAGTGAAGTGACCGTCCACCATATTACCGGTGTTGCATGAATTTAGGTTTTAAGAAATACGAACTCATTGGTAGTATTGCGCATGCTCATGTATAGATAATTAGGAGAGGGACCGGTCACGTGAGAGGGTTTAACCAATAAAAGAGATAAAGAGTCCGATTTTCATTCGAGCCCGATTTTTATATGACACCGGTACTACTCCGAGAACAATATAAAACAATATCTTATTCAACTGGCATGTACACTTTTGTTTACTCAACGTACTATTTTGTGATTGTAATAAAAAAAAAATTAAATGTCAACAAAACATATATACATTTTCTGTTCAGACAAAATGGTGTACTTTAAGGCTTTATGGCCAACGAGCAATACCGAATTTTGTTTTTACATAGAGATCAGCAATATGTGATTATCAAACGATCACAGTGAACCAGTCACGTGTATTTGCATTGCATGGCAGTTTGGTTGGTTAGCTGTTTTTGTCAAGCCAATATTTCCCGTGTTTAGCCACTTTATGAGCTGTATTAGCATCTAGGAAATTATTTGCCACAGTGGTATAGGCCTACCTCCGCGTTTTCCCTGTTTATGAGCGGTGTCCGAATCCCTCTAAGGAATTTCAGTCCGCTCTCTTCCCCACCTGAATTGTTCCCAGTAATCTTTCCCTTGTTTACCCCATCTCTATATCTGATTTGGCAACGTTGCAGGCTTCCAAATGAGAGTGCAATTGTCTTTTTCAATAAATAATAAATAAATGCAATCTTTTTTTTATGATGAGCATGTTAACTTGGTTCCATGTTTGTTATTTTGTTCGGGCATGTTAATGTTACTTGATGAGTAATGAGTAATGTTACTTGATGAAATCACGACTTAGAAATATAACTTAACATTGAATTATTCAGTTCAGTTCAGTCGATTTTTTATGAGGCAAACAAAACAAGTCCATATACCCTAAAAAGTCCCTGGTCAGATTGACCTAGAGTCAGGGTTCTATTTAGCCTGACCCTCTTCCGAGTCAAAATGACACTTTTTGCCATTGTTACCGGGTCAAAATGACACGGAAAGTCCCATTTTTGACATGAAAAAGTGTCATGTTTGACCTGGAAAGGGGTTAGATCAAGCACTGACAAACAGGATCCGGATTTGATTTGTGACAATGGCATCGTTATTGTGTATGCTGTATATAGGGCCTACCTTCGCAATTCTGCCCGGTCCATCCCATAGCGCACGTGCACACAACACCTCCCATTCCGTCCATGCATGTTCCACCGTTCATGCACGTATCGGTCATACAAGATTGAGCACGTACTGTGGCATACAAATAAAAACAAAATACAACTGTCATCAATACTACAACAAATATTGGCGTTGTTTTGAATCGAGCTCGACATAATTATTTGAGACACTTTGGAGCAAAATTGTTGCAGTCATTCGTAACGACCCTTGGGTATAGTGTGTTGACAATAACACAAAGTTCTTTTGGCTGAAACAAAGTTGACTGGAGTTGCTGTAGTTTGCTTCTTTTTCCCCCTTTTTTTTGCTCGACGCGAGACATGGATGTCAGAGACGAAAAGAAATAATTATGTACACGCTCAGCCTATGAAATCATAATCACAAGCTTGCTCGTATATGACTCGAACCCACGACTCTGCCTACATCGGTAAAAGGAAAATCACACATTACAAATTTATATCGCCCCTATTGGGAAAAACACTAAAAGTATTAATATACGCAGTTGCTTCACATTCCGATTCGAAAGTAGACCTGCGCAACTTGGTTGAGCAGTTAGACGTCTACACTATAGTAAACAGGGGGTCGTTGGTTCGTATCCCACCCGGGTTGTGATATTTTTTTTTTGCTGGCAAACCCCCACACTGTGCTTATACGAAATAATTTGCATATTCAATTTATATCTCCTCTACGCCGAAACTCCATCACTGGAATTCACAACAAAATAGCTGCTATCACAACAAAATGGCTCTTAACTCAGACACTGGCAAACTGGGTGACTGGTTGGCAACACGCCTGCACATGTTTTCTATACAGTGGCGTATGAGGGGGGGGGGGGCGATTGTTTTGATCTTCTTCTTTTTTTAGTGAGTATTTACATGGTTACAGAGTTATGACATCAACCCAAACAAAGAGAACCATGCTGAAAAACCTTTACAATGCGCCATGAAAATCGGCATGTCCAGTATGCATAAAAACGGTCAGTTTTAAAGAGCGGCCCTATTTGGAAGATGGGTGCCAGCCCCCACCACCCCCCACCCCCCCCCCCCCCCCCTCCCTCACCCCCTTGATTTTACGGGGGCCAGTGTCCGAGAAAAAACATGTCTACATTTCGGCGCGGATATGCGCAGTTCCCCCCCCCCCCACATCAAAAGCTGGATACGCTACTGGTATAGGCCTTATGCACAAGTTGGTAATTTTTGTCGTGTTCCATGATTGTGTTTCATAAATTGTGAAATGGTGGTGGGATGGTGCCAGACTATTCATTTTAGCCTCACTTTCATTTTTTTTTTTACAATGTGGCTTAAATCATTAAAGTATGTTTAATTACAAATGTTAAATTATTCATCAGAGCAGACTGGTATTAGTAACGTCATTGCTTTCATTTCTCCACACAAGTCCCAAAATGAAGATTTTACCTCACTCCCAATCCAATATGGCCGACTCGTGAATAAGGCCCATTCGAATTGACATAATTATCAAAACCAAAAACAAACAACAAACAGTCAACGGAAATTATGGAGAACTTGAAACCGACGTACGAAATATTTTAACCTATATATGAGGAATACTATAGAGATATATTCTGGTTATTTTTAAGCATAATCGCCACACAAAAGTAACTGCTGCTTGAACAGCCCATCATTCTAAAACATTATCCACAATATTCGCTTTCAAACCAGTAATCTCATTTAAAACTTCACCCTTTCCATCCGCCAAATATTTACTCTCTAAAGATTGAACATGCAGGGAACAATCACAACCTCTACTTGCACTTCATTTCCCATGGACCATAAATCTCTAACCTTTCATTTCACTTCATCGTTATTTTCACAAATAGATTTATTTTTCTACGTGCCTCCTAACAATAGAAATGGCAAGCTTGCTCGGCCAATCGTGAAATTGGACGTGGGAGTAGGAATATTACAGTCTATATGTGGAGCTCGTTTGCATCGGCGTGGGAGCCATTACAATCGCGGGATACCGAAGTTGTGTTCAACTACAGGGTGATTCAAAAAAGCGGAAACCACACCCTCAACACATATATTTCATGTTTAAAAAAATATATGTAGCGCCAAAATAATAATGACTGGAAAGCCAATTTCAGAAGCTACTTTTAGATGAAAAATAAATGACTGAAATTGGTCAATCCGTTAAAAATTATCACCATTTAAACACAATGACCCTAAAACCTGTCTCGTCCAAAAAAATTGTGGTCTCAAGAATCGTCGTCGTCGCAATTGTCTTCAAACACCATCAGTGATAAAATCTCGGTTTAAACGTTAAAAATATTCAACAAAGTCCCTTTGAAGGCCCATCTTTAAAAATAAAAAAGAGTAGATTTTATAAATCATATTGTTTGCCTAACCAGGGTCGTTAATAAAGATATTGTGTACTACAGTTGGTGAAAGTTGTTGAAACAAGTATTCTGTGTCATTTTCTTTGTTGTTTCAAACAGTCAAAACACACAATAAGTTGCTTTTTTTTGGACGAGACAGGTTATAGGGTCATTGTGATTAAATAAAGATGTTCTTTGAGCGGATTGAGCAATTTCAGTAATTTGTTCATCTAAAAGTAGCTTATGAATTAGCTTTTTTCAGTCATTAATATTTTGGTGCCACATTTTTTTAAAATATGAAATACTGTATATTTTGAGTGTTGGGGTTCCGGTTTTTTTGTTTTTTTTTACTCACACTGCATTATGATCGTGCAACTCTCGACGGAATTAGCGTACCTGCAGATGACGTCATCGGGACAATTGGCGGTACAACATGATACCAGTTCAAGCGAGGACAATAGCTATAATGATCATTCAACCATAACTTCACTCGAATGCAGATTGGAAAGCTCCAGTCGACCATTTTGGAATCGGGGCCATGGGAGCGGTTCCATCACTGGTTACCAAGAACCGCGGGCATAATAATGCACAGCAGGGAGCCACGATTCAGGTGCTTTCGTTCAATTACGTTTTGGCCTTCATTTTGACTGGAGGCGTTCACAAGTTGTTGAGTGGTCCCCCAAATTGTATTGCTCTTTTTCAGACGCAGATTTCTCAAAACTGGGGAGACGCATTGAATTGTTTTATGTATGCTCTTAACTAAAAGGTCTTTGTGGGATATTGTGAAGATGGCATTGCAAACTAGCCTTCACTAAGAAATGACGGCCATTAACAGAGAAACGGTCCAAAACCAGTTTGTCCACATGCAAGTACATGTATATAAAACTTGGTCAACACAGTATACCAACGCGTGCACAAAGTAGGTCTACTGCCATAACGATGACCATATTTCATACACATGTGGACACACTGGGGTATTTTTTTTACCATTTGATGAAAATGGCCGTCATTTCTAAATTTAGAGGCTTGTACCATCTGTCGATGGGGCGCTGTTCAAAACCGACAATTATGCACACAAAGGGCCAATATATGGTGCTTTCCAGGGCGAGTATATGTGCGAAATTCTGATAAAGGCACCCAAAACGGCAGATTCCACAAAAAAGGGTACCACTTCTTTTTTGAAAAGGGCACTTGTTCAGAAAAAGGCACTTCGTAAAAAAAGGCACTCTTTACAAATTATTGGCGGTAAGCCCGTTAAAAAAAAGGGCACTTGAATGGAAAATGGCAGTCTTTACAAAATATTGGGGGAGGGGGAATACCCCCTTACCCCCCCCCCCCCCCCTCCCCCGCTGGCTACGCCTATGGTACCTGCGTAGATGTAGATGTAGAAATGTACGTGCATTGCAAATATACATCCCTGCCTAAAGTTTAATTGCATGCATATGTACACGACGATGGAGGATATTAAAGGAATAATACACTGAAAAAACTGTAGTGCTAATTTAACACCATTCGGTATCTATATAGGACAACACCAGTAAAATTAAACACCAGATGGTCCTATATATATATACCAACAGTGTAAATTTAACACTGCAGTTTTTGCAGTGTACCAATCTAGATCGAGGGACTACTTTACGCTGCCCATCATGAAGCTATAAATCAAAATAAATGATCGCATGGAATGAAGCCCAATCAGATCATCTCTTACATCAAACTCACCTGAAGGAACCGCTACAAAAAGCATAAAGAACCACAATATAATCCAAATCGCCATCCTCGTACGTATCGTGTGGTCCAAAGCACAAGTGGGAAAGTTCCAAATAGCTTTCGCCGGAAGTATCGAGTCAATTGTCGAACTTCTAAAGTACCACCTGCCACAAATACTAGCGGTTTGGACAGGTGTATAAGCAGATCAACAATACAAGGAATCCACGACAATACGATCTTGAAATGACATCGCCAAGTGTCAGTAATTAACACTACTTGCGGCTACTCAACTTCGCTGTTTCCGTCTGTACAACTACAAGATACATACATTTGGCACAGGAAAAAAAATCCTATTTGACTTGCATGTTTACATAGGGTTAAAGACTCCTCTGCCTAACACGGCTATCCAACTTTGATACGCATGGGTAAGCCCATTGTACCTTTGCGCCATGAGTTATGAATTATGCATAACTTTGGGTGTGTTCGTCGTGACGCAATGACTCGTGCTGCCTGGCGCGACCTTGCTTTCTTTGTGTGATTCCAATACGTACTTACTGGAGTGCAGCTGCTCAATGGGGGCGCTATTCTTGACATTATTGGCTTTAGGGGTGCGCGCCTGCAAATAAATTCCCATAGACACTAGTGCTAAATGTCCATACTTCAAAATTCATTTAAAAATACTCAGAACTCTCACAGGTATTCAAGCTGCACAGACAAATGATGATCAACATGTCATCTTTCATTTTCTTTTCAATTTTGGGTGGGTTGACCATTGACTTTTTGAGATATTCTCACCCAAATAAGAACACCCCTAAAACGAATGATGTTTCCCGAACTGGAAAAGTAGCCATTTTGAAAAAGAATCCCTCCACAACATGGCTAAATAGCGCCACTTTCGGGCCAGATTGCATCCAAAATGCTCAGAATTGGAAGCTCCAAGTCCAGGCCAGAGGTTCAGTGCCACATGTCTTCAATTCCCCAATTCCATGGTTCTCAGAACTCTCTAATATAGAATATTTTGAGGGTATAACTTTTATTTATGAGCTCGGCGGACGGATTTTTGGTCTATTTACAGGCGTGCACCCTTAGCCACCCCTGGAGTTAGAATTATTTGGATATAAATGTTATCATATCCAACTTTATGGCGTGAGCTTAATAAGACCGCACACACGAGTTAAATATGAGGACAGGCAACGGCCTTGTACTTCTGGTATCTTAGGTGTTATTACTAGCGGCGTAGCCAGCGTTCTTACAATAGGAGGGTGGGGCGAGTGAGAAGGGGGAGAGGCTAGATGACAAAGAGGGGGGGGGGCACCCATAGCATCCGGCATCCGGATGAAATTCGTCCTAAATTTAAATGGTCATTTAATAACTTTTTCTTGGGACCACCTTTTTGTGCAACTCGTTGTTACTCCTATACATGTAAGGAAATTATCTGGCATCCCTTTTTGATTAAAGGGAATATACAACATTTGCAAACATCGAACAGTTTTTACGAAATACCTTACAAGGATGTTGGTAAATGAAGTCTTAAGCATCCTGTAAAATTATGGCACCTGGTGTGAAGTCATTTTCAAGAAAATAGTATTTCTGTATACATTTCCAATGGTGGTCGGCCGACCAGCGTTGGAAAAAACCTAACTATTTTTGCAACTACTGCTCCAAATTTACCCTTTTTCAGTCCAAACTTTGTTTGCTATTGGTCACATGTTCATGAACAGGTGCAGGTCAGCTAGACTGGTTCCCTTACCTTACAATTTTCCGGCATCTATAAATTGATCCATTTATCTTTAGTGGAGTAAGGGAACCAGACTACTTGAACATTTTTGTTTTCTTGGTTTTTCCAGCATTTTCGAACACAAAACTTCACACATGTGAGTGTAACAATATTTGATCTGTTATACTAACTCTTCAAATAGTTTATTTCTGAAAATTACAGCAAAAGCCAGTGATGTACATTTCCTTTAATTTTGAGTGAACTTCATTTTCTAATTCTCCAAGCTTTTCCGGACAACTGAGGGTGCTGTTGCTGTGATGTCATTTCAACAGGGCAAGTTTAGGGGTTTCTGCAGGCGTGGTTCAAGAGCCTATATGGGAGGGGGGGGGGGCTACCAGGGGTGGATCAAGAAATTTTTGCTGGGAGGCGTGCTGAAATGTACATGTAGACCTTTTTTTCTATACGGACACCGAAAATCAATAGGTGGGTAAGGGGGGGGGAGGGGGCTCGTATTACATCATCAATGGGGAGCGCAGATAAAATCCTACAATCAAGCACACTACATTATGTACAAATGCCCCTTCTCATAACTGTTTTTTTTTTTGGGGGGGGTGAGACATGATTCGCAAGTGACAGAGACTTCTAAAATTGGCTACTGCCATTTTTGTAATGAATTTTTTTTTGGGGGTGGGGCTATAAACACAATTTTTTGGGTGGCTAAAGCCCCCCCCCCCCCCCCCCCCCCGTCGAACGCGCCTGTTTTTCGGTGTTCTAATTGCGAACTCAAAATTCGCTCATTGAAAACATTAAAGGTTTGCTCATTGACTTGGTGCCATATGCTGACACGACAGCGGATCACCCCCCCCCCCCAAAAAAAAGAAAATTTACGACAGCAAAACACCCAACAGCAACTTTATGTGCTGAAATAGCTGTATAACATGACGTTTTTAAGTAGCCCGGAATAATGACTCACAATTTTGCTCATGAATAATTATGGAAATTTGCATTAAAAAAAAGGCACCAAAATCATTTTACCCTTGAAAATGGTGAAACGAAAATTTCAAATAATATTAAATGGGACACAAAGGTGCATTTTCAAGGGTTGCATTTAAAAAAAAAGACCTTGCATGAGTCTTTTAAGGACTATACAGATAAGGTGGTGGCCTATGGCGATGCAACATAGGAGGCACTGACATGCCTATATTGATACCAGGATCCTCCAAATCGACCACATAGAAGCATTTTTATGAGAAAAATAGTTCTAAGGGGTGCACACCGGTAAATAGGCCTGAATCCATCCGCCGAGCTCATGAATAAAAGTTATACCCTCAAAATATTCTATATTAGAGAGTTCTGAGCGCCGTGAAATTGGGGAATTGAAGAGATATGGTAATGAACCTCTGGCCCGCCAATTCTGAACATTTTGGATGCTATTGGGCTCGAAAGTGGCGCTATTTTGCCATGTTGTGGAGGGATCGTTTTTCAAGATGGCTACTTTTCCGCCTTGGGGAAAATAGGGGTCGTCTTCTTTGGGTGAGAATATCTCGAAAAGTCAATGGTCAACCCGCCAAAAAATGAAAAGAAAATGAAAGATGACATGTTGATCATCATTTTTCTGTTCAGCCTGAATACCTGTGAGAGTTCTGAGTATTTTTAAAAGAATTTTGAAGTAAGGGCATTTAGCACTAGTGTCTATGGGAAATTATTTGCAGTGTTGCACCCTATAGGGGTCATTTTGGCGGCCATCTTAAAAAATGGCCGCCATCTTGGATTTTCAAGTGGCCAATCGGGCAGATTTGTGAAGTATACCCTAGACTCATTGTGCCGAATTTAGTGCTCGTATCGCCATTTGCACGATTCTGCTCCACCAATAGCCATGCTAACAAAAAGCTCAAAAATTATCACCGCGATGAAAACTTTAAAGTTGCGTTACTGTGCTCTATAACAAATTCGATTGTTTTATCTTTCAATACATTTTCAACTTGTAGCCTATGTCATATCCCTCCCCGCTTTTTGCGCGAGCATGCAGACTAGCTACCGGTCCGTGCGTTATCGATATTGATTGTAGGGCGGGAACCAGGCAGCCTTCACCGCGAGAAATTTGAAAATGATAATGCACATATGGGCCGGGTTTTTTTTTCAGTCGATGACTCATACAAAAGTGAATATAACTTTTGCATTTCAATATTAGGTTTTGCCCTTCGCTGACGTGTTACCTCAACTGGTAATATACATCCCCCGACCCAAATTCTTTTGTATTGCTAGAAAAAAAATCAAGCAATTAAGAAAAGAAATCCAAGTTTCGGCACGGGGAACGGTACGCAAGTCACCGCAAGTTCGCCACTCATTGTTGCGTTAACGGCCCAAATCCACTGAAGCCAAATCTGCGGACGAAGCAGACGATTGAATAACACCCGGTGGATAATCTGAAGAAGCGAACCACATTGAGGGCGCCATAACGTGCGGCCTGCTATGCTGATAGTTGTGCACATTTTATTTGGCTAACGTGAAAAAGCTGTCGTACAATTACAACAAGACTGGGGTGGAGGGTTATTTATGAACGTTTGAGCGCACTTGACCTTCCGTCGTTCTTTGTGTTTATTTGTAGTAAACACATCACCAGTGGGGGTATAGGCCTACATAAATTGAAATGTTTTGAGTGCAGATAACTACACCCAGTACGACTCGAGTTGGTAAGTTGCTCATCTTGATCTTGTTGCTGGACGTATTCTATTTCTAGTTATTGCGGGTGTAATCTACTACACTAATCACTATGTCCTTCATGTTCATTGTTCTTTGCAAGTTGACACTGTTGGACCATGGTCTTTTTGGAGGTGTTATGGACCATGGTTAGACTATTGAAATATAGTATGCTCTATTAATTGAATAATTACATTTTTACAAATTTGTTATTTCTGGCCAATTTACTGGATTAGGCTGAGGGAGGCTAATTTATTAACAACATGTCGCGTAATGGATATTTCAAAACAACTTGTAGGTAGCCCCATAAATTAGGCTTAAATACTGGAGGTCCTTTGCCTAGGGTAGCACTAGCAGTAAGTAAAATAAAAATCTAAACTATTTTGTCACTTTATCATGTTTATAATCACCAAAACCAATAGTGAACTGCTTATTAGCCCCCAAAATGTTGAAATCCGTACCTTCAGAGGTCTAGTTATCCAGTAATGTCGGGCAAAAGTTGGAAGGCTTTCGGGCAGAATAGAAATTGTACGTAGCGTCATGCCAGTAATCAGTTTGGGTCCTGAAACTCGTGGTTTCCACAGCATGCATCAACTTTTAACCAACGTGCATCGATAGCTAATGACCAGTCAATTCTGGTCACCAGCGCATGCAGTGGGCGCACTTCATCAGACCATGGAGGAATAAGAACACATGATTACAGAATGACAGGTAACAGTGGGTGCATACCTATGTCTCCCAATACCGATGTTCCCCCATGCCTAATCGTACTTCTAGAATTAGAAGGCTTCTCTCCGTCAGAGAAACCTTCTAATTCTAGAAGTATCCTAACCGTAACCCTAACCCTAAACCTAAGGATTTCGGGGAACATCAGTATTGGGGAACATTGCCCCCCCCCCCCTCAAGTATTGGGGAACATCAGGTAGACCCTGTAACAGTTTATGCATGCGCAGTGGAAATCCAGTCTAGGAAAGATTTCCATATAGGAAGTTCACTAATTTTCCTCTGTATTGACTAACAAGCCCCCAGATAGCAATTTCATGTCATCAAAGTCAATTTGACCAGTGAGAAAATACAAGCATTTTCTTAGAAAACATTTAGAAATTTTTCAGTCCAATCTCATAGGGTTTGTACACAGGGTGTTGAGTGAACTTCGTATGTATGGAAATCTTTCCCCAGTCTAAACTTTTTTCTTTTTTTTTCCGATCAAACAAACGTTTTATACAAGTGGCTTGTTTGTGTTTTTGTTGAAACAGATGCATGTAAATCAAAGATGACATTCCTGCTGCTGTGTGCCTCAGTATTCATTCTCTCAGGGAAAGGTAACCATTGTTATAAGTAACTTTCCTTAACCCTGCTGAATCCAACAGGATCCAACTATATCATAAACTCGTTGGAGCCTGTTGGATTGGGCAGTAAACCCCTTGTACAAATGTACATATTCAGAGTCGGATTCTGTTGGGTACTGATAAATAACGCCAAGTTGGACTCTGTTGGCTCCAGCAGACAACTAAAAATTAGGCACAGTTGGATTCTGTTGGATTGAGCAGGAAGTAACTGTTGGACCCTGTAGGATTTAGCAGGGTAGTCCTCAGACTGGGACCGTGAGTGCATAAAAACGTGCAAAATTACTACTGACGTTTTTTTACTCACCATTAGGCTAATTAATGCCCACACAACACATACATCAAAATGATAAAGTTGCAAGCATGTCATCTGCGAAATTTGAGACCTTAAATCCAATTTTAAGGCAAGTTTTTGGCAGTTCAAAAACCATCCACGTCAATGCTCTGGAAATGGGTGTGTGATTCCCAATGTATTCTGGGTAGGTGTAGGTAGAGCCTTGCAGCTTACTTGTTTTTTAATTGATGGCCAAATGAACACAGCGCCCTCTGGTAAAAAATGAAACATTCTACATTCACTCAGATCAACAAGAGGGCGCTGCTTTATCTACAAGATGAAAATGTTCTAGCTAGGGAGTTTTTTTGCACAATGCATTGCAGTACACATCAACGTGATGTCTCACGTTTGGATTTAGATAACTCTCTGCAAAATTAGAATTAAAAGCTGAATTTTTGGTGATGCAATGCTCACAACAGCAACTTTGCGAGGCAGAAGTTTTGGGGATTATTGAGGAAACTGTAGTGAGTAAGAAGCTTGCAAATTTGATTCACACTGGTTTTATTATGCAGCACAAACTTTTGCATGATATTGATACATGTACCTTAAGTTTTGGGACTCTCATACACAGTATTGAGAGTCCCATATTTTCGGACTAGGTAGTCCTCAGACAGGGCTCTGGAGTGCTCTGAAACGTGCAAAACTAAATCAGGCCCACTTTACTCACAGTTTAGCCAGCAAATTTCTCCAAAAATTCCACTGGGGCAAAGAAAATGTCCTCAGTATTTCACCAACCAAGTTTGCAGACTCAATTCAATTTTTAAAGGAGACTTTCCTTCAACATTTTGCATATGATGAGAGGGAAGTCAAGTGATTTCAAAATGGGGCTAAATACTAGACTGGTACATGTCCATCCATGGTCCAACTATTTGAAAAGACTGACCTCTTCATTCAGTGTCAATAGTCTGGTGGCTTGACTACATGGACTATGGAGAAATGTGTAGTAAAATGAGACTAGTTCCCGCTTCATGCCGCATGTTTCTTCAATTCTATTGGCATGGTTGATTGATGCAGTACTGAAGCTGTGTTGGACTGGTTGTTTTAGGTGCCAGTCTATTTTCTTGTTTTGCATGTTTTCAGTTAGCCCGACTGCGTCTGGCCGTACAGTACTATCGCAAGCTCTGTAGTACGGCCAGACGCTGAATGCTTCCAAAAAGACTGAATTTTTTTGGCCGCCGATGTAGCGATGTAGCGTGTTTTTGGACGTGCGTGCGGCGGGGCCGTACGTCCAAAAACACGAGGTCGTACGTCACAGACTGTTTATGCATATTGTGGCGGTCGCGCCGACAGCAACCCCGAGTCGTCCTCGGCCGACGTCAGCGAGCGGTCAATTCTGAGAAGGCCAAGGGAGCAGGCCCGTTTTGGGGCAGTCTACCGCCAGGCGCAGCAGGGGAACAACTTTATTCGCGGGCGGTTCTTACGCCAGCAGCTCTCGCGCCAGCTCACACGGGAACAGGGCAGGGGAAGGGAAACGGGGCACCTCCAAATCAAACACGGGACTCTTCTCTTTAGGTTGACATTCCTTTATTATAATCTACTCAGACAGACTGCAAATCATCTCTAGACCTTGACAGGTGTTGATCACCTTCCCAGGTGCCTCCCCTAAACAGGTGCGGGTTTCCTTAACAGGTGCGAGTTTCCTAAACAGGTGCGAGTTTCCTGTACAGGTTATAAATCTTCCACACTAAGTTAACGTCCACTCACCACTACGGCCTCGCTACCTATTCCCGTGGACGGAGTTCCTCCCCTCTTCAACTGACCGAACAAGCCCCCGCTAAACTTATCCCAGTAAGAGCCTCACTTACGGACACAGCTGCCTACTACCGCTAATCTGCACGGGCGAGGGACTGAATAAACACGCTCAGCAACTGCGACGCACTACTGGTCACCCGTGTCTCTCTACTCTGGTACGGGACTGGAACGGTACTGCAACGGAACTTGAGGAACTGCCGCACTGAGCGCGCGCTCGCGCTTTTATACCCACGCGGCAAATAGACTGGCGCCGCGGCGCATTACGCGCAACAGCCCTGGCTGACGTCTAGGTCCTTGTCTACTTTATAGGTACGATAGCCCCTGGCTACCACCAAACTGCTATTGCGCCACACAGCCGCGCCTTAAGTTTCGGTCAGTCCCTTGACCGATTAAACTTACAAAAACTAAAAAAGCAATACAGTTTGTGCCTAATAAGGTGCACAATGTTTGTCCGCAACACTTTTAAACTCGAAAAGTTATAAAACTTGAAAACTAGAGCACTTTATAAACTGTTACAAACTTTAGAAACTTTTCAAAACTTTACAAAACTTTATAAAACTTTAGCTGAAACCTCTCAGGCGCAAACACTTCAATAACTTATATTTACAGTTAAACCAATAAGGGCTTCTTAATGGTTCCTTAGAAGGTGTTATAAGCTGCTGGAGTTCTTTACTTGTTCACGGCCACCCCGGCAGTGAATGCGACTTCGTACACCCGTGTGGTCTTGTCCTTCATGATTTTCTGATCATCCTGGTACACCACTCTCGATGAGGTTTCGGTGACTCTGGTGACCTTCCCTGCCATGGCTTGTTCCAGGCCTTCTTTACTGTATTTCCCCCGGTCTCCTCCACAGGTGTTACTGGTACATCCACCTCGGTTGACACCGTCGAGCCGCGCCTAGCTGTGGTCCCTCCGGTGGAGCTCCCTCCACTTGTCTCGTCCGTGTTGGACTATGCGTCACAGGTGTCCCCTTCTCAATCCACATCTCTGGCGTCTCACCTAAGTAGGGTTTAAGCCGATCAAAACACACCACTTTCTTGCCCCTCGGCTTCCGCTGTATCCGATAGGTGACATCTGACAACTTGTCAACAATCATGTATGGTCCCTCCCAGCGCCTTTGCAGCTTCGGCGATAAGCCTTTCTTCTTACTGGGATTATGGAGCCATACTAATTGTCCTGCGTCCAGCATTGTTGTCATTGTCTTCTTATCGTAGGTCCTCTTTTGTCTTCTTGCTCTTGCTTTCAGGTGCTCTCTCGCCCGCTCATGGGCCGACCGCATTGCTTCCCTCAGGCTCGAGTTTCTCATAGACTGCAACGGGGATATTTCGCCTTCCCTCAGGCTTGCATCTCTCATAGACTGCAACAGGGATATTTCGCCTTCCCTCAGGCTTGCATCTCTCCTAGACTGCAACGGGGATATTTCGCCTTCCCTCAGGCTTGCATCTCTCCTAGACTGCAACGGGGATATTTCGCCCTCCCTCAGGCTTGCATCTCTCCTAGACTGCAACGGGGATATTTCGCCCTCCCTCAGGCTTGCATCTCTCCTAGACTGCAACGGGGATATTTCGCCCTCCCTCAGGCTTGCATCTCTCCTAGACTGCAACGGGGATATTTCGCCCTCCCTCAGGCTTGCATCTCTCCTAGACTGCAACGGGGATATTTCGCCTTCCCTCAGGCTTGCATCTCTCCTAGACTGCAACGGGGATATTTCGCCCTCCCTCAGGCTTGCATCTCTCCTAGACTGCAACGGGGATATTTCGCATTCCCTCAGGCTTGCATCTCTCCTAGACTGCAACGGGGATATTTCGCCCTCCCTCAGGCTTGCATCTCTCCTAGACTGCAACGGGGATATTTCGCCCTCCCTCTGGCTTGCATCTCTCTTAGACTGCAACGGGGATATTTCGCCCTCCCTCAGGCTCGAGTCTTTCATCTCACGCACCTCCGCCTGTAGCTGCAATACCAAATCTGCCAACCGACTTGTTTCCTCCCTGTAGCTCTGAAGTTCCGTGGATTCTCCTTCGACATCTACCACCACGTCATCCAGCGGCAGCAGTCCCCTTCCTTCCATCGAGTGCTGACCCATGGCTAAAAACTAGTTGTTCTACCCACGACGCCTATCCCACTTCTGACACCATTTGTGGCGGTCGCGCCGACAGCAACCCCGAGTCGTCCTCGGCCGACGTCAGCGAGCGGTCAATTCTGAGAAGGCCAAGGGAGCAGGCCTGTTTTGGGGTAGTCTACCGCCAGGCGCAGCAGGGGAACAACTTTATTCGCGGGCGGTTCTTACGCCAGCAGCTCTCGCGCCAGCTCACACGGGAACAGGGCAGGGGAAGGGAAACGGGGCACCTCCAAATCAAACACGGGACTCTTCTCTTTAGGTTGACATTCCTTTATTATAATCTACTCAGACAGACTGCAAATCATCTCTAGACCTTGACAGGTGTTGATCACCTTCCCAGGTGCCTCCCCTAAACAGGTGCGGGTTTCCTTAACAGGTGCGAGTTTCCTAAACAGGTGCGAGTTTCCTAAACAGGTGCGAGTTCCCTGTACAGGTTATAAATCTTCCACACTAAGTTAACGTCCACTCACCACTACGGCCTCGCTACCTATTCCCGTGGACGGAGTTCCTCCCCTCTTCAACTGACCGAACAAGCCCCCGCTAAACTTATCCCAGTAAGAGCCTCACTTACGGACACAGCTGCCTACTACCGCTAATCTGCACGGGCAAGGGGCTGAATAAACACGCTCAGCAACTGCGACGCACTACTGGTCACCCGTGTCTCTCTACTCTGGTACGGGACTGGAACGGTACTGCAACGGAACTTGAGGAACTGCCGCACTGAGCGCGCGCTCGCGCTTTTATACCCACGCGGCAAATAGACTGGCGCCGCGGCGCATTACGCGCAACAGCCCTGGCTGACGTCTAGGTCCTTGTCTACTTTATAGGTACGATAGCCCCTGACTACCACCAAACTGCTATTGCGCCACAATATTCATGATTTGCGTGGGCGCGCCTGCATGTTGCATACATTACAGCGCGGCCGCCATTTTGAAATCGCATGGGGGATCGCATGGGGGACGATATTTGTGGAATCTGATGACTGAAATTCGTCTTGTGGCCAGATAGATGAAAATATTGAGACCAAACAACGTTTTTTCAAAAAGGTATGAGTTGCTCTACGACTACAAACCTTAACTTTGGACATTTGTGTCCTGGATGAAAAGATAATTGCGATCGAAAGATGTAGCAAAATCGCTACATCGGCGGCCAAAAAAATTCAGTCTTTTTGGAAGCATTCAGCGTCTGGCCGTACTACAGAGCTTGCGATAGTACTGTACGGCCAGACGCAGTCGGGCTAGTTTTCAGTACCTTAAAGGGAATATATACATCATTTGCTTTTGCTGTAATTTTCAGAAATGGATGGAATTGGGGGTTGGAAATATATAGCAAATATAGTTACACTGACCTTTTTGAAGTTTTGGGTTCGAAAATGCTATAAAAACCAAGAAAAACAATCATTTTCCTGTAGTCTGGTTCCCTGACTCCATATAAGAAGAAACAGAGCAGTTTACATACATTGGGGAATTGTAAGGTCAGGGAACCAGTCTAGCTGGCTTGTACCCATTCATAGGTGTGTAATCGATTGCAAGCAAGTGCGATTGTCAATTGGGGCCAGTATTTGAAAAAAAAGCCAGTTTTTTCCAACGCTGGTCAGGGGGGGGGGGGTGATTGATAAGGCCAAAAAATAAGGCCTTGTATTTGGGGGGTGGGGGGGAGGGGAGAAAATCCAAAACCATCAATAACTAGCTTTTACCCTTGAGTACATGCAGACACCCAAATATGATGAACACAAAACAAATTCCCTACCCTATTTTCAAATGCCATGTAATCGGAAGCAGAACTACTCTTTTTTTTGGGGGGGGGGGGGGGCTAAGGTAGAATGAGATGAGCTATACAGTTTTGACTGATATTGTGTGCAGTTCAACTCGTTCAATGATTTCACAGAAAGTTTCAAGTTATTATCTTGTCCAACTCTGGTGAAATTGCAATGAATATTTCATGACATCAAATATGCTCTGCATTTGTATATACACGTCAAGAATAACCCAGGTAATGTGAAATTCTGTATGAAAATGGACTGCATATGTCACAGTCGACAGAACTATAGAACAGATCAAGTGTCAAAATACAATGTAGATTTTAAATCACTGTTCATTTAGTACATACATGTTTGTTTTGTCCCGAAATAGCCAGCTGTTCTTTATCCCCCATCCATATTACAGTAGTGTTTGCCTTACAATGTCACACATGTGCTGACGTCAACCGCCACACCGGCCAGGCCTCGCTAACCTGCGATGATTTCTACGTGAAAAATCACACCAAGGAGCTGTTACAAGGATGCAGCGATCCTCCCTCTGGGCACACCGTTCGATGCACCAAATTTGGCGGTCATGCGCAAAAAATGGAAGACTCTGGTATGTTGGTGATTTCTAGTTCCTAGGCAGATTTTGGACAATAACAAAGGAATGCATCCGTCACAATTCATGTACATAGTGTGTCACTATGGGCGTCATGTAGCTAAATTTGGACTCCTCCGTTGCGTACACGCGGCAGAGTCCAGAGTATGACAGTAAAAAAATTACAACAAATATTGCTTATATTTTTACCTGATTGAGGAAACTGAAATTTTGTTTACGTATTCCTTGTGTCTAGAATTACAAAGATCCTTGGCAGGCTCGAAATATCCACTGGACCGTGTCTAGTGATTTCAGTGTCGGTCTAGTGCTGTGTGTGACTGCACTAGTCCGGCTGTCTAGTGTTTTTTTCTTGCACTATATAAACAAAGTGACACCCAAATATACTAGCAGTTGAGGTCTGCGTGCTTTGAGTTCATTACTTGATTGATTAATATAACCGACAAAAAATACAAGCTAAATCCCTGTAAAGACCGTGCCCGCTGGCAAGAGAATGAGACTAATTTTCCAGGGGAACTTCCCAAGTGCACACACATGAAATGGGTGACTCGTATAAAATAGCATTTTGTTGTATTCCTGTCACATAGTGCAAAATGTTGTTTTTTCTTATGACACAGGTCTTGTAAAAGTAGTTCAGGTCCAGTAAGATTCTTCAGTTACTAGACCTGCTGTCTAGTGTTTTTATGCCCCGCGGCGAAGCCGAAGGGGCATACTGTTTCCGCCTTGTCCTTCCGTGGGTGGGTGGGTGGGTGGGTGTGTGGGTGTGTGTGTGGGTGGGTGAGCTTGTCTTACATACGCAGTGTGGACTTCCGAACAAAAGACGTCCACATAATGTAGGTAGCACCGACGTTGTGTGGACTTACCCCACGTCCACACAGTGTTTCCCCATTTCTGGAAAACAGGTTTAGAGGCATTTTTGGGTTAGGTTTATCTGTAGCAGAATGAAGAGAAACACTAAAGGGAATCATAGAAAAAAAATTGGGTTGAAAGAGTTTTCACAGTTTGAGAAAAATGAGTTTTTTCACTGGTTTTTCTTAACTACACGAAAGCAATGGAAAGTCCACACTAGTCATGTGAAACAAGTATGGGTGGGTGCAGTCAGCGCGCAGCGTGCTCGATAATGAGGCACACAGCGAAGTTTTATTTGCAGCGAGTTGTACGGTCTCGGACCTTCGAGAATTCACGAGGTTTCGCGAGCGTTCGGCAGTGCCCCTGGAAGACGGACAAGAAAACCCGTTTTCGCGGCAGTGTTGGGCCAACATGGAGGGGTGAGTGAAAGATTATTATTTTCGGCGTCGAATGATACCATTTTTTAGTGATTATATTGTTGTAAAGGTGATTAATTAGGCTTGCGAAATGAGGTATGAAAACCCTTTTTTTCAATACTACCTGCACGTTTTGAGTGATCCTGACTACCTCGGGATATTGTTGGATACAATTTGTCGATTCCTGGACTCTTGAAAAGTTATGCTTTCGAGCCGTACTATTCCCATCTCTGCAGGTTTCGTGGGCGATTTATATTTTGATGCGAAATATACGCGAAAATTGCATGATTTTGGTCGGCAACGTCTGATTCGGATGACGTCACTCGTGTATGCAGTGTGTATTACTAACCGGCACTGTACATGTTCGTACGTGGGTGCATCGCGACCGATGTCGACAATAGGTTCCTACCCGTTACTTTGCATGTCGCATCAAGTACAAAACAAATACATCCCATGTGCATCTAGGCTATGCATTAGGAAAGAATGTAGTATCCAGGCGCCACTTAATTCAGCGGTTGTGTACAAAGTCTATGAGTGTCAAGTATGAGTGTGAAGAATCAAGAAAATTAATTTTCTAAGTATTTCCTATGCCAGTACGGGCGCACGCACTAACTCGAGGATTGTCCCAGTCTGTAGAGAATGTCCCCCAAAACAGGGACAGTCGACCCCCGAATTTATTTTGGAGCAGCGCTGTCTCCCGATTTGGATACTGTCCCCCGATCGGGGGACAAACGTTTTGAGCGTGGTGTCCTGACTTAATTGACCTGTATGTCATAGTAGGTTTAGTTAGGCTGGAGAATAGCCTTGGGCACGGCAGATTCGTGTTTTGTTTTGCACGATGTGAATGTTCCGTTCTTAAAATTGTTTTCTTCATATTTAGCACCTTTTGTGAAATCTTTTGAGTGATGACATGGTTTTGGGCTAGTCTTTACAGATGACCTTGTTGATTGTGTTTGAATTTGATGTTGGGTGAGTACAGGATTGGTTTCAATTTCAGAACTTTTTAAGTTTTAAAATAATTTTGCATGCTCATGATGACCGAGAATGCTACCCAACTCACCCCCAATTATATGATACATGTAATTTATAAACCAATATTATTCAGGCTAGATTGTTGAAAATGAGCTGTATAATTTTTTCTGCTTTTTTCATTGTTATAAATAAATGTGACTAAACAAATTAGGGACAGGCAATAGTTGAAAAGATCAGCTGCTTTTTAGAAATGAACTCCTTTTGCTTAACCATTAAATTAAAAAAAAAATGTTTGATAAGATCAAAGTTGGCCAAATTTTACTCATTCGTTCATTGATAAAGTGGTTCATTGTAACAATTAATCAGTTGTCATTTGTTCCGACTTACCTTTATGTGTTTTTTTTTTCATTCTAGGATTACCAACCTTCCAACGGTGCTTCTGTGATGGCAGTGCTAAATTCAATGCATCAAAGAGTGAACAAGCTGCTAGATATTGTTTTGGCTTTTGTTCAGAAGAATGCTAATTCAATATTACTTTGAAATTATTGAAGAAATATGAAACCTGCTTTAATCATGTTCAGGCATGTCAGGAGAATTTTTGGCACAGAAAAGTTCCCTAAAATGCTTCAAAATGCTTTATTTGTAAGGACTCATTCAACCAAGTAATTTCTGTAGGTGAAAGAATATTATACCAAAGGACAATATTGTTGACATCGTTGTCGGACAAATTCATGATCGTGATATGAATCTTATTGCTTTAAAAGGAGGAGTTAATATGTGTTACAAGTTTCAACTCTACTGGTTAGAATGAAACCTACACAAAACTGAAATAAGATGTACTGAATGGAATTAATTACAAACAACAAAGCAATGTTGTAGGCAGAAAAACTATACAAAAGCAGCATCGGAGAAAACAAAACACATTACATATTCCATAACCAATATATATAGTTGGTAGATTGACAAATACATTGAATGTAATTAGATGTAATCCCTTGTGATTAATTTTTGAGTGCCAAAAAAGAAGGAATATTTAGTCATTTCTCTTGTATTATTTTAACTGTTAGTTTGATTTTTGAATCGAAAGAATAAATACAAATAGAGCCAACAGGGAAATACTTTTAAAATTTGTGAATACTGGTCTTTAATTTTAAATACAATGTAGTTTTATTTACCATCAGATAAGACAGGAATAAGTATCTTCACTTGGCATCTTCACATGTTGATTTATGTTTATTCAACTTTCATGCATTAAAATGTAGAGATTGCGCATCATAATGAATTAGAATCGGATATAATAAAAAAAAAGTCATAAAAAGGCAAGCAGTCGTCAGGCATCTGAAGTATTCAGGTAAGTTCATTAAGAGCCATCTACACTAAAGTGGTTAAATAAAATAACTTTTCACGCCAATTTGAATTTTGTTTAATCACAGACATGACAGAGAACTGCCAAATTACAAAATGCCCATCCATTAAACAGCGGTATTTAATAATTTCCCACTTGGTGATTTTGTCCAACTTCCCTCTGCAATCACCACTGACTGTGCTTGCTTTTCCTCATTGGTCATCCTCACCTGACAATATGGATATAAACAGTTAATTTAGTAATATAGAATTATGTGACTAGCCCAAATTAAAGTTGGGGAAAAATATTGTTTAGTTCGTCATGACAATTCATTTTATGTACAGGTAGGTTGGTCTATGGTCGAATGTCGCACGTGCAAAACAAAACAAACTTTACCGTTTTCGATACCAAAAATCGATTCTTTGCATTGTAATATTCGACTTCAACAATGCTGTACCAATGGTACTGCCAGTATCGATACTATTGATATATTTGGTATCGATACTGGAACCATGAGGTTTGCAGCGCTGGAGGCCGAAATATTCTCCGGCCTGTAATTCGAGATTTATACATTGGATTACGTAAGTGAAACACTGGAAAGGGGTGTCTTTCGACAAGGAATCCGATTTTAGCATCCTTGACATGCGCCAGACATCCCCTGAGGGCGCAAGATCTTATCTTCGAAAACTGTCCCTATAAACAGAGACATTCCGTGTTTACAGGGACACATTTTGTCCCCCGATCGGGGGATTTCCGCGTTATTGAGGACAATCCGCGAGTTGGTGCGTGCGCCCGTACTGTATGCCTAACATGCCTAACAAAATTGGAAATAATTCTCACTTTAATCTCAGTCCCAGATTCATGTCTTTTATTTAACATTTTTGCAATGACTAACCTAATTTAATATTAGGTCTTTCCCTGTAAATGTACATTTATATTGATTGATTATAATTTTTCTCTCCTTTCTCTTTTCTTCAATATACCCTCTAGGTCAAGTACGCAAAGTGATTTACCCATTTTCCCTGTCAAGATAGTTGGAGACAACATCCGCACTGGAAGATGAACATGACCAATTTCAATGGAACTCTATTATTTTACCATGGATTGAACTTTACAATTTTTGTGGTACAACCAGATTTTGCATGTTTAATTCAATGACGTGTGATCAACAACTCATAAACTGATGAATCAGGCGCCGGGGATTCTTACGCCATGTCGCATGGAACATTGCATGTATTGTTCGTTGATAAAAACCTGAGGAATAAGCACTTTCATGGTACATTTAATATGCGCCATCTTGTTCACATAGCAAGAAGAACAAGCATTGCTAGATGCGGACACATTTTGTAATGTACACATTTTGGAATGAACGCATGATGACTTGGAAGCACAAAAGGTTTTGTTTGATGACGTGTAGACTGCAACGCATGTAAATTTGCCTGGTAAGAAAAATGACGCATAACAGTGAAAAAAAATAATCAGTTCAATCAAATTTCTCTAAATATCAACTTCCAGTTTTATTTCACAAATTAATGAATTTGTCAGTAGCCTTTATGCTGTATATTGAAAACCGATAATACAATACAAACCTCTGCGAACGACTGTACACTGCACTCGACGTCCATATCGATGTTCTGAAAATACGCAGACTGCGTAACATTATGAACCAATGGCAACTTTGCTGATCGTCTGCGAAACAGTTTGCATCTGTCTGAGTTGTCGGCGACACTTCCAGATGAAATATTTCCATATTATCTGTTCTGCAGTTTTGGTCCCTTTTTTTTTGTTTCACTTTGCGTTTCTTACGTTGAGATGGAAACTAGCCAGAACAGAATTGATTGCTTGTTAGTTTGTAACCATTGCAATCTTAAATATTTATTATTTGTTCTTATATGCCTGCATTCTTACCCTTGTAATTATTAAGAAATACAATTTATTGTTATTGCCAAGGGCTGGTGCGGTTGAATAATCTTGCATCAAAACAAATTGCTGACACGTGGAATTTTATAAGCTCGTGGTCTATACATGTCGCAAGAGTATAGTTACTTAACATGTAAATGTACATTGCACATCAGTGTTTTCCAGAGCATTAAAAACCTTACCCAATAAAGAAAATGTGCCTTAATTTTCATGTTCACTTTTTTCAGATCTATATTTGTAAGTCATTCCATGTTGTGAGAAACTTTCATTTGTAAAGTTTTTTTTCTTGGAAACTGAAAGTGGTTCAAATATTAAAGTGTTTCAGTATACCTTAATGTTTAACTAAATGCAGCTGAAAGTATGTAATTGTGATTTCATGAATAAAGTGTTTCCCAGAATTTCAGTCAAGAAAAGAGACGACTTGATTCTTTATACATGTTTTGTATTTGTTTTCAGGTTTATGTCCACTTTCCTACTTAAGATAAAGCCAAAAATATAGTTTATTTTGCGAATTTGTACTCCCCCACCCCTCCCAATAAATCCCCACAATGATTAAGAAATAGTTATTGCATTGCCAGCATAAACACTTAGTAGGACCCCCCCCCCAAAAAAAAAACCGACGAAGTCTTATTTTTAATGGGTTTACATGAAACATCGTTTTACTTCCCTGTTTCGAAAAGACACGCAACCAGTTTATTATAGTCGGGTGCCTTTACTCCGCGTTTACTTATTGTGATCCTGTGTACGTGTGGAGCAGGGCACGAAACCGCCGCGCACTTGCTTTCAGAGCGGTGTTATTTTCGCGACCTGGGCACTCGGAATAGACATCCTTTTTGAGTGATCCTGACTACCTCGGATACTCAAGAGAACCAAAGTTATAAAATAAAGGTAGCTTAATAATGTCGCTTTTCATCAAATTGTCAAAACATTCTGCCCAACTTCGTTTGGTATAGATAAAAGGACGATTTTCACCGACCGTAAATTCACCACAACAACGGTCATATTTCCTTCCCCATATTTCACAAAATAGTTGCTTAAAACTTAATTATTATCATTTAACAATTAAACTATACCCTTTTTAATCTCTATTTCAAATAAAATCCTACTTTTAAAGACACGTTAAGCGGAAAATGAATTTCGAAGATTGGATCTCCTATCTCATGAATATTCATATTTCCAGTGTGTTCGTGCATACGCTGCAAATAAACGAAAGCACTTTCGGGCATGCTGCGCGCTGACTGGGTGTGTGGGTGTGTGTGTCCGGACAAATCTTGTCAGCGCGATAACTTGAGAAATACTTAACATATGAACTTCAAATTTGGTTTGTGGATTGTTCTTGGTAATCCTAAGAAGCCTTTCGCATTTGGGGCCAAAAGGCCAAAGGTCAAGTTCACAGTGGCTAAAACAATAGAAATCTTGTCAGCGCAATAACTTGAGAAATACTTTACATGTGAACTTCAAATTTGGTTTGTGGATTGTTTTTGGCAATCCTAAGAAGCCTTTTGCATTTGGGGCCAAAAGGCCAAAGGTCAAGTTCACAGTGGCTAAAACAATAGAAATCTTGTCAGCGCAATAACTTGAGAAATACTTTACATGTGAACTTCAAATTTGGTTTGTGGATTGTTCTTGGCAATCCTAAGAAGCCTATTGCATTTGGGGTCAAAAGGTCAAGTGTCAAGTTCACAGTGGCTAAAACAATAGAAATCTTGTCAGCGCGATAACTTGAGAAATACTTAACATATGAACTTCAAATTTGGTTTGTGGATTGTTCTTGGTAATCCTAAGAAGCCTATTGAATTTGGGGCCAAAAGGTCAAGGGTCAAGTTCACAGTGGCTAAAACAATAGAAATCTTGTATTTATTCTGAGATTATAGGGATTAGGGATTAATTCATATAAAACGTACAGAAGACACTAATGCTGACAATGAATGTTCCATGTGACCAAGGTACATGTAAGTTGATGTTAAAAGAGTGGTGTTATGTCATGGGAACAGTCACGGTTGCGGGGCATTTGTGTTTGTAAACACACCTGACTTGTTTTTTCATGAAATTTGAGCCCTGCTTGGTTTAGAAACAGTTAATATGTACATGTATGTGGGTGACGTGTTTACCCAAAATAAATCACAGATCCACGCTTTCGTCGTAAACATCCTCAGTACAAACTTCTCGGTGGGAAGACTTAAGCGCGCATATGTGATTGACTTGTGATTGACTTGTGATCGACTTGTGATTGATTGTAATACATTGCGATGACTGATGACTTGATGACAAGGAGGGCTGTGCATCGGAACCGGGTACCCGAGTACCCGACCGTTGGTGTCAGGAACCGGTTCCAGATTATGAAACCAAGTACCCGTAACCAACTTGACAAAATACTTTGTAACTTCTCAGTCAAGGAAAAAAGAAATGTTTCGAATGTCGGTGGGAAAATTACAAAATGAAAAACAGGATACATGGAAAACCAAAGCCAATTTCACGTTTTATGATGCTTGCGATAACTGCAGTTTTCACCACATAGCTAAAGAGCTCACTGTACATGTATGCACCCTATCTTGCTGTATTGTTGCACCGATGTGGAAGTATTATCATGCGGACCTTCATGTACAATCTGAACAGCAACTTCCCAGATTCGAGCTTTTAGTTTGGGTTTCTTTAACGGGTACCCGTATTTTTTTCAATCGGGTACCCTGTCCTGAACTACTCATAAGTGCACATCCCTAATGACAACTGTGTTCTGCATCAAGATTTATAATCAAAAAATAGCTGCCGTGTATATTATCCCGATATATTTTGTTAAACTATTCCTCCAGGATCCAGCATTCTCATGGATGGCATTTCCAGAGGTTGCGTCACCTTCAAGGAAAACAGTCTTCCCCGGAGTACGTGCTACTATGGAAAAGAGGCTAGTCCCTGGCTTTCATCCCTGGTTCCCGGCACAGAGGGTGCATCAGTCAATGGCCTTATATGTTTCTGTGAGGAGACCGGTTGCAATGGTGTAGCCTCCGTCCAGCCGTTCGTTTCACATTTGCTATGCACACTGATTATACTGTATGCAGTTTTGTAAATCGTTAATTGTCAACACGGAATCATCTTGAGGAAAGTCTCAGAAAACGTTGCTGATTAAATTATCCAAAAAGGGCGGATTTTTTTTTTCCAAAAAATTTATCCTATCTCGGGGGAATATTGCAAAAACTTTGTGGAAAACCCTAACTCCCTAGGCATTTTTGCATACAGTCTCAAACCTGCAAAATCCTCCGTTTATTTCTTGAATGTGTTCCTTGGAGGGGTGACCACTGCCTCAATCCTGCAAAATCCTCCGGCAATCTCTGTCAATATGTTGAGGCAGAGCCAGTGACATCCTGGAGCAGTGCGGAGGATTTCAAGTATAATCTCCATGTAGGCCTAAATTTATGCGAGGCCGAGCATAAACAATACGTGGTTCGGTCCAAGACCTTGACACAGTGCAATCCTCCAAAATCAGCTTCACATTTTTTTTCCAAATAGCCTCAATCCTGCAAAATCCTCCATTTTGCAAAGAGAAGGTTAAGGTTAAAGTATGCATAAGAGATCTCGGAAATCGTCGCCCGTCAATACAATAAGCCCATTTTTATTGGGGGGGGGGGGGAATTTCTCTGCAACTTTTGCCAGATAATTTCCGAGATGATTCTTTAGGTTTCTGGTATGGAGCTTGCCCCAAAAGTGGTGCGGGGACACAGCTTTTCTTTGTTTTTTTTTCCTTTTTTTCCCCTTCAAATGTCGGCTGATGACTGCATATGGTGCCCGACTAAATTTAGTGCACAATATATATGGGAGCCAAGAGAGGCCACATAAAGCTTATACTCGATCATAACCCCATCTAAAAACACATTTAAATTGTGCAGCAACAGGATTGCAGTCAAACCAGTGAGTTTGGCGGTTTTGAGACATCATCTTTCATTGAAAAAAAAAGTTTTTCATTTTGCTGACACGCACGGCTACGGCAACGCGCGCGCGCATACCAGAAACCGGAGAGGTTTTTTTTTTTAGCCTTAGTAGGTTATTTTTTTTGTTCTTTAATGAGGTGCGTGTAGGGTTTTCAACTCTATTTCAGGTTTGACTTGAGGCCTTATTTATTATGCATGAACAAAATGAAAAGAATGACGACAGCAGTTGATAGTTAACTACTGTGATGTTAAACTCTTTTTTTTCCCCCACAATTTCATTTTTCCAATCCGGAAAAGGAAATTGCAGAATCTAAAATCTATAACCGACAATTGTCACATTTGTTACCGTAATACTACAATTTATCATTCTAGATCGTATTGAAAATCAAACTGACTTCTTGTTTTGACAAGACCTAGTCCGTCTGAAAAAAAAAAATCATCTGAGCAGTCTAAAAAAAAAGGTTTCTAAGTTCCTAGTTTTATCTTCTTTTTACTTTCCTCTACAGGGTTCTTCTTACAAACATTTTCCAAGTATCAGTATTGAATTCTCAAAAAGTGTGAAATATAGGCCTAGATATTTTTCTATTTCCTTTATTTTCAGTTATCTATGTTTTTTTGTATCATGCTTTCCCTCCCTTGGATACTAAATCAAAGGCTTTTTGTGCCTGTTTTTCCAAGCCATTTGAAGAGCACCCTCTGTTTACAGAGGGTGCTATCACTATGCAATAAATTAGAATGGGGGATTTTTCTATAAATCATTGCATTTACATTTTCTTATACATTACTATACTGTGCTATGAAATAACGCACACATTTTGTTGAACTGTTCATTGAAACATTCCTGCCTTGTAAGGATCAAAGGCGATGTACATGTATAATGACCAAATATGTGCTGCAACGTCGCCCGATGTTAAAGATCATTTACCCCGTGAATTTTTTTGCCAACGAATATTCAATTTGTATGTACTGTTTAAACGATAAACTATTTTATTCCGATTTTTTTGCAAAATGTGGCCCCCTCCATCCCAGTTGTCATAATGCTTAGGCCACATTGACCAAAATCTTAATCATGTGGATTTTGTCTGATATAAAGTTGTCCATGTATACTCTGATATCATTTGAAATTGAAAGCAATACTTGTAGTTAAATCCATCACCAGTCAATTTACTAAGAAACTTGGCAAAGTTCATTTGAATACAGTCGAGTCTCGTTATAACAAACTCCTTCGGACCTAGCCAAATTGTTTGTTATATCAGAATTTTGTATTAAGAGGAACATCAGTCCCATTCATCGTGCACATAAATGCACAGTCGAGACCAAGGCTTTATGTTTGTTATAACCAGAAATTTGTATTAACAGAGTTTGTACTAACGAGAGTCGACTGTAGATTGTGATTGGACTTGGGACTGCAGGACTTATGATTGACTTGTGATGACTGAATTGTGATTGACTTGATAACTACCAGTATAAGCCTCTGTACCGATGACGTCATGCTTTGTTTTCTGTGTGCGTTCTTACGGGAGCTTGGTGGGGAACACGGTTTCGTCGCCCCATAGAAAAGGCACCCCCCCCCCCCAAAGTTGGTCTCTGGTCAGCGCGCGCGTCGATTTTAATCATGCGCTTCAATCCTTTTTTTTTCCCCAAAAATTTCCGCAGTAGCTCCAACAGTGCCCTCTATTGCCGCACCTCCTCAAATTTTTGTACCAAGGAGCACCAAGGAATGGGAAATTGCACCAAGGCAAATGATCGAGGGCACCAAGGCAAATTATGGAGGACACCAATGTACGTGAGGACACAAAAAAAAGCAAAAACAGTACTCTTACTTGTCGGTACAATCCAAGCTAAAAAAAAAGAAAGAAAAAAAAAGAAACGCGTCGCCGCATCAATTCCCGAACGTTGGTTTGACCGGAGACCGAGTATTTTTTTTTTTTTTTGGCCAAAGCGCACTTAAGCAAACAAAGTGTGACGTCAACAGTGTAGAAGCCTATTCTGACAGCAAATCAGTCGGGTTTATGGTCCATACATTGTATTGAAATAGGGTTGAGACATTATGACATATCACGCTTTGTTTACATGTTCGCTTTCTTATGTGAGCGTGTGGCTCTTGTCCGCACTGGCTCCCGTCCGCACTGGCTCCCATAAGTAAGTGCACTTGTTAAAAGCGTGACGTCATCATGTCTCGGGGCGATTCAAATAGGACATCAGCACCAAGTATTAAACTTAAAAGAGGCTTCAGAATTCCATTATGTTTTGTACATAATATAAGTCACATTAATGTAGAACTTGTCTTCACTATGCACTAGTCACAGTTCATGAAATATACCATCAACGAAGCTAAACTTGACTGCATCAGTGTGTTTTGTATACGAATGGAATCCTTTACCCAGTGTCCGTTTGTTAAAGAGAATATACATCATTTGCTTTTGCTGTAATTTTCAGAAATGGATGGAATTGGGGGGGTTGGAAATATATAGCAAATATAGTTACACTGACTTTTTTGAGGTTTTGGGTTCGAAAATGCTATAAAAAACCAAGAAAAACAATCATTTTCCTGTAGTCTGGTTCCCTGACTCCATATAAGAAGAAACAGAGCAGTTTACATACATTGGGGAATTGTAAGGTCAGGGAACCAGTCTAACTGGCTTGTACCCGTTCATAGGTGTGTAATCGATTGCAAACAAGTGGGATGGTCAATTGGGGCCAGTATTTGAAAAAAAGCCATTTTTTTTTCAACGCTGGTCGGCCGACCAGTGTTGGAAATTGATACAAAAATACCACTTTTCTTGAAAATGACAATATACCAGGTGCCATGACTTTACAGGATGCGTAATTTACACTGTCATTCACTAACAGTCCAGCAAGGTATTTCAAAATGATTTGGTAGTTTTATTTTTTGATGTTTGCAAATGTTGTATTTTCCCTTTAAGTGTATAACCATATTGGTCAGATGGCAGTTTGCGATTTGTTCTGGCTGGCTTATAAGCCCGTTACAAAATTTGACGAATCCATCAGGCCACGCCCCCAGCAAACATGTGCAACAACACATGCACCTTTGTACTTTCAAGTGGTGCGCGTCATACGCATGTGCACATGTCAGACACGTCAGGGATCGTTCTGTTGGCGATTGGATTACACACATACGCGATTTCGTGGCAACGACTTTCTTGCGCAGACATGTCACGCTCAGACATGTCACAGACTTGCACGTTTCCAACCGTACCCACACATCACACGATTTTTGAAATTATCTCACAGTTGCCAGTGAAAATAGTATGTGACGTTTTGTGTCGCGCAATACAATCACTTCAGATTTAAATAATGAAAGGTTTGCGGAAACACCATGTGCGAATAATCTCTCAACTAAGAGAATGGTTCTGAAAAGAACCAGAGATATAAGCTCGACGTTCTGGTCAGTATGCTCTGACCGTCTTCAGGAGAGTGAAGACGGTCAGAGCATACTAACCAGAGCTCCTGAAGACGGTCAGAGCGTACTGACCGGAACGTCGAGCTTATACCTCTGGTTCTTTTCAGAACCATTCTCTTAGTTGAGAGATTATTCGCACATGGTGTTTCCGCAAACCTTTCATTATTTAGTATCTCCACCATGCAAAGCCTCAAATCTTACTCACTTCAGATTTGTTTTAAAAAAAAACGTATGATAAGCCACGCAACTTTGTTGCGCATATGTGATGCGATCAAGCTAACTGAGTCGTTTGTCGACCCTGGTCAATTTGTGTTTTTATTACAGATTTGGAAAGAGCACAATCTCAGCATTACTGCTGTGAAAACCGCATGCTGATACCATCTTTAGTTCAAAAATTATGGAAGTGGGAACACCAAGAGATGTAATGAAGTGATGTGATGAAGTGGCCCTATTTTGGCCTGTATCTCCAAATGAAAATTCCTGACAAATGACTCATTTAGCCTGATCGCATCACATGTACACACATGTAGACAAGCACAAACATAATAAGACTCATGAGAAGTTTTTTTTTCCAATTGCAGTATTTATTTATTAAAGCTGTTTGCACTGACATACATGCTCTGTCTGTTATCTCCAAGTACATGTTTATCAATTACTCTTCGCACATTTAGTCTTACGCTATATACCAATGAGGGTGGATAAAATCCCAACTTATATAGACCCCATGCATTAGAGCACCCTCACTATGGACAAGTCTTTGGTCCACTGTGATGCACATGAGAAAGACACC